TTAATTCTAGCCTACGAGTTATAGCGAGTATAGCTAATTTTAGCCTACGATTCCGTACGAGTTAGGCAGCTTAGGATATATAGAATCTTAGAGCGATTAAATCGCCTACGAATCTAGCAATTTTAGGCCTACGAGTCGGGCAAATTATAATACTACGAATCTTAGAGATCGTAGAATCCCTAAATCGCCTACGAGTCTACCTAATTTTAGCCTACGAGTCGGGAGAATATTAATATTAGAGATCTCTAAGCCTTTAATCGTTATTATATTTATACTATTAACCCTATACGCCCTTCTGTCCTTTTAAAGCCTCGCTACTAACTCGCTACTAACTCGCTACAGCTTCTTTAACGCCCTTATAACCCTTTAAAACTCCGGAATCCTTATATACTCCTTCCTTAGCTTCTTATTCCTTATTACCTCCGCTAGTACACTCGTAGTACTCGCTAGTCCGCTCGGGGGCGCACTCGTAGGCTCCGCTAGTATACTCGTAGCCTTAGTATCCTTAGGTAAGCTAGTAACCTACCTATCGCCCTAAATCTCTGTCGCTACCGGCGACTCGCTAGCGACTCGCTCTACTAAATCCGTAGAAGTAATCTCTATTCCTTCTTTAATAGTACTTAAATCTATAGGCTCCTTCTTTATTACTATACGTACCTCCTGCTTTACTACTAGCTTGCTTTTAGGCACTCGTACGTACGTAGGCTCGTCGTCGTCGTTATTATTAGTAAGGTTAATAATATCGATAGGGTTATAGGCGCTTAATCCCTAGGCACCGGATATAGACGAAGGAGTAGATCGATAGGGTAATTCGCGACTCGCTTAACGTTTGTAACTAACTAGCGGACTAGTAGAGGCCTCTTTCTCGGTAGATTAGGCACTCGTAGAGGGACTCGTAGGCTAGCGGAATTTAGCTAGTTTATTAGGGCTAGTAGAAGGCACTACTTTAGATTCGCTAGTACTCGCTACTATACTCGCTACTATACTCGCTACTGCCTCCTTAGCTATCTTTCTTTTAGCTTTAGTACTAGGCCTCTAACCTAGACGCCTACTACGATAGCGCCTATTAAGGCTCTTTATTAGATCCGGATCTAAAGAGGAGCTATCGTCGGTAGACTCGCTAGACTCGCCGTAGTCCTTCGGAAGCCTATTCTACCGCTTATTTTTAGCTATAAGAATAGCGACCCTAATATCTACCTCCTTTCGCGTAGGATTTGCCTAGTACCTACGCTTAAATAGTAGTAATTGCTCGTTAAGGTCGTCTTTGTCTCTACTATTCGAGCTTAGTATAATTAAGAGCTTCTACTCTTTATCGTACCGGGTATATATAAACGGACGTTTATAGTACTACAGGCCGGTAACCTTCTTAACCTTAATATAGCTAGCGTATAAAGCCTAGTAGTGAAGCTAGTTACGAGTACGTAGCGAGTCGAGTAGTAGGGCCTTAAAGTCGCTCTAGTAGCCTACGATAGACTAGTAATCGACTAGCTCTAGATTATCTCTAACTGTCTACTTCTACTAGCCTTCCTTCTTAACTATATTAACTACTACTTTACTTATATATACTATAACGTAAAGCTTAGAGCCCTTTAGTACTTTCTTCGGTCTACTACCCTTATTCTACGACTACGAGTCGGCCTGCGAGTCGTCTCGTAGCTCGGTGCTACTACTACTACCCGCCTTAAGTCGATTCGTAGCGATTAGCGTGCTCCTATATAGACTCGCTTTACTAGTACGAGGACCTTATACCTCTCCGGATAACGGATTAATACCTATATTACTAAGCGGGCGGATATACTACTTCTTATTAGCGGCTAAAACGGCATTAGTACGGCTAAATAAGCTTTTAGCGAGTCTAGTAAAGCTACTATAGCCCTTTATAGACGCGGGCTCCTTCCGCTATAGAGTAGGGGAATCGATCGGATCCGGTACTAGTATTAAGGAAGGGCCTATAGTCGACTCGTAGCGACTCGCTATATTAGTGTCTACTATAGTAAAGAACGGGTTCCTAAGGCCGTATTTACTATAGTAGGGCTTATCGCTATACTCTTTAGTATAATTAAGAGTATAATTCACCTTATTAGATATATAGAAGTCTTCCTAGAAGTTAGTAGAAGAAGCTATAATAGACGTATATAGAAAGATAAGACGTAGTATTAAGGAATGCAACGTTACGAGTCTACTACGAGTATATACGAAGCTTTATAGAGGCTCCCTAGTAGTAGTAAAGACAGTTCTTATACGATTAGACAGCTCGAGGCTATTTAAGCGAGTCGGCGCGATATACTTAGCGAGTCGTCTACTAGTATCTAGGTACTACTTAGCTACTCCTCGGAGGTACTAATAAGCGTATATATAAAGCTTCTTAGGCCTATTACCGAATCCGGGTTCGCTACCTTTAAAGGTTAATAGGTAGCTAGCGAGTATAAGCTATTTATTTACCTATTATAGAGTTATCGGAGGTAGGTATAAGCTAAGGTCTATATATAGCGAGGCATAGTTAGCGTAGGAGTAAGAGAGAGGTAACTCTATAGGCAGGCAGCTAGAGCTACGAGTAACTGTAAGTATAGCTAAATTAGCTACGAGTATAGCTAAATTAGCTACGAGTACGGTCTAATTTCGAGCTACTTACCTAGCACTAATATAGAAAGCTCTTTAATTACCCGCGAAGCTTACTATAGCCGTCTATCCGGTTTATCTACTACTTAAGAGTAGTACTCGCTAGACTCTTAGGGTTAATTAGATGCCTACGCTAGGTAGTGTCCTCGAGCTCTAGATACTCGTAGAGCAAATCCGGTATACTACTAATATAGCTCTTAAGGGTTTATACTCGTACCGGGTACCGATTCTACTCTAAGACAAAGTAACTAACTATATAGCGTATAATTAGAGTATAGATTACGAGGAAGGCGAGTCGATTAGATAGCTTAGCGGCCTCGAAAAGGTGTAGGTTAATATACTAGTTAAATAGGTCTCTCTAGCGATTTATAGCTAATTTAGCTATCTCGCCCTACTAGTGCTTAATAGTCTAATTGCCTTTGCTCGTAGTATATAAGAAGGCCTTAATAAAGTCGATATTACGGCTCTCGATAAGCTCTCGAAGCCGTAGATAGGCGTCTACTAGTATAGGTGTCTCGACACCTTAATTAGAGCGGACTCGCTAAGGGACTCGCTAGATATAGTTAATTATAGTATAGTACTACGAAAACACTAAGTACTTTGTCTTTACTATTAGGCTAACGTAGAACTAGATAATCCGGCGTAAGTAGACGTTAATATAGGCGTAAATCTAAATGCCGAATTGCTCGATTTTATAGAAGGCATTAATTAACTAGACGTAGTTAGGCCTATTAGCTTTTAGTCGTACGTACCGTAGCCTATTCGGATAGCGATTACGTAGTTCGCGAAGCTTATATAGTAGAGCGTTAATTTGCTATAAAATCCGGTAGATACGGTCCCTAGTAGGCATTAGTATAGTAAGAAGAGGGCTACGAGTTAGCTACGAGTCGATTCCCTACCTACCTATAATATACTAGTAGGTTCTTAACTCTCGTACGAGCTTACGATAGCTAAAGTCTTAGGTTTGCCTATTAATTAGTACTACTCGAAGCACCTTATTAACGTAGGTAGTAGCTACTTCTAATTCCTCGTATTCTAGTCGACGCTTAAGGCCGTAAGTATAGCGGAGCTCTTAATACTACCTTAAAGAGATATTATAGCTATTAAGCTATAGTATAGTATAGCTCTTCTTATCGCTAATAGTATATAGCTAGAATAGCTTAGTAATCCGCTTAATTAGTACTACGTTACTACTATAGTTAATTCGAGGGCGAGTAGTTACTCCCTATTGCGATAAGTGTGTCTATAGAGTTCTAATACTATAGCGAATGCCCTTAGTATTATATAGGCTCTATACGACTCGCTAGTAGGTATATCTAGTATAAATCTAAAGCTTAATCTAGAGCCGATAGGGCTATAAATCGAGAGCCTAAGGCAGTATAACGACAAAGTAGACAATAAAGGACCTAATAGATAGATTACGAGTCGATAGCGAGTATATTAGTGCCTAACCACTGCGATTACGGTGTGTGAGAGTGTGGTGGTGCGGTGCCAAAACCGGCAAAACCATTTTGCGGATTTGTAAGCTCAGGCCACCGCCGTGACCCTGTCATTAGCGCCACGCTCCGCTAGTTCCTCGGGGATAGTGAGGAGAATGATTCTGCGCTTGTGCTGGCCTGTGACATCAAGAAGAAGGACGAATTTCAACCAGGAATCTACAAATCCGGTAAGGTGGTCGCTCGTCTTCCCGTGGTGGCCTCAAGAGGACTTCATGGTCTTGTCGCCTATCGCAATGTCAAAATCACCAGATGAAACAACAGCTTGCATTTCGCCACGCTTACCTGCTCGCCCCTTTGGTTTAGAGAGTGACTTCGTCTACGCTGGAATCTTGCCCAATTCGGTTGTTCGTGATGCTAAGCATTCGTCGTCGTCGTCTGGATGTTCCGCCCGCGAGAGAGGGATATCTGCAGAAGTTGATAAAGGGTGTGTTCCGGTTTTGATGTCTCAGTATTAGCAATCTTACCTTAAAGATTGGATGTTGCTGTAGGTCGAGCTCTGTGAGCGCGAGTTAGTGGCTAGGAAAGGAAAGGAAAGGAAGCTGAAGAGGTCTGAAAACAGATAAGCAGATTTTCGTTCAGTCGTATTCTACGCGATGTAGCGAGTGGATAGAAAAGGCGTCACTGGGTCGAATCTTTATGGGATATATGATCTCCCATGCAGTTGATTCTCGGTATCACGTGCGGCGGATTCTTGAGGATGCATTTACTTGGATTGGCACGTGAATAAGATTTTCGGAGCTGCAGCAGAGTCCACCTTTCCGTTTGAATACGTTACGTGCATGATGAAAGCTGGTGTTAGCTTCGATGATTTTCCGAAAGTCGGTTTATACGCCGGTAATAAGATCCTCTCCAAGCCGGCAGCATCCCCCGGACGAAGCCCGACTAGATCTGGAACTTGCTCTTGTTCTCCGCCGCAGTCTCCTTGGCGACTTTCTTCACATGCTCCTCCCCAGCCTCGTCGAAGATATCCGCGCCCCAGCGCGCCGGGAAGTTGAATCGCTTGTGTCGTTCAAGGGCGTTCAGAGCATCGAAGGCCTCCTGTGGGAGCTCTTTGACTTTCAGGTTCGCGGCAATTCTAGCGGGCGTGACGCTCTTTGGGAGTACGACAGTGCCACGCTGAATCGCCCACGAGCCCAGCAGCGCACCGGGGTTCAAGTCAAGGCTCTTCGCGATCTCGTGGACCTTGGGGTCGTCGACCGTCTTGGGCTCTCCGGTCTGGTTGTTTCCGAGAGGAGAGTAGGCCTGTACGAGGATGCCCTTGTCCTTGTGGTATTGGAGCAGGTCTGGTTGTTGCAGGTACGGGTGAGCTTCGATTTGGTTGACGGCAGGAACGACGGTCGTCTTCTTCAGGAGATCTTCGAGTCGGCGGATGTTGAAGTTGGAGACACCGATTGCCTTGACTTTGCCGGTGGAGAGGAGCTTTTCCATGGCTTTGTAGGTCTCTTCGACTGGAACGTCATCGAGCCTGAAGACGCCTTCGTCGTCGAGAGGGAACCACTTGCTGCCGGGGGCGAAAGCGCTGTAACACGTTAGATGAGCTCACTCCAAAGCCGATTCCAAAATACTCACACAGGCCAATGCATCAGGTAGAGATCCAAGTAGTCTGTGCCCAAGTCCTTGAGAGACGCATCCAATGCCTTTTCGACATATTCAGGTCTGTGGCTGGTGTTCCAAAGCTTTCCTGTAAGGAAGATGTCTTCTCTCTTCACGCCAGACTTCTTGATGCCAGAGCCGACTTCCGTCTCATTGCGGTAGATAGCAGCACCATCGATATGGCGGTAGCCCTGCTTCAATGCCTCCTCAACAGCTTGCTCAACCTCATGAGGGGCAGCTTGCCATGTGCCGAATCCGACTGCTGGAATCTTGGCTCCGGTGTTGAGAGTGAAGTGCTCGGGGAGAGGCATTGTGGTGGTTCGTTCGACGAGGATTTGGAGAGTTGGTTCGGTTACAGGGCGTCTGCGTCTGCGGGAACAAAGAGCGTGGGAGTGGAATATTTATGTTGCCCCACCAGTCGTCGTACCTTGTCGGCTCTCTTGTCTATGCCGACACAAGGCCGATGTCGTGCTCGTCTCGAACAATCGCACCCACATGGCCTGTAGAGCAGGTCGCCGGTAAGTGCCATGACATCTCGAAACAGCGATCAGGACGATTTTCCGAACCAGAGTGAAATAATATTCGAGTCTGACCAGATTGAGCTTCTCGGAAGACTCCACGTCGGCTTCTGCATCCCTGTCAGGCCCATGGATATCGGCTCCATCTCGGCGGATTCCTGCCGGATTATCCAGATAGCTATCCGCTCGTTGTACCGCCTGAGTCAGGATGCTGACCTGTCAGGAATTGAATTCAACCCACTTTGATCTCAGGCAAAGCAGCCGGCGGCAAAGTTCCCGTATTCTCCTTCACTCTCCGCCATCGCAGCACAGGGACGCGCTTGTCGCCCTTGATAATGGTGGTCTCCTCGCCGCCCAGGACAAGAACCTGTTCATCCTCCTCAAAATGATGAGATCGAATCTCGATCTCGCCAACACGATTGGGAAGAATGCAAAGCTCGAAGGAGTGCCTGAGGACTTCTTCCTTTCCAGGTCCTTCGTTGGAAATATAGAATGGACCGGCGTAAGTGAAGGACCTTTTCGCTGCTTCGGCCCATTGCGATTCCGCATTGCCATCGAAGCCTTTCTGGCCAGGCATCTGCATCTGCGCAGACATGTAGCCGTCCACGGTATACATGATGAGGCCAGTGACGTTCTTGGTCATCGGATAAGTTGGCCTCTGGACAGTGGATTCCGGTGTTGGGTTGGCGATGTAGGATTCCAGGCGCCAGGTGCCGGACAAGCGTTCGCGGAGAGGTTTGGCCGCCATTTTGTGAAGGAAAGACGAGGTGTTAGCAGTTGGTGATGCAGTTGAAGACGTGAGCTCTGTCTACGCGGCTGAAAGGATGCAGCGGAAACCGGTATGCCCAATTTGGCGGTTTCGTGCACCCCCTCAAAATGTAAACAATCGTCGGGGTCACTTGGTGCTCAATGCACTGCTGTCAACACTACCTACATGTACACTATTGCTTCCCTGCGATAGACGAGAGAGAACCGCAATTATTGTATCTGCATCGTTTTCGAATCCGGACGTACACGCGCAATCTCTGGCTTGGAACTCGACAAGTCGCGAAAGGACAAATCGCCTCCCTCACCAGTCGAGATGGATTACACGCCTTACATTATCACGGCCATCCTCGTGTTAGTGTCTCTATACGCAGGGTTTGCCTCGAGAGATAAGCCCGTGCCGCAACTGGGGCAGTCGCAGAAGTTGAAAAGAGGTTTCGACGAGGAAGAGTAGCCCATATGGATAATGAAATAGTAGAAAGCAATTGCCTCCTCCCTCCGAATTCAGGCTAACACCCTCCAGAGCCTGGCTTTCAGAGCGACATGCGGACTATTCCGCGAACATTTGGCATCCTCTCGACGCCAACTAAGCACAGGGCCAGGCGTCGGGCGACATGGGGTATCTTGGCCTCGGAGCAAGTCGCACATCTTCTTTTGGGAAGACTTCGCCGAGGAGAGCGACATCTTTTGGGATCGATCGAGGGGTTCAGACCATTGGTACGATGTCTGCATTTCTAGATTGGATAAATTGGTCAAGATGTCATGACTTGCCGAGCCTCTCCCTAAATCGTAGACACTTTCTTTCAGCTCGTCTGCATGCAGCAGAACTGCTACGACACTCAAACTTGTACCGTGTTTCGTCGATGATTGTGAAAGCAGGAAGATGTCAGTGACATTCTTGCAATTGGGCTTCGACACGACCTTCCTGGGGTTGCTCCAGCTTGTTGATCCCAGCAAAGCCAATCGGAGTCGATGCCATGATCTCGGCTAGTCGCGGGCAGCTATTGGGCTCGAAGTTAACTCGACCACGACCTCGAGCGCGACCATCCTGGATATACGTCAAGCGTCACGAGGTCGTCCAGTTCAATTCTTCCCACAACTGCCCGTCTCCCACTTCACAATCCTCTTCCAATTCCACGGATTCGGCTATTGAAACAATCAATTCATCTGTTCGGAATCGCCCACGACGTCAACCCGCACGAGCTCGGACCGGACCTGTGATTCAGCGAAATCGGGAGCCGTCAAGGGATCTGCACCGACATCACTCCACCGGACCACCAGCGGCAATCTTCACCAATTCTCAATCAGAGAGGGCCCATCGAGTTCGAGATACCAAGCCCTTCTTTGTCCCCTCCCCTCAAGAGCACGCGAGCCATAGTGGGGTAGCGAGAAACACGGCTCCGATTGCCCAAGCAAGCAAGGGAAAGGCAACAAAGACACATCCGCGCGCTGTTCCTGCAGGTTCAGGAGCGAGCTGCACACACGAGAACACCTGCTGCAGGGAAGCACATCAATTTCAGTCGTCAACATGGCATTGAACCCACACAAGAACAACAAGGTCGACGTCAACGTACGTATCCCCCTCTATCTGCGGAGAGAGCAAGGGTTCATGGAAAGAAAGCTGATCAAGGGATTCTGTATGGCAGTCTCTCACCGAGGAAGAACAGAAGCTCTTCCGCCTGTACGGCAAACTGCCCAACAAGAAAGATCTCTTCAGCAAGAAACTGCAGGAACGCAAATACTTCGACTCCGGCGACTATGCCCTCTCCAAAGCCGGCAAATCCGACACCAGCTCTCTAGGCGGTGGTCTGGGCCGCGAGCACCCCACGTAAGTCCACCAGACACCAGGACACCTCACAATGCCTCCCCCTCGAATGCCCCCCACTGATAGCTTGCTTCCTGTCTGTATAGCCCAGAGAACATCCCCCACCACTCCCAGGCCCAACCCGCCAACCCAGCCGGAACACCCAGCGCAGAAGGCGGTCCTCGCGGCAGCATTTCCGCCCCATCAGGCGCCACCGGCGGCCCAGAACTCCAGCCCATCACTTCACGTTCCTCGGGCTCGCCCGTCAAGGAGAGCACCCTGCACCGCGGAATGAGCGTGGACGACGAAGAGGGCAACCCAGTCGCGGACGACGCGGGCGAAGGAGAAGAGAAAGGCATGCCGATACGGCAATAGAAGAAAGGCCCGCCAAAGATGACAACGAGTATGTGCGTGATGACAGAAAGCTCTGGAAGCGATGAGGAACCTTCCGTACTCGTAAGAAGACGCGGAAGATATGCCACGTGATGGCCGGAGAAGATGATACACTATGGCTTGGTATGGCTGGGCGTCCGAATGGAGGGCATCGGAGGCAAAACACTTACCCTGGACCGCGATTTCACGGCGTCTGGCGCGCCGGATACGATGTGACGAAGATTCAGAGAGCTCTCATTTCCTATTCCGATGAAGCTTTGAAGCTTTTCCATATGTTCAGACTCTACTTTTTTTTATCCCGGAATCCGCTTTCATTTCCCCATTCTACCAACTCCAAAGTATCCTAGCATGGTATCTCAAACCCTAGCAGCAGCAAAATCCAGCCTCATCACGATCACGATCTCTTTCCCTTCTGCGCCAACAAATTCAACGCACTCCCCGCCAGGATGAAATTCCTCTGATCCTTGCTGATCGTATGCTTCACCGGCACGCGATGCGTCTCGCCACTCCCCTTCTTCTGGACAATCAACGTGATCTGGCCCTCGCCCCCTTGTAGCGCATCGTACAGCCCTTCCGTACTCACCTCATCACACCCATTCAGCAAATCGTAATCCGCCTCGTCGACAAACGTAAGCGGCACGACGCCCTGCTTTTTCAGATTCGTCTCGTGGATGCGCGCGAAAGATTTCGCCAAAATGATTTTGCCGCCCAGATAGCGCGGTTGGAGGGCGGCGTGTTCGCGCGCGGAACCCTCGCCGTAGTTGTGTTCTGCGACGACGAGCCAGGGTTGGTCTTGGGATTTCCATTTCGAGGCGAGGTCCGGGATGGTGTGTTCTGTTCCGTCGACGTCGAGGACGTGGTTGACGTTGCCCGTGTCGGCGGAGATGGCGCCGATGAGCGTGTTTTCGGAAATGTTGGGGAGATGGCCTTTGTACTTGAGCCAGGGGCCCGCGGCGGAGATGGTGTCTGTTGTGCATTGGCCTTTGACCTTGACGAGGACTCTGAGACCGGAGAGCTCGCCTTGTGGGAAGGGCTCGAAGGGTTCGAGGAGGGCGAGGCGGTCCGAGTTTGGGTCTACGGCGACGGAGACATCTGGGTTTGGGATGGGCGCAGTAGGCTGGAAGAGCGGATTGCCAGATTCGAAGCCTTTGCTTGGGAGATCAATGCCCGAAGGCGGCTGGAAGCGGAATTTCTTTCCATCAGAGGTCGTGATGCTGTCCGTCATTGGGTTGAAGTCAGTCCGGCCGGAGTAGGACATGGCAGTCACGAGCTCAGGCGAGGCGAGGAAGTTCATGGTCTTGCTGTTACCGTCGTTTCGGCCTGGGAAGTTTCGGTTGTATGATGAGAAAATGGCATTTGCTTCGCCTTTCTTCACACCATCCGTTCGGGACCATTGCCCGATGCAAGGCCCGCAAGCGTTAGCCAGAACAAGACCGCCCGCGTCCGTGAATGTTTCCAGTGTACCGTCCCTTTCCACGGTCGCACGAATTTGTTCGCTACCAGGAGAAATGAAGAAGTCTGCCTTTGGCTTCAGACCCGCATCAGCGGCTTGTTGGACGAGAGACTCAGCGCGAGTCATGTCTTCGTACGAGCTGTTGGTACAGCTGCCGATGAGTCCAGCGCCAAAAGTCTCTGGCCACTGGTTCTTTTCGACCGCAGTCTTGAATGCCGAAAGAGGTGTTGAGAGATCAGGAGTGAATGGTCCATTGATATGAGGCTCTAGGTCAGAGAGGTTGATTGTCACAATATCATCGTATTCGCACTCTGGGTCAGCAGTCAATAAATTGTGTGGGCCGGGTGTGGATGCAATGGCAGATGCTTGTTCAGCAATTGATCCTCTGTGTGTGGATTGAAGGTATGGGCCATGCGAGTTAGGTGTGTAAGGGAAGATGGAGGTAGTGGCTCCGACTTCTGCTCCCATATTACAGCAAGTGGCCATTCCCGTGCAGCTGAGAGATGCCACTCCCGGGCCAAAGTACTCAGTGATAAAGCCTGTACCTCCACGTACTGTCAGCTTGCCAGCAAGCGCCAGGATAATGTCCTTCGGAGATGCCCATCCGCTGAGCTTGCCCTCGAGCCTCACTCCTCGGATCTTAGGTGCCTTCAACTCCCACGGCGCATCGACGAGAGCGTCAACCGCATCAGCACCACCCACACCAATCGCAATGGCGCCCAAGCCGCCGGCGTTGGGTGTATGACTGTCTGTTCCCAGCATCATCAACCCAGGCGCAGCATAGTTCTCCAAGACGGTCTGGTGAATGATGCCAGCCCCAGGAGGCCAGAACTCAATTCCATATTTCTTGCCTGCACTCTCCAAGAAGTCATATACCTCTTTATTCCCCTTGATGCTATTCGGTAGATCCGTGTCCGCGCCCTTCTCTCCAACAATCATATGGTCGCAGTGTATGCTGGCTGGCACCGCAGTCGTAGGCATACCACAGCTCATGAATTGTAACAGAGCCATCTGAGCACTCGCATCTTGCATAGCGACGCGGTCAGGCTTGAGCTTGAGCGTAGCATTGCCCCGAATATCGGTGCCATTGTTGGTGCCCTCTAACAGTGATTCTTCCGGGTTGTCCAAGTGTGAAAACAGAATCTTCTCGGCCAATGTGAGCTTGGTAGTGGGTAACAGCCTTCGTACTTCGCGTAGCCTCTTCAAGAGTTTCGGATATGGAGGCGTTCGGGCGGAGACATCGCTTGCGACTGGAGATTCGGACGGTGTCGCGAGACCTCTTTGCTGGAGGTAGACTCCTTGTCGCAGGGGCGTTGGGAGCGCGAGAAGGTTGGATTTTGGGCGTACATTAGATGCAGCAGATGCTGCTCTCCTCGCCGCCAGCATCTTGAGAGACAATGGCAAGTGGAAGCGTGTGGAATGACTACTTCAAAATGTCGAGAAAGTGTGAGACGGGAGCACAAGGCAGCAGAACAACCGAGATCGCTTCACGAAATTGGCTTCGGAATCGTTCCGGTTGGCCATGCAGGCGAAATGTTAGAAATAGCACAGATATCCCGGTCGAAAAGTTGACTCCACCAAAGCCATTCTCAGAGTAGGGAAAGGAGGAGTTTGAAGGAAGTGTGAAGAGAGCTCAAGATGGTGACACCACAAGCGAATGGCGGGCACATGACCTACACATTCATCGTGGAGCACCTTGATCCAGAATTGGAAGAGTGGCAGACTCTGGAATACAACACCATCTACAAAGAGTCCGAAGCCAATGGCCACAAATTCTTGCTCTCCGGCCTGAGTCCTTCGTTCGCCGGTTCCAAGGGACTCTCGCTCCCAGAAACGAGCAAGACATCTCGCACAGCTGAGTCCATGTATCCCGGCGACGCAAAGCAGAGAGTCTGCCTCCTGGATCCTAAGGCAGAGAAAGACATTGGCCCGGAAGATGCAGATTCGTTTGACGCTTTCCTCTTTGGCGGTATTCTGGGCGATGATCCACCTCGGGACCGTACTGGTGATCTGAGAAAGCTCGGCTTTCCTGGACGGAGACTTGGTCCCGAGCAGATGACTACGGATACGGCTGTCAGGGTCACGAGGATGGTCGTACAGAATGGGAGTAAGTGACGGGCTACTATCAGCGCAAGAATACCCTACACCTCTGCTGAAACTACTCTAGTGACCCTCGCCGAGATCCCATTCATTGATCGCCCGGAGTTCCACATCCCATCGGCGCCTGGGCCAGACGGAAAAGCAGGTATGCGGAGTGTGTTGTCCGCTCTGTTTGCCTCACTCGCTGACATCTACATTAGGACCTGTAGAAACTATCGACATGCCCTTCAAATACGTCAGGGATACCGCCACCGGCCAACCTATACTGCCAGACGGCATGCTGGATCTCCTCGCGAAGGACGCAGACAAGGACATCCTCGACTTGCTCTGAGCCGCCATTCGCATTTCCGTTCAAAGTCATGTGACTGGAACTTTGGAGCTGAGATGGAGGCAGAGTAGGTAACGTGAAATCTTCGTGCTTTTCTGCTTGAAATCTTCATGCCTTTCCTTTTCTGCTTTTCGGCTGGTCGGCTACCCCAAACTGTTGTCTGCTTCACCTCGCAACCTCTGACTATCGACACATCTCCTTCCAGCCGCGCAGATCTGAAAAACGTCCAGCCATACACAAGGGAAAACCGTCTTGCATTTCTCTCCATGAGTAGATGGGTATGCAAAAGTGCAGGCGCCCGTCGGCCGCCTCGGTGAGCGCTGTGTCGATGGAGACATCCTCTCGCACCACATATTGGGCAGACCTGCATCCTCTGCCACCAGTTCGACCGCGACGTTCGCGACCTGTCTTCCACTCGCAGCTGAATGTTCCTCGACGCTTCACCACGAACCCTCTCCATGGCCGGTCTTACAGCACCATATCAATTCCGCTTCCAGATGAAGATTCGGGGGCAAATGCATCTACCACGGCCGCCAACACGTTTCAGTCACACACGCAAGAGGAGGACCACACGCAGCTGGCTTGTGATGAAGGAGCGGCGCCTCAGAAATACGGTGTCGGTGTTGCCGGCGCGCGGCTGCTGCACATCACCGAGCTCGTCGAGGAAATCCTACTGCATCTCCCCCTCTGCGACATTCTAACGAGCCAAGCCACATGTCGCGCCTTCCGCAACACCGTCCGCGGCTCCATCCGACTGAAGCGCCGGCTCTTCCTTGCGCAGGACCCGAACAGCACCGCCGTCGTCCTCAATCCCCTCCTGAGTCAACTGTGCGCATCCTCTCACTACAGTTCCATTCTCGAGGTACTCAACCTCAGCGATCGCCCCGCCTCATGGCCATCGTCTGGTATGACCTCCAACACCATCTTCTCTCATGCTGGTCGTCATTTCGAACCCGCGCCCTTTTACCCCTACTCCGCGAATCCACTACCCCTCGCCAACACCGAGACCGACTCTGCGTGCTTGCATTGGCAGCTCAAAGAACTCGGTCAAGTCGGAACGGGCAACGAACAACACTTCTCGGCCATGCCTTACGAATCGAGTGCTTGGCACATGCTCCTCTGCCAGACACCGAACCCCATCGACGTCCACATTACCGTGCGCCGTGACCCGGAAGTGAGCTCCCATCTAGGCGCATGTTGGTCTGAGCAGGTGAGCCTGCAGAACGGCACCGTCCGCGAGTTGATCCAGAAGCTTGTCGAGAAGCTGGATCTGGAACGTGGTAGTTGCCTCGGACCAGGAGTGCCGCTGAGGGTAGTGGGTACTGCTCCGGCGAAGCGGCGAAAGTAGCAGTTTGCAGAAAGGATAGCTTTGCCGGGCGAAATGGATCATGGCATTGGGTCGTCAAGTTCAGAGGTGGCATACTGGAGGATAGAAAGGATCAAGAAGACGTGGACGGAGAGGGTGGGGTATTTCACAATCGCCAGACCTCATTCAACAAGTGCACATTCTCCTGATCCAGCTATCGTCGAGATTTCTTTTGGAGATGAGCTCCGTGCTTCTCCTCTCTTTGGATAGAATGCCGGTTTGATTCGGGGCCTCTTGGTGTGGCTGACGCTTCTTCCATTCTGAACTTCGATAAATCAGCAGCAGTGAGTGAAGTGGAAGTATTCTTCCGGCCGGTCAACGAAGGATATCATCAAAAGGGGGGGTGTGTGTGTGTGTGTGTGTGTGTGTGTGTGTGTGTGTACATGCCCCCCTGCAATTGCAAGCATCGTTCGCTCTGCGTTATCGAGAGAAATGAGAAAAAGTTGAATTGCTCGGCATTCATCGTATCGAATGATGGAGATTGGAAAAGACATCACGATTGAAATATAATCCCGGGTTGGGTGAACCCCGACGACGGCGAAAACTCTGGATCACGAACCGAAGAGTATCGCATATGACGTCTTGAGCAGCGAGAAGACGACGAGTTGTATAATAATGAGAGAGAAAAAGGAGGAGCTGTGCTATCAGTATAGGAGTTTTACAGAACAGCGCTGGGAGCTTGCATTCTAGTCTTCTGAAAGCAACCCAACCCAACCTTCTTGGATCCAGAATTCGGCAACCATGATACATTTCCCAACCTCCTCGCGAGTCCTCGACGACAACAACAACAACAATAACACTCCGATCTTCAAAAAGCGCAAAGAACCATTCATTCCCAGCGCACCACCGCAGACCAGCGATTATAGATGTTCATTTCCTTCCTCAAACTCTCTTCCATTCCACGTACCTCTCGCTGCCAGAATGGCCCGAAGACCTCAGAATTTCGAATTCCTCCCGGGCCCCCGCTTGGCCGGGCAGCAGTTTGAGACGCAGCGGCCACTTGTCGACGATACTGTTGTGATCTTTGAAGAGCATGCTACCCTTGCTAGCGATTTCCTGGAAGTGCTCTGCCTGCATGTACCCAGTAGAACCATCAGTCGTGTGGGGCACAGGATTGGAGAGCTCTTGTAATCGTTCAACTTACGAGCCAAAGTGCCCTTCCACGTCCCGAACACAGTGCAGCGATGCGAGGGCCGCGATCATCCAAGCGTTCGAGCCGTGGGTGGTCGTCGTCATGGCGGCCATCATGCCCATCAAGTCCGTCGGGCGGGGCAGGTACTGGAAGACCTTTGCAATGTCGGTCTGGGAAGTCTTGCCGTCTTGGAGACACACTTCCTCGACGGCGTTCATGTAGGAAGTGATGAGTGTCGCGTAGGGGTTGTCGGCAGGTTTCTGGAGCAGCGGACCGAGGAGGCCCACGGTGCGAGCGGTGCCTAGGTAAGCTCTATCTGCGATGTTGGAGGTCTGTGTGTTGTTTATATCAGCAGAGTTTTTACACAGAGCGAACATTTTCCAAACACAACATACCTCGATGCGTGCGAAGTCTTTGCCGGCCAGATGCTGCGGAAGCTCGGCGGCGTTCATGTTGAGCATGTGGAACTTGCAGCCGGGCGCAGCGAGACGGGAGCGGAACGAAGTGAGTACGTGCTTGACATGGTAGTAGAGTTTCCCGTACAGGTCGTTGGTGGCCGGTCCGCAATCGACCTTGACAACATCCGGGTAGTGCCAGCCTTCCATCGGATCCGACGAGTCCTTCATGGGCCAGTCCGCGCCCTGGAAGAAAGTCCTAGAGCTGCTCGTTAGCCTTTCCTACGTCTCCGCTGGTGACTTGGGTCATGTGCTCACGGATTCGGCACGGTGAACTTCTCGCGCGAATTCCCAAGGGGGAGAAGAATCCCATCTTCCCGAAACTTGCTCATGCCGACGCGATGAGCTGGGATTTGGAGGAGCATGTGGCGGTCTCGATAGTCGACGCGCTCGCGTGCCAATGTGACGTCCTTGCGGATCTTGTAGGCGCCCTCCGCTGTGAGGCCCTTGGGGACCTCGAAGTATGCGAGCAGCTGGTCCCACAGGCACTTGGGCAGCTCCACTCGGCAGCTGTTTGCACCGAATGTCCAAGTCTTTCCAAGCACCTGATTCGAGGCCTTGCCCGCGATCTTGTCGACGACTGTTTCAATCAGAGGACGGACTTGGTTGATGAGGATGTCGAAATCAGACTGCCGAATTGTGGCCGAATACCAGACATGCAGCATGCACTCGACCGCATCAGTGGTCTTGTCAAATGTCAAGGCAATGAGCACGAAGATGATGTTGCGCGCTACGACATCGAAGTCGAGATCGTTGACGAAGACCGAGAGCTGCTTGTCATATCCGACGGGCAAGGAAGCGATGGTCTTGACGATATTTCTCCAATCTCCAGAGGCTGCGAAAAGCAGACGTAGTTCTTTCTCATGATCTTCTCCCTCATTGGCTGGCAGGTTGAGGATGTCGATGGCCGGTACGTTGCCCCAGAAGTACTTCTTGCCGCCGAAAGCGACCTGTGGAGGGCCGTCCCCGATGAATGCCGGTGTACGCTTCTCCATCTCCCAACTCGGTTTCCAGTTGGGCTTCATCAGCGGCGACTTGCAATCACGGCGGTGCTTGGCTGCGTGGTGCTTTGCGCACTTGGCACTGCAATACTACAATTGGTCAGCTTATGCGCAGACTCTGTGTGAAGAGAGCCACTTACAAGAACAAGCTTGCAAGACTGGCATGTTATCTTGCCCTCGGCGTGACAGCTTGTACATTGCCGGTCCGAGACTGCGTCGCCTGCCATGGTCCTAGATACCAATGTGTCGTTGGCGAGTTGAGAAGAGAGCGTCTAGACAAGGCTGCTGCGGTTTTAAGTCGCAAGTGGTTTGATGTAGTAGAATCTTGAAGCAAGATCTGGAAGATGCAAACGGCAGACTTCTGGTTCCGTCGCCCAGCAATAATGACGTTTCCTGCACAGCTTCAAGGCTCGAGCAAACGGCGAAACCGCTGTACAGCAAACAAGAACGCTTGCATGCAGTCTTTGCATGCCGGGACCTCAGGTACTACGAGGCGGTGATCCATGGACCAAGTTCCTTGCCAACGCCTTTATGCAAACAAGGACGCCCAACGCTGTCCACCATTGCGAGTGTCTGAACATATTGCAGACTCGACAAACGAGCATATGCACGTTGCCGAAAGGAATGACCCGCGCAGCAAAGTCCCTTACTCCAACTTGGGCATGGTGCCCGATCAATTAAGCACCCAGAGTAAAGCTTACTGCCCCTTCGTACAGTGGAATGACTTCGTCTTCCCAAGCATGCCGGCAGAACGTATAGCAACAGCGAGTTGGGTATCACAGAACTAGTCGTTAGCAGCCATCGACCCTCGGGATAACCCTCCGGAGCGTAAAGAAGGCATGAACGAGATCTCCTTCCTCGTAAGACATCAGCATTACCATTATACACGACAGCACTTCGCACGCCTCCATAATTCCATACCTCTCCTCCCCGGCATCCTGAAATCAGCCATCTCGCCTACCTCAGGCCCAATTCCTCACCAAAACGGTCATCTCATCCATGCCAAGATGGTCGAGTGTCCCGGAAGACATAGATTCTCAGCTTACTGGACTCATATTCGCTCCTCATAGAATCGCCCTCCATACCACTCGAGCGCGCCGGCAGACATCGTCTTCCTTGTCCGGATACCTTTTTGTGTTCCACGGCTCGGAATTCGAAATGCGAGGACGACGCAGGAGAGTAAAACTACCAGAGTGGTAGAGCATCTCAATGAGGACGTGAGTCGATGTTCCGGCGATGGGCTGGCTTCCAGCTAGAGTGAGGTGAAGTGGTGCTTTCCCCGCAAGTTTCAGAAATAGTATCCCGTATCGCTCCACTACGGCGCACCACAAATGCCTCGGACACAATATTCCATACCTTTCGACCGCGTCAAACACCACTCTCTAATCACCCCAACCAAGACAACAACAACAATCCTCCATTCCATCACAACTACTCCCCCCAAAACAATCCCAGTCAAGACAACAACACCTCACACGCAAAGTGATTATTAGAAAGCAAAGCCACTACAGCAAAATGCCTCCCCCCCATGTGCACCTCCCCAACGGAAATCTGGACGCACATCATCACACATGACGAAACCAACAACCGCAAGAGCCATGACCTAGTGATCTCTAACTCTCCCTCCGACGACAAACAAACCCGCCAATTGAAAGCCTGGCAGGCGTCGAGCACTTCTTCGCCGCCGGGGAGAAATCCTGCCGCATCGTGATCACCCTCGCGCTCTCCCGATGACGATTCCTCCGACGTACGATCTGAGGGATTTGGTCCAGCGAGGAAGCCGCGGTTTCGGTACTTTGGCGAACAGGGCAGGCTCGGTGAGGCCGGGTGCATTGGGATTTGCGACTGGACGATGGAGAAGCCCGTACGAAGATTCGGGAGGCTTGCGCGGTTAGGGAAGGGGTGGGAGAGGAGGAGGCGAGGATGGAATTTGAGTGGAAGCCGACGCTGACGGCTTTCTTTCGTGGACTGGGATGAAGGGGATGCTCTGATGGCAGCTTTTTCTAACATTCGTATCTGGACATTATCCCCGGAGACTCCGGCCGTGTCTACGCATAGACCTTAAATCGAGCGCTCTTCGTCTCAGTGCGCATCGCAGTGCATGGCTGTCGTGGCAACCCAATCCCCAATGACGAAGCTGCCCAGGAATGTTCCTCCCAGGATCGACAAGAAGTATCCAACATTCATCGTCATGACCGCAAGCATACTAGGAATACCGTCAGCGAACCACACTCAGCATTCGAGGTTTCTGGACTCGACACTTACAGCAAATATGAGACGCCAGCAAGGACGGTATCCAGCAAAGCTCGCGCGAGAGCCTCATTGACGCTCCACGGCCTCTGGGGCACAGCCAGCAGCCTCAACTTCGCATGCTCCTCAAAGTCCGATCTCAGAAGACTGGTATCTCTTCGATGCGCAAACCATATGAGCATAGCCGGAAAGTTTGCCCGCAAGGCGATGATGCCGCGAAAGATGGCGGACAGGACGATGAGGAAGATACATGTCCCTGTATATTGGCCGGTGGTGTTGGGTGTCCAGGCCTCGGAGTACAGAGGCGTGTTTGTTGCGGTGAAGAATGTCATCATCATGTCGGCCATGGACATCATCGTTCCTGTGCTCATATCCATTCCGGACGTGCTTGTTGAGCTCGCCATGCTCCCAGACATTGTCGACGAGGCGGCCATGGTGGATGACATTGCCATGCCCGACGTGGTCATGCTTGTCATGGTCGACATGTCCATGGTGGGCGACGCCTGTTTTGGAGGGGCGCGATAGAAGTCCGCCCGTTAATCAATTTTCGACTGGCTTCAAAGGTCGCCTTCAGTCTGCCTGGTCTGCCAAGTGGAGAGCTCCGGGTGCGAGACGGCAAGTCCGAGCGAGATAGTGTATCTCTCCAGCGACGTCAGGAGATGGACAAACAAGAATTATTCGAGGCGGTAAAATTCAGCAGAACAAAGCAAAGCGGCAGCGACGACACCTTGTGTTGGAAAATGCAGCAGAAACGGCCTCAGCGGATCCGACTCAATCCCCACGCAAACTCGCTCTCGTGGGATGCGGCTCGCCTTCCTCTTTCTCTTTCTTCCCGCGATGCGATGCGATGCGCCGTCGGCCTCGCTCGGCCACTCCCACCTCGCCGTCGTCGCATGATCACGTGACGGGAAACTTGCTCATTCATGCTCCTTCTCTTGGCGCTAGCGGCGATCATTGTCCGGTCCGGGTATAACTCGTGGGCATCCCTGCTCGCGCCGGCGCCAGTCCACCCGGCACCTTCCGTCCCCGAATGTATGGAGCGTGCATCCGACTCGCAGGAGACTCGCCAGTGCTCTGCGGCAAGACGGCGTCGACCGGCGTCGACTGCGTTTACGGCGTCGACCGCGTGGGTACGGTGCGGTTACGTCGGCAGTCCATACATGTAGCCGCGAAGATAGACATCACCGACCCGCAGGATTCGTTGATTGAGCACATTTCATCCTTGGCGTGAGTGCGATTGAGAAGGCCAACAAATCCTCAACACCTGACTGGACCAGGCCAACTTCACCCTGCCTTCTTCGCTGCCCGTCTTCCGGCACGAGCAGCCACGCTCTCATCAAAGAACCCTTTTTCCCGACAACGTGGCACTCGAGACTCTCGTCCGCCGGGCACTTGCGACAAGGAGGCTTTCCCAGGCACCGCGAAGATACCTTTGTCTGTCCGACCATCCCCTTCCACCTGCGAGTGCATCGCCCGGAACCGCAGACAACTGCGTGCAGTCCTTCGACTGCGACACTCACCACCAACATGGATGACATGAGCATGGGGACTCCATGGCTTGACCAGCCCGTCATGTTACATTCCTCGCGGGCGTACAAGTGCTCACTCAAGTCACCAGCACAATGTCTGTACCAACAGGGCTACTGGAGGTTCTGGTACGAAGCCGACCATCGCTATGCCTTACCGACCGTTGCCTTCTTCCTGACGGCCATCATCCTGTTCGCAATACCTTTCGTCCTCAACACAATATGGCCCGGAACGACATCGAAGAATCGAGCGACGCGGAAGCTGACTGCTCTCGGTCGATTCCTCTCCTACCGACAGTATCGCATTGGAAAGCTCAACTGGAACTCAGCACCACTCGGCGTCCTCTTGCTCGGCGCAGTTGGAACGATCTTCTTCTTCTCCATGACATTGGGCCCGAAACCGTACTACTGGCCAACGAACGCAAAGTTTGGCAACTCGCCGCCGATTGCGACTCGCGCCGGCTGGATGAGTCTCGGATGTCTGCCTTTCGTCATTGCCACGAGCTCGAAGAGCAATCTCATCACGGGTTTTACGGGTGTCAGCCACGAGAGGCTCCAGGTCTTCCATCGATGGATCAGCTACGCCATGTTCGTTCTGGCACTGATTCACACCTTCCCTTTCATCATATTTCACATCTGGAAAGGCGACATGACGACACAGTGGAATACGTCCGTGGCCTACTGGACGGGTGTCGTAGCCATCATCGCGCAGGCGTACCTCACCTTTGCCTCACTCAGTCCGCTGAGGAACATGTGCTATGAGTGGTTCAAATTCTCGCATTTCCTCGCTGCTCTGGTGTTCGTGCTGTTCTTCTTCTTCCACTGCGACTTCCGCCTCAGTTCCTGGGACTATTTCGTTGCCACGGGCGTTTTGTTCGGCTTGACATGGCTTCACTCCCAACTGCGAATTTATTTCCAGCATGGCATCGGCAAGAAAGCGACCATTTCGTTGGTGTCGAACGGATTCATCAGAGTCGGCATTCCGACGAAGACAACGTGGAGGGCTGGTCAACACTTCTTCGTGCGCTTCGTGGGACTGGGCACGCACGCTCTTACCTCACACCCGTTCACCGCCTGCTCCCTTCCCACGAAAGCCAACTTCTACGAAGCACAAGATTCCGAGCTAGTCTTCTTCATCAGACCACAGGGAGGCCTGACAGCAAGGTTGGCCAAGTACGCGGAGAAGCATCCGGGTGGCAAGATGAGGGCGATGCTTGACGGACCATATGGCGGTATCGACATGCCTAAGCTCGCGACGTATGAGAGATTGCTTGTGCTGGCAGGCGGCTCTGGTGCTGGATGGTGTCTGCCTCTCGTCGAGGCGTTCCTCCGACGTAAAGATTGTGTTGAGTGTTGCAATGCGCCGACTGGTGGCGAGAAGGTCGACTGCAACATCCCATCGATGAAGGTCGTCCTCGCGACTCGTGACCTGGCAACGAGGAACTGGTTTCAAGAGGCCATCAGCGAGCTCCTCACCGACTCGCTTGTCGGGAAATGTCCCCCCGGCCTGGTCGTCGAGGTCCACTACACTGGCAGCTCAGAGAATGCAGAGAATCCCAAGCGAACAGGCCAGTTCCTGCACAAGCTAGACGAGCCGGAGAAGGCACCAGACGCGGACGTCATTTCTCACAGCGGAGAGACATCCTCTGATTCTGAGTCGGAGACCGCGAAAGGTGTCCCGAGCGGGTCTGGCCTCTCCCTTCGCGACTTCAGCTGCAGACCCAACATGCAGGCACTCGTCGCAGAAGAGTGCTCTTCGGCCGAAGCATGTCGGTCGATGGGTGTGTTTGTGTGTGGGCCGGGGAGTATGCAGAGCGATGTCGCGAATGCCGTTGCGAAGGAGCAGATGGCTGCTATGAAAGACGGACAGAGGGATGTTTATCTGCACATGGAGCATTTCTCGTGGGCGTAGAAAGTTTTATCTTATCAGGTCAGAAACGCAATGCAATGCAAGCGTTTGAAACTGTCATGACACACGAATCTCTCATCGGAAGCTGTCTACTATGTCCCGGGCCTACTCCGAGGCTTGATAGCGCGAGTCAAGGCTAAGGAGATAGAGAGAGAGAGAGAGTGACGAGCCGTCCTCGATATACGTGGCCGTGGATCGTTCAAGCCCTTGCGGAGGAGCAGCAGTTGACAGAACGGCTCTGTCGTAGGGACCGCCAACAAACGACATCCGCCCTCCACCTCACATGTACGTGCGGTGCATATCGAGGCATTTCCCCCACCTGGTGGCATGTTTGTCTCCGATATATCAACACGGCCTATGGTGTCGCTCGACCGAACCGAACCGAACCGAACCGCTCTCTTGTATAGTACAGTACCGTGACCATCGCGCATAATAGCATCTCGGAAAACGAAGAAGCGCAGTAGCCAGGCGCACGCATGGTTGTGTGGCCTGGAAATGAGATCATAAGGCAAAGGAAATCATATCATTGCATCACGCATATAAGGTATGCCTTCCTAGTCCTGCCTGCCTTCCCTTCGCCCGCGACTGGCTCTTGTTTGTCATATCTAGCAGCAACAGCAGTCATCGATACAGTTGCAGCAGCCTTCCATGCATTCGCAGCAGATGAAACAGGCGCAGAGGTCGACTACACAATGCGATTGTCAGTATGAGTAAGTATAGTATGGGCGGGGCGGTGGGACGTACGGATGATTCCACCACCACGCATCCCGAGAAATGTTCGCTTGGGTTTCTCCCCCTCCACCTCCTTGTTGCTCTCCAGATCGGCGCTACTGCTGCTGCTTGGCGCCGGGGCTTGGCTCATCATGGGGATGGGAGCTTGGTATTGCATTTCGACGTCCTTTGTTGGGGCGGCGGACATGGTTGGGCAGGCAGAAGGAGATTGAGATGTGTGAGTGTCTGTAGGTACTGGCGAGGAGAGGTTGTTCAATAGTAGGTTAGGTGGAAGAGTGTGTGAAGTGGGAAAGGAAGAGGAAAGGGAAGGTGATGAATGTTGGAGAGTTGGCCAAGCTTTCGGTTCGAAAGCTTGGGTTGAGAGCTTACCTTAATCATGTGATGATGAGGGTGGGTGGCTGTGCTAGCGCCCGGCCCAGATTCATGTTTCAATGCGGTTTCGGACGCGTCATCCCTGCACGAGGCTGTACGAGCCGGGTCGCGATTTCGCGCACGACGAATGAGATGGCGCTGTGATTGGGCGCTCGGGCTCCGATGCGTGGCGCTGTATGGCTGAGACCGCGTTTAGTGGCGCCACATCGAGGCTGAAGCGCGGCTGTGAAAGCTGCCCTGCATTGTGCAGGTGGTGAAGCGCGATGAGAAGCGTAAAAGACGAAAACGTACGCTCTCCAGACCAGCTGACACGAGCGAGGAGAGCAGAAGCGATGGGAGATGAGCAACTGATGCGACGATTAGGGGTATGCGACACTTCCCCCGCCCGAAGCTCACTCAAAGCACTTGAGACGGCTGACCGGATTAGCAGAAAAAGGAGCTGGGTCCTCACGCGTACGAGCAGCAAATGCCCGCTCGCGTATCACGGCTCCTCGAAGCAGAAGACGGCAAGAACAACGTGCTCTCCCACGTCCTGCCGAAACTGGCCGAGCTCCTCCACCACGACCGGGAGCTCGAAGTCGCATACCTGTGCACCGACCGGGTCCAGCAGGTCTCCAAGCTGCAGCACGAGGGCGCGCATTTCTGCGGATATCGGAACATGCAGATGCTGCTGAGTGCGCTTGACTCCTCGGCGGGAGAGGATTCTTGGAGCGAGCAGCGGGTCCCAAAGTCTCGCTTTCCGGTTTTATTGCGGCTGCAGGATATGATCGAGCAGGCGTGGGATTCGGGCTATAATCCTCACGGCCGGGTGCTGACGGGAGGCATTCGAGGGACCCGGAAGCACGTTGGCACCTCGGAGGTATTCGCTCTCACTCACTCCTCTCGAAGCGTGCTATGCGTGCTGATCGACGACAGGCAGAAGCCCTCTTCTTGAGCCTCGACGTGCCTTGTACTGGCCATGCGTTCCACGGCAAAGAGGCTTGGAGAGAGTTACTGGACTTCGTCGAGACATACTTCCAACCAGCTGAACGCGATGCCGTGAAAGCGAGGGTGGTGCGCACAGGCTTATGTCCCATATTCTTACAAAGACCCAATCATTCCTGGACGATCGTTGGTCTGGAGCGGACCAAGACTGGCAAACGGCGACTCTTGGCCTTCGATCCAGCCTGGCAGCCTCCTGCGAAGATGCAAAGCTCTTGCGACTATCGCACTCTCTCGGGCTGGTCGGCGAGAGTTGTGCTCCAGAGGTATCGGAAGAGTCAACGGTCCCTGAAGCGCTTCGGGGATTTTGAGACGTTGAGCATCGATAAGCCGGATTGAAGACCCAAGAGTTCGATTCTTGATCTTTCCATTTCGCTTGCTATGTCACGAGCAACTCACGCCGCGCGTTTACAAGGAGGCTGGATTGAATCAAGAAACTTCATAATTGGGAGTTGGGAATGCCGAATCTCTCCGGCTTTAGCTTCTGGTTTCCAATGAGCCAGGACACGGCAAATCACAACACCTCGAGCCCTTCTCGATCGAGAAATGAGCAGGCTTGATAAGCGAACTCATCGAAGCCAAGGTCGCTGGAGGCGCTGCCCGTATTGTAGGCTGGAGTCTAGGTGCCAGCGTGGCGCTTCATCTAGCAGCGAATTGACCATTCGTTGTACGCTCGATGCTCATACCAGGCCTGCTTCGGAAATCTTCCACGATCTTGGTCCACGCCACTCTTGTCTTGCGCTGTATGGCTAGATCACCAATTCGAGAACGCCATGCCTCGGCCTGTTATCCGGTGGCTTATGATATGTCCCTCGCGTCAACACAAAGCTCGCCGACTTTCCACTGATTCTGGGTATCTTTATCGATAGACTCTCTGGTCAATCACCGCCATCGTGGCCTGCAAAGACGCTGCTCATTGCCCCCACGAAAGCTGGAATTACTATTCCGTCGAATGACAACGCTAATCTAGCTAAGAAAAGTCGCGGAAGTTGGAAGACATGAGAAATGAGAGCACGTATGCTGTTCAGCATGAGGAGGATGAGACGATCCATGGCCTCGACTGGACCGTCGCCGCAGCTTTTTTGCTGAAGATTTGCGAGCTTGGATTTTTCGAGAACGAAGATTTGCCGTACGGATTCGAGCGACTGACTATGAGATCCTCTAGACAGCCGTGTCTAGCGCTCTCAGAAATCTTCAAACCGTAGCAGTCAGTCCCTGCTGTTCGGAAAGACGGACTTTCCTGTGACTTCACACGAAGCCAGGTTCGCGGCTTTTTCCAATTAGCTTGCGAATTCCGGATCCAGCGGGTTCAGCTGAACATGTCCAGAGGAACAACACCAGCAATTAATAAAAAAAACCCCTCAAACCGGAGTGTTGCTCCATAGGCAGGGCAGGGCAGCGAAATTCCCAAAACGTACGTACATGTACCAACGCCGCTGCCATCTATCTGCTATCTATCTATCTATCTACTCGCATTCTCAAGTAAAGATATGATATGAATTGCTGCGAAGTTTTTCCTTGCCTGCGATTGATTGATTGATTAGTATTCTTCCATTATCTAGATAGATACATTGAAACCCGAACGAAGTCGTTAAGAAATTTCGATGTTAGGATTTTTTTTGAAGTCGCTATCTATCATATCGTATCATACACCGACATCACCACCACCACCCAGGAAGATTCTTTTTTTTTTTTTTTTTTAGCTTTTGGCTTTTCCTCCTGGTCTACTGGATATCTACGACGATCGCAGATGGACTTCTGCCCCTTTTCCCTTCCTCGCACGTGAAATCTGTTGAAATTTCGTCAAATCCATCCAGCTTTACATCCCCCTTTCGTTTTCTGGTCCTTTGAAAGTGGCCGGGAGATCTTTTAAGAAAGAAGAAGAAGAAGAAGAAGAAGGAAGAAGAAGAAGAAGAAGAAGAAGAAGAAGAAGATTAACGTATGAAAGAGAGAAATGGAGGGGGGGATGATGATGATGATGATCCTGGTGGAAGCTCATGTATGTTTCCCGAGAAAGTCACGGCGAGACACGACATGACATGGGGAGGGTATTGATGATTACAGTAAAGTAGCGAAGGCTGCGCGAGATGGAAAGTTCTTTTTTTTTTTTTGTTTTTCCAAAGAGGGATGGCAAGGGGAGAGACTTCGAAGAATGGCTTCAGGAAAGATTTTGAGCGGTATCGCGCTGAAGTTGGAATTAGGAGAATGGGAGAAGATGGGGATTGACATTCCCCTCTTGCTGTATGGATGGATGGAAAAGGCATGGTGAAATGGAAGAAGAGCGCGGACAGAATGGCTCATGTCATGATGATGGAGAATGGAGTCGAAATCTTGGTCGAGATATGTGTGTGTGCGCGTGTGTGGATGTGTGTGTGAAGTCAAATGGGATTAATCAAGTTTCTCATTCTAGCCAGAGGACGTCTGCATCGAATGGGCAAAATGCGACATTTCCGTCCTATCAGTCATTGGCCCCATGAGAGTCCTCGAACCCTCTGTCGAAGAAGGCCCGCGTGAGAGCTAGCTACAGATGTTTCAGAGCTTGCTTGCCATGTGCATGTGCATGTGCATGTGCATGTGCATGTGCCATGGAACACCCAAATCTCCAAGAATCTGTCTCACACCCCACATTGGGGCCTCTCACACACACACACACACACACACACACATAAAACTATCGTCAAAGAACCGCTCTCATCATGTGAGTTCGGTCGTGCGAATTCGGTTGCCTCTCGCGTGGGATATCGCCCGTCCCCTTTGCGCTTCCTCCCATAGCTCGAATTCGGTCCTGTCATGAGAAGGTGGTTATAAGGCGAGAACAGCAAGCAGACCAGCCAGCATCGCGGTGCCGATGACCACGACGCTTTGCGTTCCAGAACCAAGTCTCGCTGAGGTGGCGCCGCTGGACGCGGCGAGACATGAGCCTCCGTTGGCGGTGTGTTTGGCTCCACCGGTGACGGCAACGTCGTATTGGTAGTAGTCCGTTCCCGTGCTATCGACATGTTAGCCCCCCGTATCCAGCAGAGCGTGAAGAAGGCCGGACACGTACAGATTGTAGCTGATGGTGGTGGCGATGTCATGGCCGTACTGGCCGGCGACGATGGTCGCCGTGCAGTCGGCGGAAGAGGAAGCAGTGTTCAGAGAGCAAGTCTCGGTGAATGTGGCACTGGTCTCGGAGTAGATGGCTGGGGTGGTGACGATGTAGACATTAGGGGCTTCGGTGATGGTGGCCGTCTGGGATGTTTGGAATCAGTGAGTGCGCCGTGCTGTTAGCCTGTGGGAGCCATTACCGCTGGATAGCAAGCACCATTGGGAGAACCGGTGCAGGAAACTACGTAGGTCGTCGTGCCGGAGCACGCGTTCTGGATCGATGCGGCCCATTCGGCGTTGGGATCCATGTTGTGGATGAAGAGTTGAGCTCCATCGGCGCTGGCAGCAGCGTGGGCATAGCTGAAAGCGGCAAAGGCGCCGAGAAGGCGTGAGGCAAACATGCTGCGAGGCCTGACGGAGATGGTGAAGTCGGTAATGTGTGTATCTGAACAAGGCGTTGGAGCGGGGGTATTGCAACGAGATGTGTAGAAGAGGATAGGATGGGCGTGGTGGAGCAAAGGAGGGTATGCGGTGAGTGGTGTTCAGAGCGGAAGAGATGCTGGCGATGAAGGTAATGATGCTGACCTTTCTACAGACCCCAAGGGCAGGCAGACGTGAGGTAGATGTAGATGCGTTGCCTCGCAAGCTTTTCCTGCGACGGCGACAACGCGTTCGCCAACGTCGCCGTCCGGCTAACCCACCAATGGCCCGCCAACGGGCAAAGGTAGGTGAAGAGGGCTTCTTGATCCGTAATGGAAAGCAACTCTGATCCGTAATGAGCACCTAAGGAGGCAAGGTACAAGGATATTGCAGGAGCCAAAGGAGTGTTTGGCTTCCCAGTACGGGAGGCTCTGCCGAGCCGGTACCTGCGTTGCATTGCTGCAGCAGGACTGCAGCAATGACTGCAGCGGAAGACAGACCTCTCTGGCCGGGCAAACGGGGTGAGTGTGATGAACGAGCTGGATTTCCAAATACCTGTTGTCGGCCATGCGTGGAGTGTGGCTCGCGGCGTCCATGGTGGCGGCATGTCAGTTCAGTTCGTGGATGAAGTTGAAAGCCTCCCAACAATTGAAGCACATACATACCTTAAGAAGTGGAGACTGTGCCGTATCTCTATATCAGGTACTGTATGCGGGGGTATTGGAAATTTGTAAGCACGCTGGATCGCCCAATGCGGGTGTGCAGGTGCTGGCTACCTTCTTAGCGCTGGATGCCCCATGGCTAGTCTTGGCACGCACATACTACCTCCGTATTATAGACCCAATTTTCAACGCTTCAATAGGCAATGAATTACCTGCACGTCCAAGACCAGGCGCCGTGTGCAGGGGCCACGATGCATCATCTGCAGCTACAAGATTAACATGTCAACGGCGCACTCGACGCCTTTTCCCGCGGCCCGCCCTATACCACGGATCGTGGGAAGACATGTTGCCGATCGCTCTTCCTCGTGATGAGAGTACCGCTTGCCGTGTCGTTTCATCCGCACAACCCTTCCCAATGGGCCGGCATCGTGTCCAGCGCGTTCGTATTTCCCCATCCCATGATCCAGAGACGCAAAGGTCGAAATTACCGAGCTCCCCCAGTCGACAGGACGATCCGCAATCCTGCAGCGCCACCTGTTCATCGGTTAGAAAAATCTCCGTCGGATATAAAACTCTCCATCGGATGTAAAACTTGCGGTACGGCTATCCCGTCGCCGCGGCCTCACCCCCACTTCAGCTGAAAAAGGACCGTCCCAGTCTCCGTCCAGTCTTCTACAGGGGACACTACTACTACTACTACTCCACATAACATCTCGCCATTGCCAGATCAAAGAAAAATAGAAAATCCACTCAGAATAAAACTCATGAGCCATGGAAGCTGTCCTCACACGGCCTCGATTCGTTGACCAAGTGGAACCAGGCCCTCCCTTCCCCATCATCACATCACAATACATTTCCTTTCCCTTTTACTTCCCCCCGGCCGTTGAAATCTCCTCGCACGCTTCTCCCATCCCGCCGGAGTTTTGGCATAGTAACACTTAAAACAGACGTCCCGGCTGGCCTCCCCCTCACCGAGCACCAGACTCCTCACGTCAGCCCAGCTCGCCTCGTCCACCAGGATACTCTTCTCCCCGAGCTGGAGACGGATGACCATATGATTTCCCTCTCCATTTTCCGCTTCGGGGAAGACGTCGCGCGTCTTTGACCGGATCTCTCCGCGGGAGAGGCAGAGATCGGTGAAGGCTCGATGGGTGGTGGTGGAGGTGATGGAGACGATGTCGGTGAGCGTGTTGATGACTCGACCGGTGAGGACGGCGCCGCTGGCGGAGAGGCCTTTGGGCGCGCAGTGGATCAGTTCGAGGGTGAAAGCTTTGGACTGCAGCAGCGACAAGTCAGTGGGGTCGCGGCTTTGGAGCGAGACATGATGGATTTGAATCAATGCTGACTTGAACGGCGCTTGTCGCTGTTGCGGTATACACAGGTGGATTTCCATCCATGGTTTGAACCCCTTCTGCGGCTGCGGAGCTCTTCATCGTGAGCGCTGATGTTCGCGTAGAAGTTGCTGTGGCTTTTCTTTTGAATCCAAATTACTCTGGAAGTCTTGCTATTATAGTAAGCGAGACCACTCCATGGAGAGAGGTAAGTACCAGCAGCCCGGGTGGCGCACGGACCCTGTATGTGTCACATGCTAGTGCGGCCCGCGGTGAAGCGAGGCGACGAAGCCAAGGCACCGGGGCGTACAGAGCTGGCTAAGCCGCAGCTCGTCAAGCTCTTTCCTGCACTTTTCATTCGTCCCGTCAAGCGCGTCTTTGCAAATCTCGAGAAAATCCTACAACTCCGGTGCCTGCGGCCGGACATAGCCTCAATGAACTTTGTCATCTCGACTTTCATCAAACCATATCCACCCAAAAGCCGATTTGCATTTTCTCCAACCCAACACCTATGAATCTCTCCTTCCAGCCTCGATAGCAAACTCATCGCGACGATTGAATTCAAATACTACCTTGAACAAAAACCCAGCTAAGAATCAGCTTTTGCGACATTTGAGGCCGCCCGCCCGCCCGCAGCATCATCATCATAGCTGTCTGTCCTTGCCAATCGGCTGATAGATATCTGCATCTCTCCCGCCCGCGGTACAAATGAAAGAAAAAAACTTCATTACCGGTCGATCGATCGAGCTACGTGCGCATCTTCTCTTCCTTAGATAAGATAAGATATCTTCTCGTGTGGATGGAGATGGATTTGCACTTCTCTAGTGTGTGCGTGTAGGATTTTCCCCTGGCGGTCTACTCTTAGTAGTAGTAGTAGCAGTAGCAGCAGCAGCAGCAGCAGCAATAGAAGATATACACTACCTATCATACGTGACAAGAGAAAATCTCGGGCCTTTACGTTTTTTGATCGAGCTTTGGATCGAGGTGAGATGATTGAGGTGAAAAGAGAAAAAAGAAAACCTCGTTGGGCTTTTTGTTTTGTTAAGCCGAGCGTTAGATCCGCGGTCATTGCGGAGCTCTTCCGTTTGCGTTTAGCAGACGCTGTACCTATGGAACATGCACGAATGAGCTCCTTGTACCCTGCAGGATCCGGAGTGATGGACGAGATGGACTTTTTCATTTCATTATCGACGCAGATCTCGCGACCAACTCGGCAGTCTAATAATCTCGGACTGTTCCGCAGGTAGTCGTCACTGCCGTGACATGAGAAATTTCACTTCGAGAAAATTGCTCACTGGCAATTAGGTTGTCAGTCCCACCGTCACACACGTCTTCGCACATCGGAATGCTATCTGGACGGTTTTACACTGCGGATTTTGTATGACTCGCTGTAGCCCTGTAACCTCGTGAGGGTTCTTGGAAAAGGCAATAGCGTTCCTTCCGCATTTGAAAGATGACTCGTCGACCTGAAGATTGCACAGATCGAGTCGGGGAGATAAGATGCATTCGGAGCGTGTATGAGAATCAATGATAGGAAAGAGGCCGAGGGACGAGGGGTTTGGTGAAGACGAGAATAGCTGGTTTGAAAAGATGCTGAAGGTTTGTCATTTGAGTATCGAACGCCGACCCGATGCACCAAACCATTTTAGTTTTCCGTCGCTCAGGTCATTCAACAGGTCGTAAAACTCGGGCTACCACACGCCGGACTAGTAGTCGTCACCACGACTAATCACTTCCTTCACGTTCGGCCGAAGTAAGATGGTGTGCTCGTATTGCGCGGTGTAGCTTCCCTTGACATCGCAGAGTGGGGGGTAGTCCTGTACAATACCGCTTTGGACGAGATTATTCAAGCCGAGGAGGTACTTCTCGTGGCCGAGACGGTCGAGATAACGCCGACAGAAAGGCAGAGTACCAAAGTTCTTGTCGATAGACTTCAGGAGAGCCTTGGCAGATGCGACTCTCAGCGCGACTTTGGGTGCATCCGCGATCTTGGCGTAGTGAGAGGTTTCCATGTCGTCGCGGACGATGCCCTTTCCTGTGCTGCCGAAGGTCTCAATGGCGTAGACCTCGCCTTCTTCCATCCTTTCGTTGCCGCCACCCTTGACGATGGGCACAGACTTCCCTGCAGCGCCGCCGTGGATACTGTAGTGCCCAATGGTGTGGCCGTTCAAATTGCGGATAGACTTGACGGGGTAAGTCTGACCGTTGATCTCCACTTCATAGGACTCCATGGCTTCCTGGATACCCTCACCAATCTCTCCGAGTCGTGCATCGATACCAGCGAGCCGAATACCGGTGTTGGTGGCGTCCCGGACGGCAGCGAGCAGATTGTCGTATTGCGGTTGGAAGGCCATAGTGAACGCACTGTCGACAATTCTTCCATTCACATGGACTCCAAAATCGACCTTCATGACGTCTTCTTCCTTCAGAACCATCTTGTTTCCGGCGTTGGGGGTGTAATGCGCAGCGCAGTGGTTCAGACTCAAGCCAGTTGGAAAAGCCACGCCAGCGATCAAGTTGTCGCCCTCTTCTAATCCATTATGACCAGTCAGGGATCTCGTGCCATTCTCAATAATTTCGGCAATCTCAGTCAACGTCATGCCCGGCTTGATTGTCTTCTGCGCATATTTCCGCACCTCCCGATGTACCTCTGCGGCCTGCCGATATTCTGTCAGGAAGTCCTGGTTCATGCGATCCAGATGTCTCTTCTCCTCGCTTGTTGTTCGATATGCATTGTCGTTCTTGTATTCCACTTCTTCGCCGACCGGATACGAGTCGTCCGGGAACAGATCCGACACCTTTTTGGTTGGTGGAGATGTTTGTGCCTTGGCTCCTCCGCCCGACGCACCTGTGCCGGCCTTCTTCTTCTTGCGTGGCTTCCTCTTCTTCTTTTTCTTCGCAGCCCCCTCACCACCCTCTCCGCCTGCTGCTCCATTCTGCTCGCCGTCGTCCGCGTCGTCATCGTCGGATTCTCCGCCTTCTACGTCGCCATTGGTTCCATTGTGTGCGTCTGTTCCGTTTTGCTTCGAGACAGACCCAGCGCCGTCTTTCAGGCTGAGATCCGCCAAGTCCTTCTCGGCGGCCACAGCGGTCATGATCTGTGCAGGTGTAGAGACAGAGGGCGCGAGGATGCGTTGTGAAGAAAGAAAATGGTCTCGTGAGGTTGTCTGCTATTGTTCTTGACAGGGATCATCGCAGCCCCACCAAACGCTGGAGGGAAACTTTTGCCGAGTCTCACGTGATCGAGTACATCACCTGATGTGGGAGCTTTGACTAGCGAAAGGAGTTTTATGGACGTCCCATCTGGATGCGGTTTTAAGGTGTTTTCATAACAAATCATCCAGCTATTCAGAGCGTAACTTCAAGAGCTGGAATATTATACTGTTTAGCCGAATTACTAGTGGGGGTTACAAGCTCTGACCACTCCAAGCCTTTCTGCCTTCAACAACATCGCTCAAGATGCCGTGTGCATCCTTAGCTGTAGCTCTCCAGGTACTGATCCCGCCCGCCGCATGCTCAGACAACATTTCAAGCGACCTCAGATCCCCTTCGCAATCCAGCTTGACCAGCAAGATTGGACTGTCCGCCGTCACCGGCTGCTCGCCACACCAAATCAAGTACTGATACGTGAAATTTGGAACGAATTTCCTCGCCCTGCAACATGCAAGATGCTTCTCCAACAGACTGCGCCAGAATCGAGGCTCCTCGCTTTCGGGAGCTTTGAGAAATCCGCCAAAGACAATTCGATCTTGGCCATGCCCGCGGTTTGCCCAGTGAGGATCTACAGCTTGCGAGATGTGAATATCGGTATCGGCAGAATCGCCAGCATATACTGCGAAAAGCTTGTGCTTGGGCGCCCAGTCCTCATAGCCTTGCGCGATCATCAGTGTTAAAGGCACAGCTGCTCGAGTCGCGATTGCTGAGACTTCTGCCCGTTGCGTCTGGATGCTGGCATTCTGTCCAATTTCGAACAACTCTTCGGACGTCCTTCCTTCCAACTTCCCGTCCCAATCTACGTGGACCACTTGGACGCCATCTTCCGTGTAATTTGGAGTGTCGGCGATGAGGAAGTACTTCTTCTGCAGCGTTGGGTGCTGAAGACAGCGAGAAGGATGTAAACTTGCGGCGTCTCTTGCGGGATCATGGCCCTCTGCGATCGACAAGTGTTGGAGTTTGCAGCTTTGCTGGCTCAGATCTCGCTTCTGGCTTTCCGGTCCTGGTTGGATCTCATGGAGCAGTCTGTCCTCGTCCGTTCCATCGACAGCATACAATTGAATATGAAAGCCAACTGGTGGCGCTGTACCATAATCTATATGACCTGGGGGGTTGGCGGCAGGTCCATCATTGAGATTGTCGAGTTGTGTAGCAGATGGGTCTCCGGGGCCGGGCTGGAACCACTGTGGTCCTCCCAGATCCTCCTCCTTCGCTTCAGACCAGGACGAGTTTGCAATCTGGAAATCGTTGCACAGCAAACCAGACTGATCCATTGACGTCCACAATAGATCAGATCTGCATTCCATATCATCATCGTCGAGAGTGACCAAAACAACGGTGCTACAATCAGCATAGGCCGAAACGATGAAGTACGTTGGATCCCACTCGCCCTGCCGGCCAAGTTCGACATGATACCGGACGATAGCACGCAGAGACTCATCGTGAAAGTCCCACCGTGGTGGAAGTCGTACCCGATCGTCTTCAAGTCCCGTCACGCAGATTTGCCGGTAGGCTTCCGCTCGGCTGTCGTCGATCTTGGACAGCGCATACAGAGCGAATGGCAGCAGATCCATAGGCGAATCGTGGTAGTGCTCCATTTCCGGAACCCGTTCGGGCAGCTCGAGATCTGGTCGCTCTCTCATCGTTGCTGCAGAAGTGTTGCACAGCGTGAACGTGTTTTCCTGGGATGGAAAGTTTACGCCCTGAATCTGTCACAATCTAAAGGCGACGACTCAGTGCAGCTCCAAGGCAACAGCCGAGTCGCATCCTTCCTACAGAGGTGACGTTGTGCCAACATGTTCCAGCTTCTTCCAGCGAATAAGACGCTCATAATTCAGGCTCTGCGTTTGTCTGTTTCCGTGTCGTTCTACAGAGGCTGAGCCACCCGACATGTACTGTTTTGGAGAAGTTGGCGGACACTTGCGACGTCATCACACCACGTGCTCTGGCGTGTGTCTCGTGATGCTCCATTCGATCCCGTCTTTCTAAATAAAAGGACTTGGCAGCGACATCAGGTCACTCACCACATCGCACGGCCGTTCTGCATTGCTTCACCATCTACAAAATCATCTAATAGCCTGCGTCGCTGCTATTCGCCGCAGAGACAATGATATCTCCCTTCGCTGCCTAGAGGGCTGTGCGCGCTGCCTCGAGGGCTGTGCAATAGGTGCAACACCACGCCACGCTGTAAGCGCGCGGGGCAAAAGGCGGTGGCCTAAGCTTACAAATCCGCAAAATGGTTTTGCCGGTTTTGGCACCGTACCACCACACTCTCACATACCGTAATCGCAGTGGTTAGGCACTGATATACTCGCTATCGACTCGCAATCCATCTATTAGGTCCTTTATTGTCTACTTTGTCGTTATACCGCCTTAGGCCCTCGATTTATAGCCCTATCGGCTCCAGATTAAGCTTTGGATTCATGCTAGATATACCTACTAGCGAGTCGTACAGAGCCTATATAATACTAAGGGCATTCGCTATAGTATTAGAACTCTATAGACACACTTATCGCGATAGGAAGTGACTACTCGCCCTCGAATTAACTATAGTAGCAACGTAGCACTAATTAAGCGGATTACCGAGCTATTCTAGCTATATACTATTAGCGATAAGAAGAGCTATGCTATACTACGGCTTAATAGCTATAATATCTCTTTAAGGTAGTATTAAGAGCTCCGCCGTACTTACGGCCTTAAGCGTCGACTGGAATACGAGGAATTAGAAGCAGCTACTACCTACGTCGATAAGGTGCTTCGAGTAGTGCTAATTAATAGGCAAACCTAAGACTTTAGCTATCGTAAGCTCGTACGAGAGTTAAGAACCTACTAGTATATTATAGGTAGGTAGGGAATCGACTCGTAGCCGACTCGTAGCCCTCTTCTTGCTATACTAATACCTACTAGGGACCGTATCTACCGGATTTCACGGCAAATCAACGCTCTACTATATAAGCTTCGCGAACTATATAATCGCTATCCGAATAGGCTACGGTACGTACGACTAAAAGCTAATAGGCCTGACTACGTCTAGTTAATTGATACCTTCTATAAAATCGAGCAATTCGGCATTTAGATTTACGCCTGTATTAACGTCTACTCACGCCGGATTATCTGGTTCTACGTTAGCCTAATAGTAAAGACAAAGTACTTAGTGTTTTCGTAGTACTATACTATAATTAACTATATCTAGCGAGTCCCTTAGCGAGTCCGCTCTAATTAAGGTGTCGAGACACCTATGCTAGCAGACGCCTATCTACGGCTTCGAGAGCTTATCGAGGGCCGTAATATCGACTTTATTAAGGCCTTCTTATACACTACGAGCAAAGGCAATCAGACTATTAAGCACTAGTAGAGCGAGATAGCTAAATTAGCTATAAATCGCTAGAGAGACCTATTTAACTAGTATATTAACCTACACCTTTTCGAGGCCGCTAAGCTATCTAATCGACTCGCCTTCCTCGCAATCTATACTCTAATTATGCGCTATATAGTCAGTTACTTTGTCTTAGAGTAGAATCGGCACCCGGTACGAGCATAAAACCTTAAGAGCTATGTTAGTAGTATACCGGATTTGCTCTACGAGTATCTAGAGCTCGAGGATACTACCTAGCGTAGGTATCTAATTAACCCTAAGAGTCTAGCGAGTACTACTCTTAAGTAGTAGATAAACCGGATAGACGGCTATAGTAAGCTCCGTAGGTAATTAAAGAGCTTTCTATATTAGTACTAGGTAAGTAGCTCGAAATTGGACCGTACTCGTAGCCAATTTAGCTATACTCGCAGCCAATTTAGCTATACTCGCAGTCACTCGCAGCTCTAGCTACCCGCCTATAGAGTTACCCCTCTCTTACTCCTACGCTAACTACGCCTCGCTATATATAGACCTTAGCTTATACCTGCCTCCGACAACTCTATAATAGGTAAACGAACAGCTCGTACTCGCTAGCTACCCGTTAACCTTTAAAGGTAGCGAACCCGGATTCGGTAATAGGCCTAAGAAGCTTTATATATACGCTTATTAGTACCTCCGAGGAGCAGCTAAGTAGCACCTAGATGCTAGTGGACGACTCGCTAAGTATATCGCGCCGACTCGCTTAAATAGCCTCGAGCCGTCTAATCGTACGAGAACCGTCTTTACTACTACTAGGGAGCCTCTATAAAGCTTCGTATATACTCGTAGTAGACTCGTAACGTTATATTCCTTAATACTACGTCTTATCTTTCTATATACGTCTATTATAGCTTCTTCTACTAACTTCTAGGAAGACTTCTATATATCTAATAAGGTGGATTATACTCTTAATTATACTAAAGAGTATAGCGATAAGCCCCGCTATAGTAAATGCGGCCTTAGGAACCCGTTCTTTGCTATAGTAGACACTAATATAGCGAGTCGCCGCGAGTCGACTGTAGGCCCTTCCTTAATACTAGTACCGGATCCGATCGATTCCCCTACTCTACGGCGGAAGGAGCCCGCGTCTATAAAGGGCTATAGTAGCTTTACTAGACTCGCTAAAAGCTTATTTAGCCGTACTAATGCCGTTTTAGCCGCTAATAAGAAGCAGCATATCCGCCCGCTTAGTAATATAGGTATTAATCCGTTATCCGGAGAGGTATAAGGTCCTTGTACTAGTAAAGCGAGTCTATATAGGAGCACGCTAATCGCTACGAATCGACTTAAGGCGGGTAGTAGTAGTAGTACCGAGCTACGAGACGACTCGTAGGCCGACTCGTAGTCGTAGAACAAGGGTAGTAGACCGAAGAAAGTACTAAAGGGCCCTAAGCTTCACGTTATAGTATATATAAGCAAAGTAGTAGTTAATATAGTTAAGAAGGAAGGCTAGTAGAAGTGGATAGTTAGAGATAATCTAGAGCTAGTCGATTACTAGTCTATCGTAGGCTACTAGAGCGACTTTAAGGCCCTACTGCTCGACTCGCTACGTACTCGCAACTAGCTTTACTACTAGGCTTTATACGCTAGCTATATTAAGGTTAAGAAGGTTACCGGCCTACAGTACTATAAACGTCCGTTTATATATACCCGGTACGACAAAGAGCAGAAGCTCTTAATTATACTAAGCTCGAATAGTAGAGACAAAGACGACCTTAACGAGTAATTGCTACTATTTAAGCGTAGGTACTAAGCAAATCCTACGCGAAAGGAGGTAGATATTAGGGTCGCTGTCCTTATAGCTAAAGATAAGCGGTAGAATAGGCTTCCGAAGGACTACGGCAAGTCTAGCGAGTCTACCGACGACAGCTCCTCTTTAGATCCGGATCTAATAAAGAGCCTTAATAGGCGCTATCGTAGTAGGCGTCTAGGTTAGAGGCCTAGTACTAAAGCTAAAAGAAAGATAGCTAAGGAGGTAGTAGCGAGTGTAGTAGCGAGTGTAGTAGCGAGTGCTAGCGAATCCAAAGCAGTACCTTCTACTAGCCCTAATAAACTAGCTAAATTCCGCTAGCCTACGAGTCCCTCTACGAGTGCCTAATCTACCGAGAAAGAGGCCTCTACTAGTCCGCTAGTTGGTTACAAACGTTAAGCGAGTCGCGAATTACCCTATCGATCTACTCCTTCGTCTATATCCGGTACCTAGGGATTAAGCGCCTATAACCCTATCGATATTATTAACCTTACTAATAATAACGACGACGACGAGCCTACGTACGTGCGAGTGCCTAAAAGCAAGCTAGTAGTGAAGTAGGAGGCACGTATAGCAATAAAGAAGGAGCCTGTAGATTTAAGTACTATTAAAGAAGGAACAGAGATTGCTCCTACGGATTTAGTAGAGCGAGTCGCTAGCGAGTCGCCGGTAGCGACGGAGATTTAGGGCGATAGGTAGGTTACTAGCTTACCTAAGGATACTAAGGCTACGAGTGTACTAGCGGAGCCTACGAGTGCGCCCCCGAGCGGACTAGCGAGTACTACGAGTGCACTAGCGGAGGCAATAAGGAATAAGAAGCTAAGGAAGGAGTATATAAGGATTCCGGAGTTTCAAAGGGTTACAAGGGCGTCAAAGAAGCTATAGCGAGTCGGTAGCGAGTTGGTAGCGAGGCTTTAAAAGGATAGAAGGGCGTATAGGGTTAATAGTATAAATATAATAACGATTAAAGGCTTAGAGATCTCTAATATTAATATTCTCCCGACTCGTAGGCTAAAATTAGGTAGACTCGCGGGCGATTTAGGGATTCTACGATCTCTAAGATTCGTAGTATTATAATTTGCCCGACTCGTAGGCCTAAAATTACTAGATTCGTAGGCGATTTAATCGCTCTAAGATTCTATATATCCTAAGCTGCCCGACTCGCACGGAATCGTAGGCTAAAATTAGCTATACTCGCTATAACTCGTAGGCTAGAATTGATCTGTACTATCTACTAAGTATATTTGCCCTTATATTTAGCCACGAACTGCTCGCTACCCGGTAGCTGCGTAATAAAGTCTATTATATAGTAGAGCTTAGCCTCTAGATTATTAATACGCTTATTAGCATACCCTAAACCCTCCTTAAGCCTAGCAATCTTGGTTTGAAGACTCGTAGGCTTCTACGAGTCGCCTATCTTAGCCCTAGAATTACCTACAGTAGCCTACGAGTCCGGCTTAGGCTTTAGCGAGTTATCCTACTTATCCTTCTACTTCTCGTACTTCTTCTAGAGCTTACTATTATAACCTAGGCGACCGTAGCGCTTATAGAACGCGTATTAAGTATATTCCTTACCTTTATAGATAATATAATCTAGACCTCTCGTAGCGTACTACTTGTAGCCGCTAGGCTTAGAAGATAGTATACCTACGAGTCGATTAGATTTTAGTAGCGAGTCTATACAAATTAGAAAAAGCATACCTAGATCTGTCTCTATTATCTCGCTAGCGTAAGTAAACCGCCGTAGGCTATTAGCTACGGACTTACGAACCTACTTATTACTAGATTTAAGATTGTTTAAATAGCGCTACTAATCCTTATCGGAGATATACTAGAATATAGTCTTATCCTACGTCTCTAGTTTGCGGTAGGACTCGCTAGACTCGCTAATTAGCTTTTGCCCATTCTTTAGGCTTCGGATAGCTTACCTTAGGGCCGACATAGTTGCTACTAGGGCGCTCTCGGGCGTAGACTAAGGCGGAGGCGAAGGAGTAGGTTAATAATTAGGCTAGTATCGGTCGTAGAGTCGTCTATAGATAAATATAAGAGTCTCCTAGTCGATTAATGCTATAAATTGTCGATTTGCGAGTCTGCGAGTACGATCTAGGTAGGAAAAGAGGTCTAGGTTCGCTAGATAAGAATGCCTTCTTATAAAATAGCCTACTTATTATTAGTAGCTACCTTATTATTCGATATTATGGACTCGCACTTATAATAGTATAAGCGCGACAATAGCTTTTGATTAATATAAAGCCGCGTACCGCTATTAACAGGTTTAATATAAAGCTAAAAGCTGCGCCTAACTTTATATTAACCGTTTACGTCGACAATAGCGGTACGCGACACTCGTAGAGCCTCATTGTCGCCGTCGTAAGTTGTTATTATGGTGGTAGAGTGAGTCGCGACTTATAGCGAGTGCCGCTTCGGCAGTCGGCAAAACCATTTTGCGGATTTGTAAGCTCAGGCCACCGCCAAAATCCTTCCCGCTTCTAGAGGCATTTCACCCTCTCTCATCTTCAAACCCATCCCCGAGCACCATTTCCTTTCCTCGAAAGAACTGCAACAGCACCAACTTCAGCATGTCCAGCAAAGAAAGCACTCGCCCCAGCCAAGACATCCAGATGGATGCTCTCCCCCATTCGAGCGAAGAAGAGGGTCTTCCGCTCTACTCCGAATACAGATCTCCAGAAGAAGACGCCGACTGCAAACCACCCTCCAACGCAGCCTCTCCCGCCGAAGTCCGTGCCTTCTTTCGGTCATTGCTGGTGTCGCATTGCCACTACACTCCCGCGCACGCAGAGAGTACATCGGCCCTCTGGACGAGAGGCAGCGGAAGGGAATTGAGAAGCTATCCACCCGCTATGTACCTGACCATCTTCGGCGCAGAAGATGGCTGGATCCTCTACAGGGAAACGAAGATGGCGCTGCATCGCGAGGCCAGGACGGCGGAGAAAGCGCGCAAGCGATATCGTAAGTCGTAGCCCTCCTACCACCCTTCCGCTCTACATACTGATCTTTCTCATTTTCCCTCTTCTCTTAGTTATAACTACGCCCATCTTAATCCTCTGGACCCTCTGCATGGTGCCCGTAATTCTTTACGTGACGATCGTGCCGCTGGTTCTCTCGGCGGTTCTAAGTAGCATCGTTGCAATTCTCTGGCTCTTGATCGCGAGCGCGATTCACTTCCTCGAGCCTCGCATGGAGGATCAGATAGAGAATGAGTTGAAGAGGTGTATGCAGAAGGGGGATCAGACGTCGGGTAGCTAGAATTGTGACCTGAAGACTGTTCAGATGGATCAGCGATTCAACGCGGCCGTGTAATCATATGCTAGCCCTCCGCAGATCAACATACATGAGTGGAAGCTGAACCCGCTACCGCTCGGCTGAAACCCATTCATTGCTCTCAAAGACCAGTAGTAGTAGTAGTAGTAGTAGTCAGTATAAGATCGATCGCCATCAGGTCGTCGTCCGTCGACGCCAACTAAGGCACCAGCTTATCCGATCCTTCTTCCTAAAGATTAGATTAAAACCACTGCTTCAATGCGTTCTCGATGCCCTGCAGTCCATCAGCGTCATGCTTCTAGGAGGAGAATGCAACTTGGCGTACGTAACATGTCTTGAGTCGCGTTTCTCCGCCAAGCACACTCCTGGACACGGATCCGACATCATGTGGCATCCGCGAAATGCATCACGCACGTTGGTAATCTCGACTGCTAGACGTTTTTCAATTTATTGATGAGACCTTCGGGGCGTCTCTCTTTTTTTGGTCGACACGTCTCATAGTGGAGTAGTACCAGCGGGACGTAAGACGAGAATGATAAATACGCAAGTAAGTAACCTGTACAAAACATCCACCATCTTGCCCAGCACATCCAACTTGCCTTAAGCTGGCTGCATGAGGTCGCAAAAATGCATCTAACGAGCCAGAAGTACATTAGGTTTGTTTATTTCCCAATGTAAAGAAAGACAAGCATCTGCGTCCCTTCTTCGGCCGTCGTCAGTCACGGTAAGTCTACAAGCCATAAGCCTTCGAACTCTACAAACCCAAACCTCCAGTCAGACCACCCACGGCGGGGAGACCACCAGCGGCGTTGCCCAAACCGCCGCCGGCCAGACCTCCGACGGCACTACCACCGGGGAGACCGCCCGCGGCATCGCCTAGGCCTCCAAGAGCATTGCCACCGGGCAGCCCGCCGAGAGCATTATTGCCCATCGGCAAGCCCTGCGTCAAGCCCGACGTGAGCCCCGGGTCAAGACCCGCGGCCTGCGCCTGCTGCTTCTGGTCAATGGAGGTCATCATCTGCATAGCCTGGTTGTACTCCGCCTGTTGCTGAGGCGTGAGCTGGCCGCCCTGCTGTCGATGCTGTTGCTGCAGCTGCTGGATTTTCTGCTGCACTTGCGCCTTCTGTTGGGCGAGCTCTTGTGCCTTTGCTTGCTTGGCCTTCTGCTTCTCGGCTGGGGAGATGTCGAGGAGAGCGTCTGGGAGTGATGTGTTAGCTTGTCGACGATGTGGAGGGTGGGTTATGGCATTGTAATACCTTGGTCGCTGCCGACGCCGGCGATGCCAGCTACGTTCAGGCCTTGGCCGCCTCCGAGCAGGCCGCTGGTGAGTCCGCCAGTGAGGCCTCCTACGGCTGGAAGCCCGCCCAACGCGCCCCCAAGCCCGCCGGGTTGCTGTCCGCCCTGCTGTCCTTGCTGACCGAGTCCTCCAGGCAGTTGCTGCCCAGCACCTCCAGGTAGCTGGCCTGGAAGTTGTTGACCTCCAGACAACTGGCCCGGGAGCTGTTGGCTCCCAAGCTGCTGGCCACCCACCTGTTGACCTCCAAACTGCTGCTGGTTCTGTGCTTGCTGCCCAGTATGTTGATAATCAGGGAAAGGTCCCGACGGTCCACAGCAGGAGCCCTTCAGATCACTGAGAGAATCCCTATAGATCTGATCGACTGGTCGAGGGTCCCCTTGCCCTTTGAGAGCATTCGCGCGATCTCTCGCGGCTTGTTCCAGAGTGTATCGAGACTGATTCGTTGGTTGAGGATTGTACGAGCCACTTGTGCCTGGGTAAGGGCCAACTTGCTGTCCCGGGTTGTATGAGCCTGCAGTTCCCGGATAGGAACCACCTGGCTGTCCCGGGGTGTATGAGCCTCCACTCCCCGGGTTGTAACTACCTGGCTGTCCCGGGATATATGAGCCTCCACTCCCCGGGTTGTAACCACCTGGCTGACCAGGAATATATGAGCCTGAAGTTGCTGGGTAGGAACCACCCGGCTGTCCAGGAACATCCGAGCCTCCAGTTCCTGGGTACATAGTCCCACTTGCGCCCGGGTTGAAGACGCCTTGCTGGCCTTGATGGGGATTGAAGGGCTGCTGGCCCGATGGGTAGGAGCCTCCAGCTGTGTTACCTGGGTAGCCGGTATTGCCTGGGAAACCACCACTGTTTCCGGGGTTGAAGCCTTGCTGTCCTGGAACTGATGGGTAGCCTGGCAGCCTGTTGGTGTCGCCTCCTTTGTCCGGAAAGAAGTGGTCTCGTCCTCCGGCCATATTTGGATTAGGGGGTTGTGGTTGATTGCCAGGAATGCCGCCCGGGTTATACGAGTCAACAGGTTGAGAACCGCCCTGCTGTGGTTTGCAAGTAGCGTTGGCGACATACGTGTGCGACGCTCGCGATGGAACCAGGTAGCCGTCGGCGGTCTGTGGTGGCAACAAGGGGCTACCGTAGTCGGGGTTGATCTTCGTAGCCATCATCTGGCCACCGAGAGGCGAGTTCTGGAAGCGCTGGTCCTGCGAGATTGGGTACGGTGCTGTATAGTGGTAGGTGTACCATTGTGGGGTGATCTGCTGCACACCAGAAGCGCTGACGCCCTGGTACCATTGCTGGGCCACTTGCGCGTTGGCGAACGTCAACACGTACGGGTATTGACCAGCAGCCGGATAAGCAGGAGCCAGGTAGGCGTACATCAAGCTTGGAGCCGGCAGTGTTCCTTGAGCAGGAGGGGCGAGGCATAGACAGCCGCCTTTGCTTGCGCCACTGCCGCCCATGGCCATTCCACCAGCGGCTTGATTACCAGCGCCTGTGGTCGAACCACCGCCATAGCCGCCTCGACTTCCGGTGACTCCATTTGCAATATCACGGTCGTCTTGCGCGATGCTGTTCTGTAGCTTATGGGCAGATTGGGCAATGGCCACGTCTTTTTGCTCCCACTCCTGCCATGCTCTCTGCTGCTCGGGGGTGGCCTGACCGCCTTGTGCCCGGACAGCATCCTGCAGAGCCTTCTTCTGTTGGGCAGTGCGGGCTTTCTCTTGCTGCAGCTGTTGCATCTTCTTCAATTTGGCTTCCTTCTTCTCGGCTGGGTTGAGATCCACCAGCGCCGGGTCGTCAGATCCTGTCGCGATGGTCAGTCCCATTGCAGGTTACAGCGTTTACGGTTCAGACAAACCAAGGCCCACCAGACCTGCGACATTCAGGCCTTCGCCGCCACCAAGGAGTCCTCCTCCTAACCCACCGAGGCCCCCGGTCAAACCTCCTAATGGGTCGCCTCCCAAGGCTCCGGTCGCACCTCCTAATGCTCCAGCCGGGCCGTTCTGTCCGGTGAGCCCACCTGCAGTATTGGTAGCGTTTCCAAGAGCTCCGCCGGCAGGCCCATTCTGGCCTGCAAGTCCACCGGCAGTGTCCGTAAGGCCGCCGAGGCCACCAGTAGCCCCTGAAGCCAGGCTCGTGGCATTTCCCAAAGGTCCACTGCCTCCGGCAACACCATTAGTCAAGCCATTCGTAAGACCGCCAGGGCCAGCTTGAGGCTTTGGGGGAGTATCCGAGTCCAGAATCTTATTGACCTTTCCCTCTTCAGTTTCGTCTGCCTTCTGGTCGTCCTGAAGCTTCTTGTGAGCTAGTTCTTGTTCCACGGTTGGATTGCCTCCTTGGTTCTTGACAGCTTCTTGTATTTGCTTTAGCCTGTTCCCATCTTTAGTCAAGTCTCGTAGGATTCGAAGATCTTGAAACGTACTGTTGCTCTCGCTGTTGCTTTCTTTTCGCTGCCTCTTGCGCTCGTGCAGCTTTCACGGTCTTCTTATCAGCTGGGTTTAAATCTAAAAGAGCGGGATCATCGCTTCCAACTCCGACCTAAGAAAGACTCAAAATCAGTGCGAGTCAAATCGAGGGAACAGATCGATTGTTGACTGACCAGCCCAACCAAGTTGAGCCCTTGACCTCCACCGAGCAAACCGCCGCCGAGGCCGCCGACAGTATCAGTCAGACCTCCTACGGCTCCCTGTCAAATAGTAGAAGATCAGCTAGTGTCTTGAAAACCACGGGGCAACACGAGGGCTTGAAGGCTGCCAGCACTCGCGGTCTTAACATCTTCGATGCATTGGAGATGGTCCTTGTCACAAAAGAACGTACCAGAGGACCCCCATCTCCACCCAGCCCTCCAGCAACTCCTCCGGCTGCGCCCGTCACGCCATCAAGCGGTCCTCCGCCGCCTCCACCGCCAAGAAGTCCAGCCATACCTGGGATTTTGATCCGACGTCGAATGTAAGGTGCTAACGAGACTAGTGTGTTGGCGAAAGTCGCGACAATGGAAAACGCCGCGAGTACGTCGTTCCAAGAATTGAAATCCGGTAAGCTGGAAACGATCCTGTCGTAAAGGACTTGAGGGTCGGGAAAACTTTTAAGCCAATCTTCGCCGGGGACGAGGTCCTGCCACGACTCTGGTCCGTAGTTGAGGTAGTAGGTAGCAAGTATGCCAGTACTCGCTGTCCAGGCAGCTGCGATCAAGGACACAAAGGTGTCAAAGTATCCAAGTGCAGGCGTTTCGAGTAGGAACTGAAAGCACTGCTGTGTTTGTGGGTTGTAGCAGTATAGTGGAGTCGTGAGATTCTGCATCGCATGGCAGCAGGAGTCGCCTCATCCTTAAGATTGGGAGATGTTGAGGAAGATGCTGCTTCGCTGTCGTGGGGAGATGACGTCCAGAGGCATTGGAGCTGTTCAATGTTCGGAACCTTGAAGCCCACCACCAGCCACCGATTGAGTGATTTACCACAAACGCTCCTCTCAATCTCGTAAGAGCAGCGAGCGAAGCGGAGTTCCAAGAGCCCGGTTCGTGGAGCTCATGCAAGATGAACTCGAGAACTGCACAAGGATCAGCGATCTCAGAGCCTAAAGCGGTGGGACAGATGCGAGCAACATCTTGTGCAGGGATCTGTAACAACCTCTTGAGGCAATAAAGTGCGCAGGGTGCCGCCGTGTGCCAAGGCTGACAACGCATTGAGGTCGTCCATGCAAGTTTTCAGTAGGGTGAAGAGGGATCAGAGCGCGTGAGACAGAAGCTACTAGTGGAGCTCTCAGTTCAAATCGTTTCCAGATCATCTCTCAGAACAAATGCCTTGGACTGATGCGGTATGCACGGGTAGCTCGGATATGTATCGGCTACACAATACTTTCAAACAGGCAAGACCGGTCGGGCATGTGTCTGAGAGATTGGAGGAGCTTGCGTCGAGGAACAAGTGCGTGTTCCTGCTTAAGCGCTCACGATGAACCATGGTCTGATTGGAACCATTGCCGGGATATGCGAACGTAACATGAGAGCTTTCAAGTACGTTAATCTCCGCCCGGCATCTGGAGCCGGGCTTGTCGCGGAATAGGCGTTCGCTTGTGAGGTAGTGGTCTACATTCTCGTGTATCCGAGTCCGGAGGGCGATGTAGTGTGGGATATCAAGATCTGATAGACGGATACATCCGTAGCCCAAGGTTCTCCTAGCCGCAACCTTATCTCGACGTGCACTCACTGATTTCCTCTCAAGGTTCTCACGGTTCCGGAGAAAGCGGCTATTCATTCCCAGAACGTATAATACACCTGCATGCCACGGACCGACGGTAGCACCCAGACAACTCTATCTTGTCAACTCTATCTGGTCACCATGCGGTAGCAAGCCGGACCTCTGAGAGCCCTTTTGCGAAGTTGTTGAATCACCGGAAATTGCCGCTTCTGCAAGCAGTGAACACAATCGAGCGATGTCGAAATGGATGCAGAGAGAGAGTGGGGGCCTACCAGGAAACGCAAGCTGTGGTGAGGAGCACAAAACAATCAAGACCGCAGTTCCTGGATCCGTCGCCCTCCATAGCGTTTCTCCAGCAGCACGCGACCTACATCATGGCCAAGTTGCTGGTATTGTCTGCTGTTGCTTCCACGGCCTTGGGCCAGTTTGGGTCAATCCCACAGCCTGTGCCAGGACAGATGGTCGCAATGGATAGCTGTGCCCATGTCGTCGACTGCTTCGGCACCTACCCACTGAAGCCCGGCCACACGCGCGATGAGTTCCCAGGCACAAATCCATCTCCGCCACGAATCGTTCCAGGTAAGACAAGACAGGGCAGGGTATTTGGTCGAGCACAGCTGACCAGAAGATTGCAGGTTACGTCGTGCCCAACTACACGATCGGCCCGGGCGACTCCAATTGCCCTTCCGGAAACTGCATCCCGATTGACCCCAACAACATCTGCGATGGGTACGCCCCGGACTGTTTGCCAGGGCCAAACGTGAGGCTACCTTTGCTCAAATGCGATCCCAAACATCCCAGATGCCCGCCAAATGGGTTCCTCGTCATACCACATATTTCGTGTCATCCGGCAGGAAAGACCTGCCCTCCGGGCGGCGTCATCACGACTCCTGGCTTCTGCAAGCCCGGCGAACACTGTCCCTGTGGTTGCGGAACATATCTGCCGCCTTGGGTGACGAGCTGCAGAGCCGGTGAACCAAATTGTCCGAATGGCCAGCATGTGACCGATCCGCCAATTTGGCCAGTGTATCCACCCGGCGAGCCACACATCCCAGGATGGCCTTGGGATCCGAGCAAGACGTGCGATCCGAGTCTAGGTGGACATTGTGACGGCGATGACATTGTGGTCCCAAATGGGCCGAAAGACGAATGCGATGCCAGAAAGCCCGGCTGCATTCCGCAGACATCGATCCCGCCAACAGCTCCTCCTTCTGATCCCAGAGATCCAGCGTGCCCGAATGGTCAATGTGTCTTGGTACCTCCTCAGGGTTGTCACCCTAACGACCCACATCCAGCACCGAACTGCATCCCGGTAAGTTTGAAGGCGCAGTGGTCTCTGATGACTTACATCACTGACCAAGCCATTGATAGATCAATCCAATCCCGTGTACTGCTGGCACAGAAGGATGCCCAGGTGGTGTCGAGGTTCCAGACGTTGTAAACCCGTGCAAGCCAGGTAAGAGATTCTGTGTCAGAGCCAATCGCCGACCTGACGACCGCCGATTGGGCTTCCTTATGTTGGGCCATTAGCTGACTTTACGCCCTTCTGCATGACAGGTACACCGGGTTGTCCACCGAATGGCTTCATCACCCCAGATCGACCTATCGTGAAGCCAAATGACCCTGTCATCCCCAAAGAAAACCCCAGGCTCGAACTAGATCCAAATGGTGAGCAGTCGCAGCAGTATCGAGTCCGAAATGGTGGATACTAATCAGCCGGTCTGATCGCAGGTCAACAGCGTTGCTCCTTCGTCGAAACCCCACAGCTCCCCAATGGCAAGATCGATCCCGAGGAATGTAAGAATCGCGAAGAGGATTTGAAGCCGCGCTTCTACGGCGACTCCAAGTTCCCATGCACCAAGGATGACAAGAAGCCTGCCTTGGGCCCAGAGCTCCAGGGCTGGTTACGTTTCAAGTCGAACGGCAGCGACCTGCCTTCCAAGCACGCCCGATTCGAAGACAAAATCAAGTTCTCTGAGGATTCAATTCTGCAAGTAGCGCAATGGACGTTCAATAAGAGATGGGGCGTCAGGATTGACGGCAAGGATCTCGGCACCACTGATCTTGGTACAATGGACCTTGACCGGAAATGTGGCAGCGATGATACCGATGTTTGTGTGGAGCGGGGATGTCCGAACGGCTATTTCTTCATCCCAGCCGGTAAGTTGCTGGCCAAATCTTCATGAGCCAGAGTGTCAAGGGTCAATTGCTGACTTCTTTGCTACAACAAGGGTACCACCAGATGGAATTCATCCTTCAAGATGGCAAAAAGGTACGATAGCCAGAGACGGAGACTATTCCCAGTGTCTGCCTCATGTTCAAGTTGTGGGCGAGCCCAACCAAACAACAGCTGACAGGACTTCGCGAGACAGGGTCCTCTGGAGTGGCACAGGGGAGATTACCGGTTCCTCCATGTTGCCAAATGCCATCCGGAGAAGAGCGGAGCGGGTGAGGGACTCGTCGTTGTCGCGACCGCATCTCGAGGAACTCCGACTAATCACGTTGATAGATGATTCGCCAAGCGCAGAAGGAACTTCCATGGTCAGCCCGGATCCGCCTTCTTTCGGGCCACCAAAAGAAGAAACTGTCACCGTCCAGACTCCCCCACAGTCGACGACCGACACCAACGCGCCCGGTTACCAGCCGCCAGAGCCACCAAGGACTCAGACTATGAGTATGGAGCCTCCGTCGCAGCAAGTAGTTAATCCACCACCCCAAGCAGATCCGCCACGCCAGGACAATGGCGCCAGAAACCCCCCACCGCCGCCACCACCCGAGCCAAGTACAGCATCGGTACCACCTCCACAAGAACAAGTAGAGCAGCCAACATCAAGTGCACAGCCAACACCAAGTGAACAGCCAATACCAAGTGCACAGCCAAAGGCGCCTGGGTACAAGGACTTCCCTTGTACTGAAGACGCCTCATGGCCGTGTCGAGGTACAGAGCTCGAGAAATGGAACAACATGTGGTTCAAATGGAACTCGCAGTGTGAGTATTACCTGGCACACTCGATACCCAAATGTAGTTGCTGATGTTTTTCCAGATCGTCGACCAGGTCCACCAGCTCCATGGGTCAAGGAGATCAACTACTCCGATGACACCATCTTCACTCTTACTGACGTCGAGAATTACGTCGAGCATTTTGAAGTCTTCCTCGATGGCAAGTCCATTGGTGAGACTGAGGAAGGTCCACAGCATCCATTCCCAGACCGTTGGAGGAGGAAGTGCGGCCACGGTGAGCCAGAGAGGTGTATGAAAGATGGATGGTCGCATGGCTTTTTCAGAATCCCATCAGGTGAGTCTCATGTTCTCGGGTTCTCCGGCCTAATACAGCGCTAACCGAGGCTTTTAGGACCCCACACCCTTTCCATCTCCTGGACCAAGGGCGACTTTAATAACTGGGTGTATGCCACCGGCATGTACCGCTTCGATGCTCTGTGCACTAAATGTTAGAGTATACAAGAGCATCGGGGATGATTGGAATCTGAAGCATCATCATTTGAGCAGATGTTCGAAGCCGTAGAGGAAGAGCCAGACCTCTCCACACAACAGGGATGGGCAAGCTTGGGACTCGCGGGAAAGCATACAGCCACGATGTGGACAGTGTACGCTACAAGCAGATAGCGTCTTGACTGTCAGATCCTGTCGGAAACAAGTTGTCTGGTCTCGATGTAGACTTTTCTCCAGGGAATCTGACAGGAAAATTGTGATCCATCACTCCCGTCCAGGCGCAGCCTTCCACCCTTCTCCTCGCTTCCAAGTGGACATGGTGTATCTCCACGAATCGCCCGAAAGAATCGTATCAAAATCCTCGATGCCGCTGTACTTGAGAAGCTGGATCCCCGTCACCTTATGCGCATCTGTAGTCAAATATTGCACTTGTCCCAGGAGTCGCGGATGCGATCGCTTCATCTCCGACCAAGTGGTAGCCTGAACACACCAAGCCAGAAGCGCAAGCCTCACATCAAAGACGCGGAGCTTCGGAAACCCGGTCTGAAGAATCGACATAAACCGCGCTAATCCCCCCGAGCTTTCCCGATTCTGGAGAACGCAGTACGGCGAACTCCCAAAGCCGTCGTGTTGGATGCAAGGTTTACAGAAGACGTAGAATTCCACCTGCAGGTGGGTGATGGTTTCCGGGCGACTCGGACGCTTCCAGGGATCCCGGCCGGGTTCGAAGCTCACGTATTTCGCTGTGAGGTGGGATGGAGGCGGGATTCGATCGCGATACTCCCGGCTGAGTTGGCGGCTGGACAGGGTGACCGCGAGGATGCGGGCGTTGCTGAAGACTCTGCGCACGGGGGGAGCATCCGGCTGTCCCCTTTCGATTCGAGGGAGTTCGAAGTCTAGCACCATGTGGTCGTATATTCTATCTCGAAGTTCCTGTGGGAGATCGAACAGTCGGAATGGTTGGAGGGAATCGTCCAAGGAATCTGTGGAGCTCATTGTGGTGATCTCAGGCTTTCGCAGAGTCGATTGCTGACGTTTTCGCACTCATCGACTGTAAGATGGACTTATTGTTGACGAAGCAATGGCTGTGAAAGCAAAGATGTATGAGTGTGAGTAGAAAGGGAATGATGCAATGTATCGGACACGGTTAACCGACTGGCTAACTGCTTTGAGTCTAGCGTAGAGCTCGCACCATCGCGTAGAAATATATGACCACCGAATCTTACTCTTCCCATTTCATTACCACCAATCTCAACTTCCTGTCTCAATCCTACGACACTATTGCCTTTTGCAGAGCCATCATAGGATGCAAGATCATACAATTCGGAATAGGAAATCTCATTGATGATCACGCGCCCATTTGCAGCAACGTCCAAGATTGTGGCTCCTGTCTATCAATATCCCACCACATCGGCTGATCGAGGGGGCATCGTGTACAACGTAGTCAGATCCACGAATTGCATCTCATTGTGCTATCGGCGACGCCAGTGGCCACGAATAACTGATGAGCTTCTCTTTCACCTCCCCGAAGGCGGCCGTGCCGTCAGTGCTCTCTTGCGCGTCTTCAGAAGCTCCAGCCTTGCCGGTAGAAGGCGACCGGGTCCTGCTTAAGATGAATAACTGCTAGTCTAGATGGACACGTAGAGCACCCGCAGTTCTCATTACTACAAGATAGGTCAGAGCCCGTCTGCTAACCGAAGCCTCATGTTCATAACACACACACATGCACCAAACATTCCAAAAGCATACATTAATCCATTCCATCATTGCGTCGAACTTCTCATTGGACAACACACTTTTCGCTTTTCTTCTCCCGAGCGCCAGGACTGCCAGGACCACCAGGCTGCATGCCCGCATTCGAAACACCCATACTATATCTCCTCACGGCCTTCGCCCTCCGCGCCACATTGCCCCTCTCCATTTCCGTTTCCGCGTAATCCTCCGCTGTCACGATCAATGTATACGTCAACATACTCCCGTCTCTGGTGAAGAGCAATTCTCTCCCGGCCTCCCAACCCTGTTCATCCTCGACATTGATCCACATTTCATCCTTGTCGCGTCCAGTTCGCAGGGAAACGCCAGAGTAGGACTTCTGATCCGATTGTCGGGAGGGCATGACTTCGCGGATCTTGGAGCGCTTGTAGAGGAGAGCTTCTAGTTCGACGAAAGTCATGCTTTTGTGGATGAGGATGACGTCCTTTTCCGAGGAAACGGGAGGGCCTCCAGGGCGAACGCGGCCGGGTCTGATGAGTCCAGCGGGCTCGAATCTTTCCAGGGATACGATGATGGGTTTGGACTGAAGAAGACGTGTTAGCTGGGCTTGATGACAGCATAGTATGGGCGCTTACGGATCCCGATGCACTAGATTGGGACGAAACTGCGGTGACTTTCTGTATAAGGTGATCGTCTGTCTTATTCCTCGCCAGAGCCGCCGTGGGCCTTGCGGGTTTCTCTGTCGTCGTAGTCGTAACGGTGTTGTTGGTATGGATATCGCTGGCACTCCGGGTGCCTACGCTCGCCACTTCGTAGCTTGGCGGTTCATCCGCATCCACATCCACATCGGGAAACGGCACGGCCTTGCCATCGCTCGCAGATGACATGGTATAGTATAAATATACTTCCCAAGGGCGATCTCGATTTGGTATAAAAATGAACGTATGATGATAAGGAAAGAGGTAGTAGAGAGCGTTTTTGCGACAAAAATTTCTTCTCCTGCGTTGTTTTTTGCTTCTTCCCTCGTGATGTGAGTGGGAAGGGCAAATCAGGGTTTTCGGATGTGATGTACCTGCGTCTGAGCGAACCTTATCGCATGTGGCAGCATCCGTCGATCCGACGGAGCTCCGGATATGCTTCATCAGAACGACAAACATACATCAGCAACGGCATAATAATAATATAATAGAGATTTTCTCAAAACGTCCTTTCAATCTCGTCGTCGAAGGTATGATATACTTCGACGCGATACTTCCCGTACGCGATATCTACGTCTCGTAAGCTAACTTGAAAAGCGCGTGTATAAATAAAGATTGGAAAACGCCTTATTATGCTATCAGGTTTGGGATTCTGTTTCATCATCTCGTAAGCAGACCGAGAGAGTCTGGAAGGTAAGCGCGAAGGTCAGGGATATACGAAGGTAAGGGCGTAGTAGGTAAGGGCGACGCTGGTTAAGAGCAATAGTGCGCGAGCGACGATTAGAGACGTTAGAGTCGAATTTACGACGAACTTTTTATCAGAGAAAGTATATCTCGAACAGCTGACTGACTATAGAACTCGCGATTCTCCGTTCCCTTCCCATGCCGTTGCCAAGTTTCCTGTCGTCTAGAGCATACCTGGAGCTCTTCAAAGCGGTATCTTCATACGTCACACGGTTTCGTCCTGCGTTTTCACTTCATCGGCATCCTGTGTCTATCATCACATGTCACTTTCCAAGGGACCCCGAGCAAGTCATGACATCGTTCGCTGACGACGGCCATCATGATGACCAGCATGATTGCGAGTCGTGAGTTTGAGAACGTGTGATAAAAAGTCTGGCACAGCCCAGACCCTCCCTGTCAAGACTTCTTCCGCACGCAACAAGCTCGTAAGTCCAGCCTTATATGCCCCCGCCTCATCATCACGTCCAAAATAATGGCCTGTAACCCCAAGGAAAAAGCAGACTACTCTGGAGATGTGTGACCTTCGGACTGCGAAAAGGGGAGGATCTCCCGCGACCGCCAGGATTTCGGCGGATTCCTGGTTGGTTCGTCATCGAGATCTGTGACAAGGACCGGGCATTCCCCCAGGATGGAAATTCTCTTGGCCGTGGATTCTGGAAAGGCAAGAATAAGCTGCTTACACCAGCTCCAAAATAGATCCCAAGAAACCGTATTGCTTCAAGGCTGTGTTCCTTGGCTTTTCTTGAGGCGGAATTTCCTATGGCGTACACCTCCGTCACGAAACATTGCCGTTCCCTCCGTGGGTGGTGGTGCCACCACAGCCACTGGCTATAAAGTCAGGCCTTGAGCCCATCCATCCCACATCTCCAGAATTCTCCACAGATCCCCTCAGAATCATACCCGGCTCATCCGCTTTCATTCAACGACAGACCTTCCGACACAGTTTCGCCCATCACACAACAGACTCCACACCTTCAAGATGTTCGGCCTGAAATCCTTTGCTCTCCTCGCGGCCATCGCCTCCCTGGCCCTCGCCGCTCCGGTCAAGGTCGAAGGCGAGGACTGCATTGTATACGTCGACAAGGTGAACGAATGCGGAAAGTAAGTCCTCATCCTCCCCTTTCGTACCCATGACTTCCATGTTTCACATCGAGAATCCCCCCCCCCATTCAAGCATTTTACTCACCACATTTCTTTTTCCTCTTAGATGGTACGGCGGCTACTACAACGTCTGCATCCCCGGGGCCACGGAACCAGAATTCGACGTGCCCTCATGCCCCTAGGCGTTGGAGGCTGTTATTATCCCCAAAGCTGGACCCGTCCCCGACTCCCACTCGGGGCGGAGCCGCAATGATAGAGAAGAAGAAAAGAAAAGAAAAGAGAAGAAAACAAAAGATATGACAATACAATCTGTTGGGAAGGGACCTGTATTACTGCCTATTTTACTGCTGAACCGCTGCGCCTGTATTCGTACACAATTCGAAGTCGTTTCTATCAAGGAGCAATCATCTACACACTCAAGTCGCGAATCCAAATCATATGAAAATATAACCCCTTCCCTCCTCCTTTCCTTAGGGGGAATCACCACCCGATGACCGCAATCTCACACTACACTGTTTGAAACCTCCGACAAATGCTTGGGTTTTTCCTCCCCGACAAGTCTCCGATGTTATTGTGCTTACCTGCTCCGCGAGCGTGCCCGACCCCTGAGCTGCTTTACAAGATTTCCCCGGGGTTTGGGCGCATTTCCATACCTCGATTCCTATCCCGGATTTCTTGGTGATGGCGAATTCGGGGACAATGTGCCATGCCGACCTTTAGTAGTAGTGCTTGTTTTCATGAAGCGAATGAAGTGGATGCTCGCTTGCGTGGACCGGCTCGGTCTTCATGTTCTCATTAGCAGTTTCACGCTCGGAGCGAATTAGCTGATTGCACGACTCCGCTGGGAAAATGGGAAGACCGGAGCATAGTCAAAAGGATGAGGCCATTTCACTTCGTTTCTGCTATTCTGCTGTAATAGCCAATAAACATTCCCAAAAGACCAAACGTGCGTGCAACTTACGGAACGGGGCGGTTGTCCGAAGAGCAGACAAACTACAACCCCTTCCAAACGAGAGTCTTGGCAACATCGAGTGTCGCTTCCAGCGGTGTGTACGCACTCGAATTGCCCACCAAGACCTTGTAAGTTCCCTGTTCCGAGACCCAAGCATCCTTGCCTTCATGATAGAAAGAAGTAGCATACTTCTTCGACAGCTTGATCTCCGCCTTTGCAGATTGTCCAGGCTCGACAAAGACCTTGGCAAAGCCTTTCAACTCCTTCTTCGGCCGGCTAATGCTGCAAGTCTGAGATGCAACGTATACCTGAACGACTTCGGCTCCTGCGGTGGATCCAGTATTGGCAACATCCACCGAAACGACGACCTCGTCGGAGTTGTCGGGGGCGTCTACTTGGACCGATTTCATCTCGAAAGTGGTATAGCTCAATCCATGTCCGAATGGGAAGAGCACATCCAGTCCACTCTTCTCATAGTATCGATAGCCGATATACACGTCTTCTCCATAAAAGACTCTGTTGTCATCGCTCTTGAAGTTGAGGAAAGCCGGATTGTCTTCGTTGCGTCGTGGGAAACTCAAAGAGGACTTGCCAGACGGATTTGTGTCTCCATAGATGACATCCGCAATCGCATTACCAGTTTCGTTGCCGCCGTACCAAGCTTGCAAGACAGCTGGCGCCTTGTCGGCCCACGGCATCGTCACTGGAGTGCCTGATTGCACAACAATCGCCGTCTTCGGATTTGCCGCCAGCACGGCTTCAATCAGCCTGTCAGACCCAGGAGGGAGATCCATGTGAGTTCGATCGTAGCCTTCAGACTCCCAGTCACTATTCAAGCCAGCGCAAAGAACCACTTGATCAACTTTCTTGGCTAGTGCAACAGCACGCTCGATTTCGACATCTAGATCCAGCTTTCGGTGACATCCAACTCTCAGTCCTCCAGCGCCAAAGCCTGTAACGCCATCCTTCTTGTAAGTTATAGTCGGCAATGAGCCAAATTCAATGTGGACATCGTAAGTCTTTCCAGCTTCCAGAGCGATGGATCCGATTTCTTCTCGAGTTCCAACACCAAAGAACGAGTCTCCAGGATACTGCTTGGTTGCATTGTCAACCACCAGCTTTCCATCAACGAAGATCTGAGCTGTGCCCGCTACAGAAGCACTGAACTCGTATTCTGAAGTCTGTTCGGGGGTAAAGGTGGTGTCAATGTCCGCATAGAATAGCCAGCTGTCAAGCTTAGGGTTCTTGTAGTCAAACAGAGATACCTGAGTGTCTCCAATGTGAAGTTCGTCGAATGGTGCACGACCAGTCGCCGATGGTGGGTCGAGAAACATCTTCATGAGCAGTCCTGTCTTGCCGTCTGTCGTTTTGACATTGTCTGATAGCAGAGGTAGACGTTTCCAGCCCGGCGCGCCAAGCTCGTATTGTACATTGCTCGACTGTGACTTGATTCCATCCAGCGGAGTCACCGTGTAGTACGGTAGAAGCGAAGCAGAGCCTCCTCCGCAATAAGCAGCAAAGGCTGCGTTAGGACCAATGACCGCGGTGGTTTTGTCTTTGCTGAAGGGTAATACTTGCTTCTCGTTCTTCATGAGCACTATACTGCCGGCAGAGATTGACCGAAGAAGAGAAGCGGTCTCCGGTGAGTCCAAAGTGTGCTCTTCGGCGCTCTCCGGTATCTGAAGCGGCAAAACTTTCTTGATGAGCTTCAAGACCTCTTTTGCTCGTGCATCAATGTGGTGTTTCAGCAGCTTTCCACAACTAGTCGCAAGTCCAACTTGTTTGCCTCTGAGATTCGCTGGGCCCGGCATCTCAAGGTCTAGTCCAGCCTTTATTGACTCGGTCGTTGAGTATGTGCCAAACCAATCAGACATGACCAGCCCATCAAAGCCCCATTCATCGCGAAGAATCTGCTTGAGCAGCTTTGGATTCTCACTGCAGTGCAATCCATTCACAAGATTGTAAGCAGTCATATAAGCCCACGGCTTGGCGTCTCTCTGCGCGATCTGGAATGGCAGAAGATAGATCTCCCTCAAGGCTCGCTCTGATAGAGTGCTATTGCTGGACATACGTTTGTCCTCCAAGTCGTTGCAGACAAAATGCTTGATCGTGGCAGCCACGCCCGTGGACTGAATTCCGTTGACAGACGCAGCAGCAAGGGTTCCCGCAAGTACGGGGTCCTCCGAGAAAGACTCAAACCCCCGGCCGCCTAATGGTCCGCGCTGCATATTGACGGTCGGTCCTAGCAAGACAGAAGCTCCCTTTGCAATGGCTTCGTGGCCCATAAGCTCGCCACCCTTGCGGATCAGATCGGCATCCCAGGTCGCTCCGAGGGCAGTTCCTTGATGAAGCCATTAGTGGTGAAGCTGAATCGGTAGGTTGGCCAGCTCACCGCATGGCAAACATGCCGCCGGCACGCCATTGAAGAACTTGGTTCCTCTCACGCCGTTCGGGCCATCCGAAGTGCGGATGGCAGGTATTCCAAGCCTTGGTATACCAGCCAGGTGCCAAAAGTCCGTCCCCGAGAGCAATGAGATCTTCTCTCCCAAAGTGAGCTTCTCCAGCGTCTCATCGACGTCAAAGTCCTGGTGGCTGGCCTTCTGAGAGGCGGAAGCAGACATAGTGCGGTCGTATCAGGCGAGATGACAGCAATCGAAGAGGCAGTGGGTATGAAGGAAGAGCGGTAGAGGAGTGATGTTGTGCAGAGTAGGACGGACTAGCCTATCGAGAGTTCATGGCGGCCAACATGCCCGTGAGGTGTCCAGGATGTCCGTCGCCCATGATGTGCCTCCAAGTCCAGGTGTCCGCTTGAGGAGCCACAGCGAGATAGCGCCGGTACAATACGCCAAGCGCTTATCACGAGACCCATTGGCACCGAAACGATTGGCGATGAATTGCGATTGTGTTCAAGAAGTTGATGCAAGTGAAGGTGGACCACACGGAGGTGAGCCGGAACGACGGCCCTGAATTCCGCGCCGAGGTCTATCATCGGCCTCGGCGATACTTGCGGCCGGTCAATCGACTCGTCAGGCAGAGACTCGAATACATAGACCTAAGGCTTGTCTCACCTTGAGAATGAGTGTTTGCGTGCTCTGGAACGTCTGATGTCATCGAGATGAAGAAGTTGCATGGACATGGCCAGATTGTGTGACTACATCGAGGCCAGCAGATGCCCGGTCTCCTCGTATCGAAAAAAGTTTCTCTATCCCCCCCCCAAGTACCTTACACCGACGGCTACAGGGGTCACATCGGGAAGGACAAAATCACGTAGGCGGTATTGTCCGTCATGAAGACCACCCCATGCTCGGCGATGCGGTCGCCCATCGCGATTGTTTCAGGAAGGACCGACCTACTGATATCTAGGCTCATACCTTACGTAAGGGCTTCGTGTGCATGCATAAAATGTACAGGGTAAATGCACATATCACTCAGCCTTCACCGCGATGGGACGCTTAGAGTCGGGAGATCCGCGTTCTGTCAATCATGTCCCAGTCGATAGGTCAATCGTTCCGCTTCTCGTGGTCGTGCGATATATTTACAAGCCGTATCGCTTCGAGAAAGCATTCTACCATGCTTGTACGCCGGATGCGCCAATCGCTCCACTCAGCTCTATGCGTGTAGTCTTCTCGATCCGGTCTCTCAGACATTGCAATCACATGTCATGTCCGCATGCTTATCCTGCTTTTGTGATCATGCAGCCCCGTGCCCTCGATCTCACGCGAACATGCTAGCCCCTCCGCTCTCCACGGCTTCAATCTCAGCCTGGGTCCACGGAGTACGGTGGAAGCGCTCTGGCAGCTCGCTCCGATCGAAGAACTCTCCCTTTCCTGGTCTTATCGGTCCCAGCTCCTTCGCGCTCCTGCCTCCAATCGCTCCATATGGGTTCTGGGGTGGTACGGACGCCGATGGGCTGCTTGCACCTGATGGTGCAGCCTGGCCATTGCCAGATTTCAGAGGACCATGCTGAGTTGCCTTCTCGCGGTACGAGGCGAACGACCCGGGGAGGGACTTGGTAGGAGACTCGGGGTGAACGTGGGGAGAGTGGTCGACTTCTGAGGGCGACGTCAGCGCGATCGAGCATGGAGATTTTGGCAGGTCTCACTCTGAGGAGGAGTGTGCCGTCTTCCAACAAACTTGATCATGGGCTGTCGGTGTTGTAGGAGTCGGCGAGTGGCCTGCATCCTCGCGAACTTCGGTGAATAATTTCCAAGAGGAAGAGTGGGGGGATCGGCCTTGGGAGCTCTCTGGTCAAGTAGCTTTTCCGTTCCAATGTCGACGAATTGAATGTTGCGGAGGCGGTGGCGGTGGAAGAGAGAGCGGAGGCAGTGAGAGCGGGGAGATTGGCGGCGTCGACGACCGTTTTATCGACGGCGGAGGGTGGGATGAGATGTGGTGGTGCCTTCACAGTCAGTCGTCGGCATGACGGGCGCGATCGGAGCTCCAAGTAGACTTTCGGCTGCTCCCGCGCGTCAACCTTATCTAACGGGCTTCCTTTCCATTCGCAACGCTCTCGCCATTTATCTCGCCATAAATCCCGACACCCGGGCATCCATTAGACAATACGCAGCATTTTCCGGGTTCATTTTCTCCGCGATGCACGAATATTTGCTCTACTCGCAAATACCCGCGACGCGCGAATCTCAAGTGCTCCAACTGTTGGCAGGCGTAACTGCGGCTCAACCTGTCGATGTCTACGAGCAGACCTTAATCTATGCTCAGCAAAAGATACCTGAAGTTGCGGTCAACAAAAAGGTAAGACATGTCTGTCCAACGCCCTGGACCTTTCAAATATACTCGGGACGCTTGCTAACTCTGCGCAGACAAAGCAGCCTCAGCAGAAGAGGGACCCCACGCACCACAAGCTTGTACGCGACATCAGTCCTACCAACCTGGCACCCGGACCGTGGCGAATCCGGATAGAAGAAACTCCTGAGCCTGGCGTGCAAACCCTCCTATCTCGTGGTGTCACAGAGCGTGTTGCCGAAAATGCCGACCTTGATCATCTGAAAAGCTCGGATTGGTATCAATATAAGCAGCAGCTGACGCAAATCGGCAAGCAGTTTGTCCAAGGCAATGTGGTTATTCGCATTGTCCGATATTATACCATCGCGGCGGGGTCGACGGAGACCGAGCCACTGCATGCGCCCCTGCCTGCAAAAGATGACCTGAGATTGCTGGATGTCAGTGGTGGCTGTGTTGTTCAAGCAGTTGTCCGTGTGGAGAACCTCTCAAATTCGAATATCACCGACAAGGCGAAGAAAGAGCTCTCTGCTTTCCAAGCGTATCTAGAAGGTGCGGTGAATCTATCGGCTCCCGATCGTCTCGCTCTCGACACGCGCGTCAAGGTCAAAGCTTAGGAAGCGCCCTTGGGTAGCGTGGAGAACGATGATTTTGAGGAGATGGCTTCTTATACCACAAGTGCAGAGCCTGAGGGCCAGGCGGAAGGAACATATCCGAGGCAGCACGACACGCCGCAATCCTTCAACCACGACGAGTTTATGGCCAGGCAAAGCCCACATTATGACGTACGCCACGGCGTCGGAGGCAGCAAGGCGAAGACGTCGACCTCGACTCCGGCTTAGAATGCTGCAATGGCGAGGGGTATACAAGAAGCTCTTGGAGAAGTGGGCGGCGAAAGTGATGAGGAGGGTCCGCTTAATGGCATGAAGTCATCGCACCAACCTGGAAATAGTGCTGTTCAGGCAAGCGAGGCTCGCGATGATGCAGTGGACCACGACGCGTTCTTGCGAACCCAGATGGCTCATCACGACCCACAATGGTATTTGAGATCAAAGGAAAGAAAATGGCAGAAAATGAAGAAGCGATAAGCGGGAGTTCGTTGGCGAGATGTCGACATTGGAGAGCAAGCAGAACTAATCGATAATGAGTTGCCTATACATCCCCAGGATCCTATCGAGCTCTGGATCTTGTATTTGTATTCCCACTTCAGACTCGTCCTTACAGACCACCAGTCGCTTTGCTTCTCTTGCAAGGCAATCCTCACATTCCCCACACCAAGAGATTTCCCACTTGTCGAGCAGTCTTCGAAGCTCCTCTAGCTGATGATGATACAGTCCCTTCTTTATATTCGGATATACAGAGCATCGCTCCCCGCGCAAGTCCAGCAATGTGTACAAGAAAGGTCTCCCAAACGCCACCAACCAAAACGTCGCAAAAATGGAGATACCGAAATTCCCTTCAAACAGTCTCACCATTTTCAGGAAGTTCTGCCTGCTGGTCCACGGAATCCGCGGCTCGAGGGATCTCTGCTTCGGTCCATCGAGTTGGATGTGGAGCCGTGCTTCCATCGCTCCTAGGTCCTGCGGAAGGACAGATGCGACGTTCTGGAGTTGTCTCATCACGAGGGCCAGAATGGAAGGTGTCTTCACCGAAGCGTCGATTCGTACGTGACGGGCGTGGCGGAGAAAGAACGACTCTGGGTCACCTAGTCTTCCGAGAAATGTTACTCTGGGGGGCTCTTGAAACACCCAGCAGTATCGGGTTTTCTTCCAGCGTGGAACACGATTCGGATCGAGATGGTCGTATTTGCGGCTGTAGACCGACACTGTCCCCGGAGCCATGAGCGGGAGTGGCGAAGGTACCTCAGAAGGACTGCGCGGTCGAAGCCGAGGCGAGTCGGAGCTTCCGTGTTTTTGGACAAGACGGGAGTACTTGGTACTCGTGAAGAGCATGAAGAGCGTGTTGTCGTACAGGTAGGCTCCCGCATCTGCGTAGATCCGTCGACATGTTCGAAGGACAGCATGGGAATCCGACAACAATGGTTCGGCGTGGAAGTCGTTCAGCCAGTTGCGGTGTGCGAGGAGGTCTTCTCCTTCGATCCAGAGACGCATACATCTTTTATACGTGGCGGGACGTTGGAGCCAGTTGCTGTCCAGGATTGGAGGGTCTCGGATGTGCGAGAAGAAGATGTAGTCGTAGATTTGAATGCGGAGTTCTGTTGGTAGGCGGAAGAGGAGGAGGTCTTCGTTCATTCTCGTGTTCTTTGATAAATGCGAAAGCGAGATGGACGCTTTAAGTGCTACTTTCTTATAAGAAGGGTTGAGGAGAGGGTTGGAGTCATGACATGAGACGATGACTGAGGCTGAAGTCGACGTGCAGTAAGTTGCAGCCGAAAGGTGACTGAACATCGTTTGGACGGTTCTAACTTAGTATCAAAGTGTAGCACTAGACTGGATCCTTCGACTCTCAGCTCGCGTTGTTCGTTCTTCTTTATCTCCGGAGACACCGAGAGATCTGACTGTGATTGTTGAACAGGTGCCAATATCTCGTATAAGACGTGTTATGTTCTTCCTATCATCTCCATCCGAATGCATCACATCACGGTCAACATCAATATGATCGCGTTTCTCGCATTCGCAAAGACTGTGAGACCTTTGACGCAAGCTTCAGCTTTGCATCATTATTCCGGGGTAGTAGGAGTACGCTTATAAGCTGGAATAACATCGTCGAAACGTGATGTTAACGACGCTTCAGCCATCTCTAGAATCCCTATTCAATCTTGACGACATCCAACATGGCGACCAAAGTCCTCAAAAACGGGACAGTCATCGCCTTCGACGAAGACAGCGAGAAGATCAAGGTCTTACGGGAGGCCTCAATCTTATTGTCGGAGACATCATCAAAGCGATCGAACAAAACCTCACATCTCCACCGGACGCACAAGTCATCGACTGTACCAACAAGATCGTCTCTCCCGGCTTCGTGAACACTCATCTCGCCGTCTGGCGAACGGCTTATCGCAGCATCGCCCCATAAGTTACTCTTGTTCACTACTTCGACTGGCTGAGCCAGCAATCGAAACTTGCCCAGACAGCTTTTACACCGGACGATGTCTACATCGGTTCTCTTGAAGGTTACCTCGAAGGCTTGAATGGTGGAGTAACGAGCTACGTTGATCATGCCCACAACAATTGAGGCCCAGGAATCATGGAGAGAGGATTCGACGCCACAGTTGACAGCGGTGCCAGAGTCTGGTGGTGGAGGACGAATCAGAGAGCCGCTGTGATCGACTCGATAGGTTGGTGGCATGCCTGATGCTCACAATGAATGAGATCTTAAAAGCGGTTGGATGACTGCTCGTAGAAGACCTTCTTTCGACGTCCACGGAGTTAGACCAAAGACTTGATCCTGGCATTGAGACAACAAGAGGGAGTAGAGGTCGTGGAGAGATGAATAGACGTCTTGACGGAGCGTTGACTGCAAATGGACCTGGAAGGATTCAGCCTGCAGAACCTCCTGTTGCGTCGCTCACAACGCACTCTTGTCTTCGCGATAATAATAGAGAACATCATCTTTGTATTCTGCCGAATCAATTTTTACTCTGCTGGCTTCTTCGTAGATCAAAAGAAGTTGAGGGCCACAGCGAGTCAGACAGCACGGAGTCAACGACAGCTGCCACAGAAGTCTTCTTCCAGTGAGCGAAGACGCTTTACGGTCTACAGACCAAAGCCAAATCGCTTTGCAAAAACTTTCTAGTTGATGCGCAAGCGGTCTGTAGTGCTATGTGCTGGGGCAGCGAGTAGGCTGATCCGGAAGAAAGTCTTCAAATATCTCCATTTCGAGTGGACCAAGCTGGTCTTCAGGCAGTATTTCGCCTGTAAACGGTTTTTCGTTGCCCACGTATCGCCACTTCCCCAAACCAGGCTCAGCGGACGAGTCGAGTAGCTCATATTTGCTCCTCTCGAGGGCCTTTGGTTGGTATGAGGTTACGTGATTCTTGTCGTCGAGTCCACCCGTAATCTCCCTTGAGCGGACCGCGGTATGAATGCGTTCATGAGTATTTTGTAGAGGGTCTCCCTCGCGAACAGTTAATGTTTTCATGTTGAGGACGTGGTATCTTCCAGGCGTCCGCCAAACAATGCCCAAGAGTCTCCGAAGGCCAGACGTGGCGTTCTTGATCTGACCCGCAGCCCACTTGAAGCCAGTTTCTGGTACCTTTTCCTTCCTAAGGTACGCTTGATTCTTGACCCATTGCTTACGGATGTAGCCAGGCGTGAAGTCGATGAACGGGGCCAGATTGGACATCATCCAAGCTAGCGTGATATCAGAGAGACCGCTGTTGGCATAGCCGCCGCCCACGTCCGTATGCACGCCGGGAAACCAAGTCTGCTTCATGTTTGCGTTTACGCCTGGCAATTTCTGCCACAACGCCGGCCGGTACGCTGCACGAGCTTCATCGAGCGCCAAAGCGTGGAAAGCGTTTTCGACATTGCTGCCCAGTTCTGTGTTGTAAAAGCGATAGGTCCGGAGCACCAAAGGAAACCCAATACGCTGAAGGACAGGATTGACGGGAACACCCAATGAACCAACTGTCTCCCAGACACCAATCGCCTTTATTGGAATGGTTTCCTTGCGAGTGTATCCAAAGCGGGTCAGCTCCGCGCGGTATTGCGAGACGTACGCTTTTGGATCTCGAGACCCATTCTTGACAGCAAATGAAGGCTCATCCTTAGATATAAGCGTTCTGTAAGACGCAGAGCCCGCATGCTCCCAGTCCTCGACAATATCGACCAGTTTGTCGAGACCATCGACTGTAAGAAGTCCCAGGTCACCAATCAAAGCGCCGATAGATCGTGCTGTGAATGCGCCTCTCGAGAATCCGATCAGGTAGATCTCGTCGCCAGTCACATAATTCTTGGCGATGAAGGCATATGCTTCCTGGATGTTCGCTGCCAGTCCGATGCCCAAGGCCCCGGCCAAAAGGCGCTGGATCAGGTTGCCTTCACTACCTATGCCAGCTTGATAGTAGACGACTTGTTGCTTTCCTTGGCTGTCGGTGGTTTCGATAGCTCGGGAAATCCTAGTAACATTTGTAGGTACCTGCTCTCTGCCTCGCCAGATCCAAGAGATGACAGTATTGGAGAAGATGCCGCTGTCGCTGTTTCGCCACGTCCCGTCGCAGCAAACTATCAATTTCTTGGGCCTGTAGCCAGGAAGAGGGGCTGGTGTCCCTGCGTTGTTTGCCATAATGGCTCAGTAGCCTCTGCGACCAGACTGCAGACGGTACGCTGTCTTTTGTAGCGCTATCATCCCATTTCCTTGTTTCTGCAGCTTACGGTTTGCTCGAAAGCCCCCCTTCCTGAGGTAGACGCGCGTGACCGCGTCGTAGAGGATACGTACCCACGTGCATTGCGGTGATGAGGATGGTTGGCTGCACGGCGGATCGTTAGCTTGAACCTTGGCGACATGGCGTTTTTGGTGGTGATGGATTGTTGGTTGATGAGGTCTATCGAAGTTGCATCTCGCAACGTACTGAAGGTCATCTTGATATCTGCTTCCAAATGATGATTTATTTCAGCTTTACAAGACGCTGTGTGACGAGGTGAGACGGAGCTCCGGATGTGCCTTAAACGATAAGCACTGAAGCAACAGAATATCGGCGCATCGGGGTATTCAGATTTTGCGGAGTATACTTAGTATGCGAATCTCCTAGTACTCTATATAGTAAAATCTATTATGCGGATATACCCGTAGTAATTTACGTAAAGGCGGAGCTTACTATCCCTACCTAGCTAGCGCTAGGCTGGATCTAGAGATTTACGCGCCTTTCTAAGATATACTTTTAGAACGAGAATATCTAAGTTAGTAGGTCGCTAGTACGCTATCTTCGAAGATATCTTATAAGTAGTCTATAAGGACGGCTATTTTAAGGGCCTTAGGATATAATAGTAGTATTTGCGTAGGCTACGTACGCGTACGTAGCTAGGTCGTACTAGGCCGGGTCCTCCTCTACGTCGGCGACGTTAAAATTCTACGGGTATATCCGCGTAATAAGAATTACCCCATAGAGTGCTAGAATATACGCGTACTAAGCTAGAATCTCGATTCCCCGATACGCCGATGTTCCGTTGCTTCAGTGTTTGTCGTTTAAGGCACATCCGGAGCTCCTTAGGTGAAGTTGTTTGACCAGGGTGATGCATCCCGGTCTCGGCTCATCGGCTAACAAGTTCCCGCTTGGACAACCTGCCCCCTCGTCCACCCAATTCCCTTCCTACTTAACAACACCATCATGTCGCATCAGATCACTACCTTTTCGGTCTTGTTCATCCTCACTCAGAGATTGTATTCAGTCTGGAACTCCTGTGCCGCTTGCACGATGGATATCTCGCGGCAACATTGTCCGCCACCATGAAACTGCAAAAGCCTCCTTAGGCATGGCGTCCATATCGGAGGTGATGCCCTACGCTCCTCGAGCCAGACGTGGCTGTAGCCAATTAGCAGCGTAACTTCACCCAGATTGAAGCCTCTCCGATGGACTTCACATCTTAAGACCACTGCCAGTACGCTCAGCTAGAGGGCTATGCCCAGGCAACGTTCGAAGTGAGTAGACAAGGGTTCCATTGGAATCTCCTGTACACCTTCTTCGCACTGCGACTGCAGCCTTGTAACAGGAGAATCGCAGATGGAGAGAGCCTCAGACTTCAACGGCGATGAACGTCGAAGGTATACCGCGCAGACAACTCCTCCGTGGCTTTCTTGGACTGCAAGCTGCATGGACCTAGAGCGGGGACACCACCGCCCGGAGCTGTGGAGTATCTGGTTCGTGAAGTCTTTCAGTCTCATGCAACCTCATCTCCTTTCCAAGCTTTGTTAGGCGACTTGGGCGTTGGCAATGGACTTGGCCATTTAATTCAGCCGCGCTTTTGAGGCCGCCGGATTTATACATCTAAGCGCAATATACTCTCTGAGGTCCGTGGGAATGCATTTGCGGACATTTCTGCACACAGATTACGAGGATGAATCGCACGCTGCTAACGCCCGTCTCAGTGGTTCCCACGGCACACAGTATCGAGCTTCCACACCGATTATCACACCCTTTGCACCTACAAGTCGCCAAGCTAGCATTGGTGGAGAGACATGCGGTTGTCAAAATGCATACGTCTGCACGTGTAGCGTCAGAAGACCGTGGTCATGCTGTTCAAGACTTACGCATACAGTGTCCGGTCTTGGCTGCTTGGCCGGCTCTCCTTGTGCAGCGGCAAGATCTCTTACGTGGCTGGAGGGTTTCATCGTCTTGCAAGTACCTGCGACCTTCCCACGCGATGCATAGAGTCCGTGTCCCTAGCTCGATCCTGCGACGCCTCCTGTACTTCGAACGATCTCATAATCAAATTCAGCGGCACGGAGTTGCCGTTCTGGGTTCTGGGTTTCCGGCGCTCGTAATCCAGCCGAAGTCGGCTGTATTTCCACGTAAGGCCTTCTTGCGTACGTGTATTCAACTGACACTGGCTTGAGGGCAACTATGTCGCGTCTGATATCAAGGCCAGCGTCTACAACGGCTGATGCGGCCGCCGAGGCCTCCAACACGGCTGCATCTGGACCAAATGATCAGCAATCATCGAGACAACCTCTAAACAAAGCACTCCGACAGGCGATGGAGCGCCAGCAGGAGCGATCGCCGGTGGAGTAGTCGGGGGCCTCGCGGGTCTGGGCGCTGTCGCTACTTTGATAGTCTGGCTGGTCCTTCGTAATCGACGCAAAGCCAGAAACGAAACCTTTGAAATGGCAAACTTTTCCCCTAATCACGATACAAATCGACCATCTGAGCCCAATCCAGCGTTTCTCGCTTCTGAAATCAACCCTTCAAGTGCCATCGAGACGATTACCACGAGAACTCTCCGATCAGACCAAAAAGGAGGAGCATTAAGTCCTTCGCCGGCTATCGGTCGACCGCCATTGAGCTCGTCACGTTCTCCTGTCATTGGAGTTGAAGATCAGAAGAGACATGAAGTACACGAGCGGAAAGTTGTTCCCAAGTTGCCATGATCTTGGGCAGCGAATGGCATGCATCGTGTGAGAGATATGCTTGCCACTGGCAAACAATATCGAGTTTGAGCTTCAGTCTTCCGCTCTCAAGCATTGCCGATGCTACTATCATGAGTTCTCCGAAGTTCCAGATATGCTGATCTCCTCACTTGCCCTATAGATGCAAATGTGAGATCAGTCCGAATGAATGGTGGCATGTAACTATGGACATGTGAAGGTGCCTCAGGCACAAGTCGTTACGTCTGCGGCTCAAATAAGCTCACGCGGGCCGACGGGTCCGTGCAGCTGGAGAAGCAGCAGCCCACTTCTGCTTCCGGGTTCACTTCCAGCTTCACCTTCCCTCCACCACCGCTCACTGCTTGCTACTGCGTCGCCGCCGCCACGGCATTCGTATATAGCTTTGCTTGCGGGCGGCACCGCTAACAATCTTTGCTTCTCAGAAACATCTCCACGAACCTGCATGAACTTCAACAACATCGCCCAACACCGCCACGGTCAGCAGCACCACACACGCTCAGTTCAGTCATTACAACACACCTCAAGACTACCGACACGATGGCCACCGATAGCATGGATGTCGACATGGACATCGATCTCGACATGGATCCAGAGCTCCAGCGACTCCAGGCCCAAGCAGCCCGACTGGAAGCGGTGCGTGGTCGCACATGCTGGACGGAGAAGAGCACGGGTGGCTGACAGATTGTGTGACAGATGCCTCCAACCTATCAGCCAACCAATGATGAAGATGAGATGAAGGATGCTGAAGATGTTGAAGAGGGCGAAGTGGGCCCAGACGAGATAGTGTGGACAAAGATCTACATCAGCGGCACGACAGACTTGGGATTCGAGGAGATCATCATGTTCGCCAATGACACATACAAAGAGTGCGAACTGGGCCGACGAGACCTTGAATGGATCGACGACGAAAGCGTTAAGCTCGTATACCCGACCAAAGACCATGCGGCCGCGGCCTTGCGAGCTTTCTCAGTGACGCCAGTCGAGGATCCATTGGAGTTACGCGAAGCCGTCAAGCTTATCACGAACCCTCAACACGAGTTCCGCGTGCGTATGGCAACAGCGAAGGACATGAAGAAGCGAGGTGCTGCTCAAGAAAGCCGATTCTATCTCAACCATCCAGAGTACGATCCAGAGACCAAGCGCTACCGAGACAGAGGTCCTCGCCGCGGACGAGGTGGCTATCGACGCGACTTTTCAAATCGTTTTCCAAGAGCACGCACGCCTCGAGAAGAAAGCTTCTCCGTAGACCTTTATGATGACAATCAGGAGGCAAGAGACAGGATCAGTGCGCGCAGAGCAAGCCGACAATCGGAAGAAGATTATTTTGCAGGCCGGACGAATAGTATAGAGCGGCGCGGTGGAGACCTCTTCCAAGGTAGAGAGCAAGGCAGACTGCGTAATCGGAGCGCATCACCTCGGCGAGAGGGCGCCGGCTACTATGGCTTTAGCGACGACCAGCCATACCGACAGACTGCACCGCGTCAGCGCACTCCACCCCTCCGCGCGCATACTACCCGCAACAACCGGGAACTGGGTCGGAGCATGAAAGCGGATTTGTTTGCAGGAAAGAAAGTCGGCACAGCTCTGACCAATGGCGACGTCAATGGCAGCGGCGCGCCGCGAGAGCTATTCCCCAAGTCGAAGCCCAAGGACCTCTTCGAGGATAAGATGAATAATCACTACCGTTCTGATGCAAAAGACTTGCATCCAGATGAGGTGGCTACTGCCATCGGCAAGTTTGACTTCAGCAATATACAAGACGCAAATACTTACAAAGAATCAGGTCGACGACCGGAGAACGCACCACGCGACCTGTTCGCCCGCACTGAAGGCGGACCCAAGCTCTCGATCAACTCTGGATCTGGACGATTGAACGAGCGACCCGCCTCAGCTGGGAACGCGGAAGGCTTCAGCATCTTGGGAGCTGGGCAGAAGCAAGAACCGATCAGCTTCAAGATTAAGGGTATGGGCAAGGTCAACTTGCCTAAGGAGGACTTGTTCGCACACAAGATGTCGCGCAAGGGAGGACAGCGTCGGCTTGCCGAGGATATCGACAATTAGAGATCGTGGTTTCCTGGATGGGAGCCGAACCCTGATCCACCAACTAGGAAGTGAGAGGCTAAGTCTTTTCGCCTGTGCAGCTCGATCCACTGCGAGCAGCGAAAGTGGAGCGACACACCACAACAAGAAGACTTCGAATTACGCGATTACGGCAGCTTTGGCACGACACGATTCTCCCCTCAAAGACTTTCGACCTGCGTCACAATAAAAGTTGGCGTCTGAGTCCAAGCGTCATCATTCGCAAAGGCGTCGCTTAGCACAGTCGCGATCATTGGATGCAGGAAAAGAAGACGATTCCTTCGTTTCTGATTGATAAATGCATACTTTGTGATACCCAAAAACTCAGAGATCGGACTTTCATGAGCGTGGCATTGGTCTGGCTTTGTTTTCTACTGCATGGGTCACTCATCATCTGTGGCACTGCATGTTCTGTTTGCTTAGAGCGGAGATGGGGTACTAGTTGTACTGTATCATAGCGATGGAGTTGGAAGGGGTTTTGGACATGATGGAGGGGATCCATCGCTGCAAAGGCTTACGGCGCACGGGAGTCTCGGAGCAGACAGGCTTGACAACCAAGATACCCCAGGGCGAATGAAATGGATCTTGCTTATTCCAGTGTGCGTCCATTCTGCACCTCTCAATGAGGGTCTGCAGCTCAGTCAAGTCGAATGTATTGTGCTGCTTGCTTGATCCATGCGTCTCTAATTTATCTTTTCGACTTAGCTTCCAAGAGATATATCCCAGAAAGGTACGGATTAAGTGAAGATCGCCAGGTTGAATAGTCGGACCAATTCCCCCATGCCCTTGCCAGTCCCGCATGTGAATGTCCCGAACTTCTGCCGGCGTATAACCTTATCATTGTGTCCAGACTGGGAAAAGCGAGGCAGTGGGTTGAAGGTGTACAGTACACTTATACAGTCCCTTCATACAAAATCAAATGTATCTCCCGCTCCTCCCAGCATACCCTTCACCCTCTCACTCCCCACGACTCTCTCCAATCTCATGCCATCCCACTTACTAAAAGCACATCGAACACTCGCCTCCGCCGCATCAATCTTGCCCTCATTCATACTCGTACCCAGATATCCCTCCACCAATTCCTGGTAAAAGATCGGGTTATCCGGCAATCCATACATCACGACCCTCTTCACACCTTTCAATCTCAAGCGGAAGAAATGATGTGCTCGTTGAGTGTAGAGCAAGATGCTGTGTCTTCCATTGATGAAGTGGGACCTCGCACGTCGTTGGTCGGAGACCTCGCTGTAATCGTGAATCGTGCCGAAGGAGATGTGTTGCGTCTGAGCGGACGTGGCGAAGAAGTTGCGGAGGCGGAGGAAGTCGAAGTATGAGGCGATGAAGATTAAGATTCCCGAAGCGCCGTCGGCGGGTTTGGGTAGACGGATGAGGCTTGGAAGGATGGCCGTGGTGAAGTATTTGAAGCGGGCGTCTGGGTCGCTGGGTGGTGACGGAGAGTCGAAGCGGGAGAAGGTCTGCTTGATCCCTAGGCCGCTGGTTTCGATGATGGCGCCGGCGTAAATCTGTGTGATCTTCGCTTTGCCGGCGACGTTGAGCATAGAGGTGTTGTAAAGTCTGTTCATCTCAGGTGTGACGTATGCGCTGAACATGATGGTCTGTCTGAGGTACTTCGCATTACCGTCCAGATACCAATTTCGTACGCGGCTAAAGTCGCATCCATGCGTCTCTTTCAATTCGAGATTGAGATGCTTGAAGACGACATCGACATTCTCCCAGCTCTGCATTTGCATGGCATCGGCTTGGTCAACGATGACCATTTCGATAGATGAGAGGAAATCATGGTCGCGCTTCTTGACGTCTTCGTTTTCGATGATTTGGCGGAGACCAAGAGGCGATGCTAGAATGACATCGCTGCTGTAGAAAGCGGAGTTGAATTTCAGCGTTTTTCTGGTAAACTTCAGCGCAGTGCGGAAGCTGTTGTCGTTATTCCCACCGAAGAGCTCGCGATAATCTTCCGGCATGGTTTCGCGATCGTCGATGGGCGCCGTGAAGGACTCGTCGAAGCGTTTGCGGTTCTCCTGCTGGTCTGGCTTGAACGCATCCACGATGGCGTTTGCATATTGGGCAGCCATCTGACGAGTCTCGGTCAGCACTAGGACCTTTGGCCTAACGAATCCCTGGTCTCGAAGATCCAAATGTGCCGTATCATCTGCATGTGTAAGGCGCTCATTGTTCTTTAATACTCGATCTCGGCCTTTCAGAACATGGTTGACCACATGGAGACTGGCCAGGCCTCGGAGAGATGCAGCATTTTGTGAAGTTCTATTGCCCAACAGAAGATCCTGATATTCGAACATATATGGAGCCACTTTCTGCTCGAGTTCTGAGGACAGTAGCGATACAATCTGACGCTGTAGGTTTCGCTGAAGGCGCTCCTTGAGTGGGAGGTCTTCTACCGCCTTCGCTTCGTTCTGTCGCATAGCTTTCTGCGAGCTCGTACTTGGCGAAGAGACCATGATGTTCACCGATCTCCCCAATGAGCCTTTCTCCGTTCTCAAGTCGTTGGATTGTATAGCTTTGAGTCGCCTGGACAGCTCGTTATCGTCGGGATTGGCAAAATGCGCTTCGAAGGGATCTTTTGGATCAACATCATCGTCACCCTCGCCGTCAGGCTGCTCTGGCGCATGCTCTTCCCGATCATCTTCTCTGTCTTCTCCACCTTCTACTAAAGCGTCTTCCACCTCCTGATCTTCGTCTGGTATGGCTGGCTCTGGCTCCTCGATCTTTCTCCGTTTTGCCTTGCGTTCCTCAGGCTCAGCGGGCTGATGGAAGGACTGTAGCAGTGCATTGTAAGACTTGACCGCGGGCTTCACCGCTTCAATTTCCTCATCGTCCGAGTCTTCTTCCTCATCCTCTTCCGACTCTTCTGGCAATTCTGGCTGCTCCTCGTCCGACTCGTCCAAGTCCTTCACGCGCTGGCTGTCAAACTTCTTGTAGCCATTCCTGGTCCGGATTCCGCTCCGCGCAAGTTTTCCGCTACCACCAGGCGCACCTCCTCTGCCTCCACGGCCACCGCGACCTCCTCTGCCTCCACGACCACCGCGACCTCCTCTGCCACGGAAAGGTGCCATTTTGATGCCAATTCGAGAGAAGGCGCAAAGTTCTTGAAACTGCAGGACGGAGATTTCGGCGTTTAATTTTAGCCAAACCTTATTTTTCCAGCCCACTTTCGTGCCAAGGCGAGATTTTACTTACGATTGTCGCGACCCTAAAGACGCCAGCCAAATTAATTATCGCCGCCTACACCCTTCGCCCGGAGCGTCTGCCGCGTGACAAGCAACACCGCGAAGATGGGCGACTCCCACTTTCTCCATCTGGCCCGTCCTTTGGCCCCGGCCGCTGTATCGACGCAGACGCCTTCGACCGCGCCAGTCACCGTCAATATCCAACCCCAGGCGCTCTTCTCGATCCTCGATCACGCATCTCGCCGCCCAGCAGAACAAGAACGCGTCATCGGAACTCTTCTTGGAACACGCAGCGAAGATGGCAGTGAAGTTGAGATCAAGAATTGCTATGCAGTTCCCCACACTGAGACTGCAGAGCAAGTCGAAGTGGATATGGACTACCAAAAGCGCATGCTCGAGCTGCACCTGAAAGCTGCCCCTAAGGAAGTCTTGATCGGCTGGTATGCGACGAGCAACGAGCTCAACACCTTCTCTGCCCTTATTCAGAACTTCTACTCGCAGCAGGGCGAGGGCACCTTCCCTCATCCAGCTGTGCATCTCACGGTCTCCACGGTTGCTGGTCAAGATGTCAAGGCGGACACATACATCAGTGCACCCATCGGTGTCACGGCGGAACGTGCGGCGGACTCTTGTTTGTTCATTCCGGTCCCCCACGAGATCAAGTACGGAGAGGCAGAGAAGAGTGGATTGGAGTTGATTGCAGGCGCACGGGATCGAGATGACAGATCACAACTACTACAAACGGATATCGAGACTCTGGAGAGGGCGATTGAGCAGGTGCTCGAGATGCTGGAGAGAGTGAGCAATTACGTGTCCAACGTCCTGGACGAGGAGGCAGAGCCAAGCTCGGCTTTGGGACAATTCTTGATGAACACCCTTTCTCTTGCGCCCAAGGTCGAGCCAGAGCAGATCGAGAAGGACTTGTATGTTTCAGCAGTACCCGAATACGTCAAATTTCTTACTGACTCGTGTTCCCAGCAACAACCACATCCAAGACGTTCTCCTGATCTCCTACCTCGCCAACACCATCCGCACTCAAATCGATCTCTCCAACCGGCTCGCAACCGCCGCTATCACCATGGGAGGCGAGACCGGCTCATCAGAAAACAAAGGTGGCCAAAAGGGCGACCGTCAAAACCAGCGATCAGGAGCTGGCCAGGGAGGCCGGCGCGGCGAACAGTAAATCTGAGGGAATAGTGCTACTGAGCCCGACGATAGAAAGTAGGCTTGGTAGTGTGAGCTCTTTTTCCAAACCCTGTTTGCATAGAAGCATCTTTATTAGCTAGCCAGTACTGAATGGCTCCAAGTCGGGGAGCCCGTGATTCCCACTGCTAGCCGCTCAACGAGCAAGTTTAACCCGCCCGACCTTGCTCGACTGATGCGATCGTTCTGCTTCACAACTCATCGCATTCAAGACTGCTGGGGTATCTCAAGCAATTTAACCCAAACGCCTTCGCTAATAGCAAATAACGGCACCGCATCCCAACTGTGCTTGCGGAAGAGCATACTTCTGCATGCCTTGCCCATCCAATCGCGCACATCTCGAGGCAAATCTGTGCGCGCCCCTCTCCAGTACATCTCCTCAAACAGCAGGCTTTTTTGTCCCACCATCTCGTCCCTCGTCCTTCGCCTTCCTCTTCTTCCCCCTCCCCTTGCCCTTCGTCGTTCCACTCTCCTTCTCCACCTCCACCCCAGCCGCATCAACCAAATCCTCCAGCTGTCCCACCCGCGCCTCCTTCTCATAATCCGCAAAATCCATCGCTTTCCGCTGACTCTTCAACCATTTCTCCCGGAACAACTGCTCTCCTACCCTGCCCAACATACTCGGATTATGCCGCAGCACCCAGCGGAAGTCATCGACTTTGATCTTCTGGCGGCGGCTGTAGGAAGCACAGAGGGCTGCGCCGTGGCAGGTTTCGATGATGAAGTCTGTGAGGATCTCGTCGAGGGTCTGGATTGTGGTGTTGAGCGGTTGGGGGCTGTCGCCGAAGGAGTAGAGGAGTTCCAAGAGGTCTTTTGGGGGGAAGATGGCGGCGTTTTGACGCCTGTGACGGGCGCGGGGTTCGGTCATTGTACGTGACTGACCGAGTCGGCTGAGATGAGGATGTGCGGTGGCGGGTTGGAGTGTGTCGATGTGGTTGGTTTGGTTGTTAGATAGCAGCTGCAGTGGAGGTGGAGTCGAAGTCGCGATACACGTGACGTGTGTTAGTCCCAGTGGTTTTGCACATTGCTTTGAGTTTCACTTCAGCCACGTTTATTGAACCTCAACAACACAACCACGTCTCTCCAGAACACGAGACCTGATCTGGTGCAGCAATCGCCCGGTGAGGACAAGGACGGAAGAGAACTTTGCTTGGACGTCTGAATCGGCGAATCGAGATGTTTGGCATCCTCAAATTCCAGACCTTCCTCTTGGTTGTACTCCTATTCATCTGTTCTTGCACCTATCTCCACGGCGTCTTCCCGGCATGGCTAGATCGCAACAAGGCTGGGTACATGCTCCTCCGAATATATCGTATAGGATCAATCTGACGCTAATTTGTCTTTCAAGTCCACTCGGAACATTCTGGAGAGCAGCACGAATCGGTGAAAGGTTGAGCCCATACGTCAGCTTGTGCTGTATAGCCATGGCGGTAAGCACACCCAAATATTTCAGATCGAGCGGCAACAAGTGGCTAATCTGTCCAGGTGAGCCTTTTGATGGGCGAATGAGAGGCGTTTGAGATGGCTTTGAGAGGATTTAGCGAAGGCGTTCTGGAGTAAAGCGAACCCTTACGGAAATGACACCGAATCAATCACACGGCACAGACCGGGTCCTACACCACGTCTCCATGGAAGACATCATTGATGAGGACCCTCACACGATGTACAGAACATCCATGCGGATTTCTCGACGGTTGCGACCTTCAGTGGCCTGGACAAGAAGTGGGAAGCTGAAGCCTCCCAAACACGTTCTACCAGTATAGCCAAGGCATTCACTGCTAACATAATTGCAATACTGTTCGACGCACTCATGAATCTTCCTGTCAAGTCGCTGCCAGTGAGTGAAAGGGATGTAACTTCAACAGCATTGCGAATTGATTTACAGCAAACAAAACCCGAGAAGGAGGATATCATACACTGCCTTTGCGTGCCGCTGTGGAGGTGAACGCAGTCCTCTGCCTCAACCAGCATCAACACATCAACCGCCTCCTTCCTTCTCCTGACCTCCACTTTCAACCCCGGCGGAAGAGCAATCACATCCTCGAAAAATTCGCGAGTCGCCATAAGAGAGAGAGAGCCATCATCAGAATCCCAAAATCCCACAATTCCAGAAATCTCAGTCTTCGAATTTTCCCAGCATCCGTCGTGTCCTACTATCTATCTAGGGTACCTTAGGTATCTTATCCTGTGAATGTGAATGCGAATGTGAATATGAAAGTGAGAGATCCATCTAGCTTATCTTAGCTTAGCTTTTCGCGGGACGACGGAAAACCGATAGATATGATGGTGAGTTCCCGATCATTCACAATGTACAATGTGAAAGAAAGCTCACCTCACCTCACGTTAAAGTTTTTTTTTTTTTTAAATCTCCATTATATTAAGATTTCTGAAGTACATGCAGATGTAGATCGTGTAATAAGGACAGTGACGGTGACAGTGACGGTGCCATTCGTACGGCTGGCTTCATCGAGCAGTACGGAGAAGAATTGCCATTCCGCATGCTGTTGTCAGGTTCTGTGCTGTCCTCCTCCTCGCGACGACGTTGCTCTACAATATTAGTGCCTGCATCACAAGAGGAGAAAGAGAAAAAAGAGGAAAGAGGAAAGATGATGGAACAAGCCGGAAGAAGGATCAACATTCTTCTCATCCGTTGCACTCTCAGAATTTACTCACACAACGAAGCCAGAAAAAAGAAAGAAAAGGTCACTCTTTCCACCGCTTGCTTCTGCGACTCTCTGCATCTGCCCGCTGAGCTTCACAGGCATGCTGTTATGACCTGGATTATCCATCCACTAACCAACCCCGTCTGGCGGCCCGTCTCGACTCCTGCGCTGTACAACCACAGTAGAGGATCGTTCTGCCACCTCTCCGTGCTCTTCATTCTCCCGGTACCGTCAGATCCGTCGGTAACAAGCGCACGACGCTGCCAGAGGTAGGCAACGGCGTCCTCCATTCCGAACAATCTGCCCCATTCTATGTAGGAGGGTGCTCACTCGAAGTTGTGCCCAAATCCTCCTTCGCATCCTCGAATCCCACGTCTGGACTCTCTCGCTCGCTCTCGGTGATCGGCGGGGGCTGGAGACCTTCCGCATCGCCCTCACCATCCGCCGTCGCTGCTGCTCCGTCACCATCCTCCGGTGCTGCTTCACCATTTGCTGCCTGCGCTGCTGCCGCCTGCTCTGCTGCTCGCTTCTCCTCCATCTCTCTCGCCCGCTGCTGCTGCCGCTCATAGACCTCCTTGCGAGTCTTTTCCTCTCGCAATTTCCGCACGCGCTCCACTTCCTCCACGCCGCCGGATTTCTTGAGCTTACCTTCTTCGACAAAATCGCCAAGTTCGCGCTGGAATTCTCCTCCGCGACGGCTCTCCAGCTCTCGCTGGCGTGCGCGTTCTGCACGCTCGATGGCTTCAAGTCGTGATTCGTGGTTCGGCTGCAGCGCGCGGACTTCACCGAGGACACTATCCTTGGCTTTGTGCGGGTCCGCACCTTGGTCGACGGCGAGTGGGTTGAGAGTCCTCGACGAAGACCGAGAGCCTTGAACGGTGCCGTTGGGATTCTGCAGGTTTTGCTGCTTGGTTGCTTCTTCGACCAATGCGAAGGTCTGTGCGGCCTTTTCGAGATCATCTTCCAGATCGGCGGCGAGTTCTTCCTGCATCGTTAGCAGGTCACGATCGTCACAAACAACTTGCAATTCCTTCTCCCAGATCTTCGTCCAAGTCGGCTTCTCCTTGCGCAGGAACTCTTGTAGCTTTTTGAGCTCCGAAGTTGCGATGCTGATGTCCTTGCCGGTCTGCTCGAGCTGTCTTGGCAACGGCCGAACACCACGAACAACCACATCTTTGCGCAAATCTTCAATGTGGTCTTGCAGATCGTCTACGCGATTCACGATGCGCTCGCTGTCCTCGGAAAGCTGCTTCTTGCCTTTGTCAACGTATCCGCGTCCAGTTGTATTGTCCATAGCAGGGATGGCGGTGTCGGCGACTGCTTTCTTGACACCCGCAGCCTTGGTGCGGATTGTTGACATGGAAGCCTGCATGTCAGATACGAAGGAGTTGTAAGTTTGGCGGACCACGGCCAGGTCGCGGCGCAATGCCTGGACCTCCTTGAGCTGTCCACTCGAAGTCTTTGTGACACTAGATGGCCCGGTCGCCGCAGTAGTGGACGTGGCTGGAGGCGCAGCCGCAATACTTGCAAGTTCTTTGGCTGTTTCCTGTTGTCTATCCGACACCCTTTGCAGAGCAGAGTGTTGATCATCCACGCTTGTGCGGATATCCTCGACAATACGTCTCAGACCACCAATGCCATCGTCAAAATGGCGCTTGACCTCATCCAATGGCTCGACATTGAGTACAAGAACCGAGCGCTCTTTGATGTCGCTCAAGTCCTCGAGTTCGTGGCGGACACCCGAGACCTGATCCTGGATATAGATTTCCGGGAGATCCACGCCATTGTTGTGCGTATTCCACGCAAACTTCTCAATGAATGCAAGCTGTAGTCTGGCAAGACTGAGGTCGCCGCCGTCTGGAAGAACAAATTTCTTGACTTTGCTCCTGTACTGCAGGAAAAGCGTGAGCTCCTTGCCGGGTTGCGGAGAACCCTCTGGTACGAACTGCGATACTGGTGGCGTGTAATCCCGAGCTTCTCGCACCGACTTGTCGCGCGTCTGTTTCAGAGTAGAGGTCCGCTCGAGGGAGCCAAAGCTGCCGCTAGGCGTGAAAGGCTCCTCGAATGGCCCGTTGACAGTTGCGCCGATAGCCTCCTCAGCAGGCGGCGAGAAAGGAGCAGCGAGCTTGTCTTCCGGCGTCTTCACGATCGGACTGTAAGCATAATTTCCTTCATCATTGACGGGATCGCTCTTAGGCGGCGGCGGAGGAGGCTCCTCCTGCTGACCACTGGTCTCCTCTGATATTCGGCGGACTTCGAGGTCTCTGTTGGGCGAAGCCTCGAATGTTGTCTTCTGGTGCTTGGATCGTGCTCGGCTGTGCATGATACTGCCTCGAGACCGCACGGCGTTCATGGACTCACGCATATCCCGACCTCTATTCGGAATAGGCGAGTTCTGAGCGGATGGAATGGCAGGAATGCCATTGATGGAGGTGCCCAGATGCTTCTGAATCTGATATGCTGAAAACCGCCGTGAAGCACGTCTCTCCAGATCACCGCCGCGTTGCAATGCCGAAAGCGCGTCATTGGCCTTGGGGGGCGGCTTTGCTGGCTCTGGTGAAGAATGGTCACGTTCATAGCGTTGATTTGTTGGCATAGTCTCGGCTTCAGGGTATGGAGCAATGACAGGTATGTTCTGCAGAGTGTTGCTGGATATCGAGGAAGCGGTGGACTCAGCAAGAAAAGAGTTCTTGCCTATGCTGTTCTGCGGACTGATTCCGTGCCGCTTGGTGGGGGACGTCCGGCCTGCGCTCGTAGTGCGCGGTGGTAGGTCTGAGCCGCTGAGATCTCCACTGTCCTGCCGCTGCGCGAACGACCTGTTGCTGCTTGCTCTCGATGGGATGTCCTCCAGCTGCTCGGTCAAGTTGGTTGCGACGCTCACAGAGCTCGCGGTGGAAGGGTGTCTGGGAGGCCTGGCACTGGACTCTCCGCCACCGTCTCTGTTACTTCTCTGTCGTAGTCTCTGCTGTTTCTTTTTCAAGCCGTGCAACAAGTTGATGATGATGTCTCTGATGCGTGGCAGATACTTTTCGAGGCTCGCCTGGCTCGCTTCTTGACTCAGTGTTTCCTCGAGAATGGTGCGAAGCATATCGGGAACGGGACCGAGGTCGCCGGTGTCGACACCGATGGCGTTGAAAGCGCGACATGCGATGTTGAACTCATAACCCAGCCGCACGTACACGTCTGACACTTCTCCCTCATTGGCGCGGGCAGTGGACCACATGGTCAGTGTTTCCAGCAGTTGTTTCGTTGCGACCAGCAGATGCGTGACGGACTTTTCGATGGTCGAGAGCTGCTGTTGCGGCTGCCACACGTTAGCCTCTGCCTTCCTCGTATATTACCCGTACGTGTGTCCATACATTTTGCCTTGACGACCTGCTGTGGCCCGGGCGACCAGAGGCACTCCCTCCACTCCCTCGCTGCACAGCGCCATCCTCTTGAGCGGCGGGAATGGTCGCGGGCTGCTGCCCCGAACCGTTCATGGTCGGTGTTTCTACCGCGCCGTGACCCAGCTCGCCGACGGTCGAGTCGTGGATGGCGCGTATGATGGATTCGGCGGGCGACAGGAGGAGGATGGTATCGCGTGTGAGGGCGAGTCGTGGGAGGCAGGTGGCAGGTGGCAGCTGATGGGTGACGTCGGATCCCGGGGCGCTGGTGGAAGAAAGCAGCAAGGACCAAGACGGCGGCCAAAGTGAAGGTCGAGTGTCAGCCGACAACAAGAGACGCAAGGATGTTACGGGATGCGATGCGATGCGATGCGCGTGTACGTTAGGAGATGGAGTGTGTGGGAGAGGGTCCGATGTTCTGAGTCTAACGCAAGCTGCCGAAGAGCCTAAATTGCGCCTCGCACCGACAAGCACAAGACAAGGTTGTCGCCTCAGGCCGGCACACGGCGCCCTTACAGAGTAGTCTACAGACTACTTACAGACTACTTACAGTACGCGAGACAGACACTCGAGCACCGGCACTCGTCGAGCATCATCACATCACACGACCACCCGCCGCAGACATTCGCGCGAGAGCTGCACGTTGCCGCGTCTGACACGGGATATTCCATACACAACAATAAGGAACAGGCAGGACAGCGTTTGAATTCGGAGAAGAGACGGGGCCCACCGCACAGATCACAGGATGTGAGAGTCTGGTGCACGGGCGCTGGGAGCAGTTAAGGTAGTGCCGCCCGGAATCGAATCCCAAGCACACTGCATCTTCCCTAGCACAGTAGCACTCAGCACTCAGCACTCAGCACTCAGCTCTCGCTCACTAAGGCTGGGCAGTCTCGACCTCACACACTCTCTCTCTCCACTCCACCACCCACACCGCACCACCACCACCACCACCACCACCACCACCACCACCACCACCACCGCCGCCCCCGTCCATCTCCGCCCACGACGACGACTCGAGCTGGAGCTGTGTCCGGGAGCACGCCTCGCGCCGCTCTCGCCCTCCACCCCCCCCTCTGCCTCTTCTCTTCTAGCACACGGCCTTGATTGTTGCGTCTTGTCTTGCCGCGACTCGCCCGCGCGCCACACGCACACTCACCTCCCATCTGCACCCGCCCGACTCCACGCAGACACACACACGCTCGCTCTCCCCTCCGCCCGCCGTTCTGCAGGCCCGCCGTCGTCGCAATGTCGGCTCCGAGCCTCAACGGCGGTGATGCCGCAAAGTCCACCTCCACCTCCGCGACCTCCAAGCCACAATTGAGGAGCTCCGCCAGTGGAAAGGCCCTCGACGGCGCCCGCAAGCAAGCCGCCAGTCCTGTCGACGGACAGTCCAAGTAAGACACCTTCGCTCCTCACGTGCGACGTCTCCACTTTGCGGAGCATCGTCCTACCTCTTCCCTGCGCCTCCTCATACACTGTACTTCTCCTGACCATGTCTTCCTCCATCATACTGTGACGTTTGCTGATGACTCGCCAATCCAGGAAGCAGCAGCCCAAGGCCTGGCAGGGCCCCAACCCGATCACGCAGCGCGCCTCCAACGTCCCAAATGGCAACGAGAAGCCGCTCCCCAAGCCTTCACAGCAACAGGCTCAGAAACAAAGCACCAATGACCTACACTCGGACAAACATGCACATGACCGCTCGCTCTTCTTGCTTGCACAATTCATCGTATGTACTCTCCAACTTCACGGCGATGAATGGTCTGCAGTCGGGAGGCATATCAGCTGTGTTATACATGGAATGCGTTACTGATTATTGCTACAGGGCAAGGATGTGACACTCTCATTAAAGAATGGCGAGCAGTTTGCTGGCGTGTATAGTGGCTGTTCGCTCGAGCTCAGCAAGACACAACACATCATCAAGATGGCACGGCGGACAAGGCCGCCCACCCAACAGCAAGCTAATGGCAACACAGGCCTCTCTTCCGAGTACATTGGCCAGGGAGAAGACTATGTCATGAGCTTTGACGTACAGGATACCGTGGATCTGTTCGTTGAGGATGTCAGCACCGCGGCCACTGCAACACAGCAGAATGGTGGGCCTCCTGAAATGCAGTCTACATGCTCGACACTAACACAGTTGCAGGCTCCGTTGGCTCTTCCTTCCTCACAGATACCCAGATCTCAGGTCGAGACCCATACCATCAACGCGAGCGAGAGCTGCAGCGCTGGGATGCCGGCCCTGACACCTCGCTGGATCTGTCCCTTGGCGACCCCAAGGACGCAAGCTGGGACCAATTCGCTGCTAACGAACAAATGTACGGTGTACAGTCGACGTATGACGAAGACATCTACACCACGAGCATCGATCGAAGCAACCCCGACTTCAAACGACGCCAAGCCGAAGCAGAGCGGATAGCTCGCGAGATTGAAGGTTCTGCCGCGGCAACCTCACACGTCGCGGAAGAACGACGGAAGGATGTGTATGGCGACGATGGCGGTGACGAGGAGGATAAATACTCGGGCGTCAGGCGGGAGACGGTTCTACCACAAAGAGGAAAGGGCTCCTACGTGCCTCCAAACCAGCGTCCTCAAGCTTTCGACCCGGCTATCATCTCCGTGTCGAAACCGACTCCATCCCCAGCGCAAGCTCCGAGTGTCGCTGCGGCATCCACTGTTGCCCCGGCACTCGTTACGGAGAAGCCAGCCGCGAAGGAAGCTGTGCCAAGTCCCAGCGTCGCCGCGCCGAAGAAGAAGGAGAACACCACCGAGGATCGTGTACGGGACACGGCAGATGCGTTTAAACAGTTCGCCAACAACGAGAAGCTGCGTCTGAGGAATGTTCAAGAAGCGAAGCGTGCAAGCGCTCGCCAAGAGAAGAACGTGAAGCTCAATGATCTGAAGAAGTTCGCAGCCAACTTCAAACTTAAGAGCCGTGTGCCCGACGACCTGGTTCCGATTCTGGCAAAGGATCCCGGCAAGCAGCTAGAGATCCAGACGAGGGCAGAAGAAGCAGCTAAGCTTGAGGAAGTTCGGTCAAAGGACAAGAGCGACAAAGGCTCCACAGTCGCTTCACCAGCGCCTTCCGCTGCCACTGCACAGGCTGGGCCTTCCGCCGCTGCGGATCAGCGCATGACGTTCAACCAGCAGCAGGTGCGGAATGGAAGGGCCCTACAGCAGCCGCGTGGTGGACCCCTATCGCCCAGTCATCAGGGTCCGGCTCGACAACCTTACAACCATATTCAAAGGGGTCAGTTCACTGGACGCCCTGGGATTCCACCACAGCCGCTACCAGCAGACCTTCGTATTCCTACAGCAGCTCCAGTCACGTCAACAGCAGACATGCCGATGAGCCCGACGTCTGCTACTCGCTTGAACGTCAATGCCAAGTCGTTCGAGTTCCGCCCAGGAGCTTCCGCATTCACTCCAACAGGCACCACACCTAGCCCACAACGTAGCACTGGCAGCGGCATAGTTGCATCGCCCATCGAGGCCACTGCATCATTCTTTGACAAGGTCGCCTCGAAAGAGACGAAGTCAGCAGCCTCTGTCTTCGACCCGCTCAAGCGAATGGCCGAAACGGACTACAACGAGAACGAGAAGAAGAAGTACACTTCGAATGGAGGATTGCCTCAAGCGTACAACACTCCTCCCACCTGGAACTACCCCAAGGCGAACGACAACGTGTCGCATTTGTCCATGTTCCCCAAACCACAGGCTCCAAGCCAAGGTCCCTCGCCCCTGCACACTCCGAACCCGAATGGACAGATGCCTCACGCGCATCAGCTACCTCCGCACATGCAAGGACAGCCAATGCCGAACCCGGCACAACGGCCGGGGCATTACTTCCCGCAACAGCCACATGGACCTCCGTTCGATCCTCGGTTCCAACAGCAGTTCGCTCCGAACGGTTCCGTCCAGAACTCTCCGCGACCACCACACGGAATGCCTGCATTCAACGCGCAGATGGCGCCATTCCCTCAACAAGGTATGCCCGGACAGCCCATGCCCGCAGGATACGGCGCGAGTCCATCGATGGGAATTCGCCAGCCTAACATGCCGCCGCAATCCATGATGATGCCTGGGCAGCAGAATCACAGTAAGTTCAAAACCCCTGCCTCCATCGCCGCATTGCTTCTGACATCCTCAGTGATGCAAATGGCTCCCAACTTTACACCAGGACCGCATTTCAGACCACAGCCGATGGGAGGTCACATGATGGTGCAGCAGCAGTCGGGCAGCTATCCTAGTGGACCCGTTCCACAGGGCTACTCCCCCATGCCGCCGCATCCGCAGCCACACATGCCGCACATGCAGCAGAATGGGCCCGCGGGCTATTCCGGTAGCCCTCGTCCCCCCATGATGCAGCATCAAGGCTCACATCAAGGCTATCAACAGCAGATGCAGCCTCATTTCATGCCTTCGCCCGGTCAACCTCATCCATATCACATGCAACAGCGGGCGATGTCGGGCGGTTTCCCTCAGATGACGCCGCGCCAGCAGCATTCGATCCCGAACCACCCAAGCCCTGGTATGGTGCCGGCGCAGGGAGACGAAGGAAAGTGAGCCAGGAAGCTCGTATCTGGACGGCTCACAATTTGGGCGCCGTAGATGACAATTCCTAGGAGCGCAGCAATCCCCGACCTGGACACCTCAAAGCCCAACACGCCGAGACTTGGCACGCCGGTGTCAGCGAAACGGTACCTCGGCGCAAGGAATGCACGGCTGTCACTGATGGATCTAGGCATAGTGCCGGCGCAAAATCGTACAAGGGCAGCGTCTGCATTCAAAGCGTACGGTAGTCGCGTGAGAGACGCGGCACGATGTGCACAAGAGGCCACGAGGAGGCCCCCAGGGAACAGTATGCCCAACCTTGGCACGGATTTCGTTCGCGGCGACGAGTCATAGTGGGAGATGGCTCGGACATTTGAGATGCTTCTATTGATAGGAGGCAAGTTGAAGAAAAGGAAAACTGCGATGACGAAGGACAGAATGTGGGAGAAGATGGAGACGAGGGTTTGAGAAGGCGGAGAGGATTCGGTGGAATACCTCGCAGCTGTATGGGGCGGTCTTTTCCGATCAGTGAGACACAAAATCCAGAGGAGGTGTAACTTCCACACGTGCCCTTTCTCTTCTTACTTGCTCTCCTATCCAGCCTGCTGATGAATTTGGGCTGACGCATCACCGAGTGATTCAATGCAGAGTAGGATGATGGTGCAAAATAAGGTACATTATGGCATTGGGAAGCCTTATGTGTATATGTGAATATGTGCATCAAAACGGGGATAGGTATCTCACATCTCTCCGCTCTGGCCGTTTCGATACTGCAAAGCCGCGAGGACCACTTCAATTCCAAGCGAGAAGCCAACCCATGCATCGTCAAGAATGGTACAAGCTAGCTCATACTTTCCTCTTCCACGACATATCCTTCCATCTTTCACCATTCCCACCCACTCTTCCCACCTATTGAGCCTCCCTCGTCGTCCCCCCGCCTCTCCCCCTCTATGCCGTCCCCGTAAACCTCAGCACGAAATTCACTATCACGGCTGCGAGCAACGCAATAGCCAAGACCGTAGGCCCAAACCTATCATCGAAACCACCCTGGCCCCTCATGCGAATGGACTTGGCCCTCCAGTGGAACGTGACGAGGGCGTAGAGCATGGCGGCAATGGCGACGAGCGTGAAGAGGACGGCGGAGATCTGGCCCACGGTGTCGCCGAAATTGAGCAGGCCCATGGCGAGGCCGCCGAGGATGACGGTGAAGTTGAGCCAGGAGAGGAAGGTTCGCTCGTTGGCGAAGAAGACTTTGGGTTCGACGCGGGTGGGGAGGGCGATGCGTTTGCCTGAGAGAGAGAGGGGGGGAGAGGTTAGTTGGTTGCGTGGAGGGAAGGGAGGAGGAGGAGGAGGAGGAGGAGGAGGAGGAGGAGGAGGAGGAATTGGCTATGCGACGTACCCGGTGCGGTTTGGAGGAGTGGTTGGGAGGACATTTTTGCGGTGGTTGTTTATGTGGGTGATTTGGGGTTGAGGGGGGCTTGAGGGTGGTCGAGTTTGGGATTCCGGAGCTCCAATGGGGTGTGTCTTGTGGATCTGGGAGCTGTATGAGGTGCTGTCGATGTCGTCCGCGGCCGGGTGCAGGAGATGGAGCTTGCAGGGAGAGACGGGAAGAAGCACAGAAGTTGTTGCTTCACCCAAAACCCCACACTGCGCATCGAGCAGCCATGGGTGCATTGGGAGCGGTGATTGGTGGGCTGGCGCACTCCTCCACATGCCAGACACGGACGCCGAATACACGACTCGCCAAACTGCCGACAGCACGGCTCTGTCATCTGGCACACGGCACTCGCAAGTTCACTGCATCCCTCTTCCTGTCACACTTCTGACACACCACAACCTTCCACATCCCACTATCGCGACTTCTCTCACCGTCAAAAGACATCCTCCATCCGCAGAAGTAACATCCAACGACGAGACTACCTTACCACGCGCAACAAACCCCGAGAAACAACGCCCACGAGCAATGGCGTCCAACTCCGTAAGGCTGCCGCACGCACCCACACACCACCACCCCCTTCTGCCTCCCCTTTCAACCATACTAACCACGAGAAAATAATCACAGCCCATCCCCACCACCCGCCTCCGCCAGATCTGCAACGACGCCTGCGACGCCGCAATCTCCAGCACCACCGTCTACGAACACTCCCAAACCCAAGCCTGGAACAACACCATCATCAACAACATCCTCAAGTCGCTCCTTTCCGAATCCACCCCTTCTGCCTCCTCCTCCTCCCCCACCTCCTCGGAGCCCAAATACAAATTCATCGTCAACACCACCATAATACAACACCTCAGCGATCCCAAAGGCGGCACCGCAACGGACGAGGAGGGCAAGAAGGTCGGGCGGAGGGGCATGCATTCTGCCAGTGGGGCGTACTGGAACAATGAGAAGGATGGCATGTGGAGCTACAAGTACGAGGGCGGGGAGAAGAAGGGGATGGATATTGTTGTTAGTGTGCTTTGGGTTGCGGTTTAGAGGGGTCTCCTTGCTTGGATTTGGACATCTAAACATGCAGAGAGGGAGGTCTGAGAGAGAGAGAGAGAGAGAGAGGAGATGGCAGGCAGGCAGGAAGAGGAGATTCGATCTGGGTGGTGCTGCAGCAGAGGGAGATGCTATGGTGACTGCCAAGCGTCGATGGGGACGACGTGGCAGCGGTAGAGGCTATACACTTGTGAGCGTCTTCGAAGTGTGCTCTAGAGCGGACCGAGCGAGATACAAGTCTGCTTGCTTGCTGGTGTGCGGGGTTGTTGTGGAAGTTGTTTCTTGTCCTCTTTTGGGCGTCGAATTGTATTATACCCTTTCCGCATTTGGTTGCAACTGAATACCATATGAGTGATGTTGATGATTCTCCCGGCCCCGCTTCAAACACTTTTTGTTTCTCCCCCGAGACTGAATTCCAACCTGTGGATGGACTACGCAGAGCCCAGGAGTTCTCGCAGTGCCGCCAAGACATATTGTATGTAGACCATTACGCGCTTTTAACTCAAAGAGGTTAGATCATTACGCTAAGTGACAATGTATCGAACAAAACATTCACCTCGCGAAATCTAAACGCGTTTGAATTTTGTCGCTTCCTCTTTTGTATCTACTCATCATCGCGAGACATCATCATCATCGTCTTAATTAATCAATGTCTTGATGATTTCGATTCCCAGGAGGTTTCTTCTTCTCTCTCGGTTTCAACGGTTTCCTGGCCCGGCAAATATGGAAATCAAGACGTTTGGATCGTAACAATCAGGTCGATTTTTTGTTGGCGTCCAGATACTTGTGATCCGTGGTCTGGCAAGGCAAGGCAGTTCAGAAATCATCCGAAGCAAGATCGAGGAGCCAAACATGGCGTCTCCTCATCGCCTCATCACGCCGAATCTCAAACTCTCGCAATTGAAATACTGGGCTTTTCTCACGGGGATGCCGATTACCAACACCAAGACTGAACTCCTACGAGCTCTTCGGGAACAAGTAAACGGTGGGATTTCCCGGGAGCGTAGTGATGTCCTGAGTGTGGATATGGGGATTCGGAATCTGGCATTCTGTAAGATTCGAACGGAGGAGAATGAGAATGGGCTGGATGGGAGGATTCGTGTGGAAGTCTGGCGGAAGATGGATTTGATCGGGATGATTGAGGAGAATATGAAGAAGAAGAAGAAGAATGGGAAAGCCGTGGACGACATAGAAGAAGAGGGTGAAGAGGAGCATGATGAAATCCCAGCAAACGAAAATGTGCAACGCGGAAAGCTTGCAGCCGATGCTTTCACGCCTGCCAATCTTTCCAAAGTGGCTACAGCCGTCACTAGCAAGCTTCTGGAATACGAACCATCCGAGATTCTGATTGAACGACAGCGGTTCCGGTCGGGCGGTGCGGCTGCGATTCAGGAATGGACCGTTCGCGTGAATATGCTCGAGAGTATGCTGTGGGCTTGTCTGGAAACGAGGCGAGAGGATGCGCATGCGCAATCTGAAAGGGAAAACAACGCTTCATCCGAAGAGCGGGTGCAGAAAGCGGTGGAATTCCCAAGTACCCACGCCGTCAGTCCCGCGCGAGTGAGTTCCTTCTGGACCATGGGGACGGATCTCCCATTGCGGCCGCCAGCGGGGTTTCTGCAGGGTGCGACCCAGCCTGCCTTCCCTCCTGCTGCGCGAACCAGGCAGAAAGCAATCGATATCAAAAAGGCCAAAATCGACGTCGTCAAGTCTTGGGTTGCGGGGGATGCGGATGTGCAGTTGGACTTCAGCAGCCGAGAAGCTGCCGAGAGCGCCGAGTTTTTCCAGACTGAAACTGCGTCGAAATCAAAGTCTTCCGATAGGGCTGCGATTGGCAAGTTGGATGATCTGGCGGATTCGTTGTTGCAAGCGGTGGCTTGGGTACGGTGGAGGGAGAACGCGAGGGAGATCTTGCGGATGTGGAGGGAAGTTTCTCGTTGTGGGGATGTAGAAGGCGGGGAATTTACAGGGGGAAAAAGAGGGTGATTATATCTTTCGAAGAGGAGAGCAGAAGCAACTACATGGGGAGTCGGAGACATACAGGAGAAGAGGCGTTTTGACCGACGAAGAGGGTATTACCAAGGTGGAAGCCGTGCCAGAGGCTCTCAAGATATCGAACATCCACGGAATCCAGGAACTCCAACCCGGCCAGTAGTGGCAGCATCAACGACACTAAATCCTGTGGAGTCTCAGCCTTGCGCTCAACAGCGAGCTCGCGAAGCCCGGAATTTGTTGATGTTCTCGTCACGTAACGCAGGGAACTGAACCGACAAGTGTGGAAGAAATAGCTCTCTCTTCCTGGAGTCCACCTAGCTGTCAATTCCTCCAAACTGGTCGTTCTCGTCGGAGCCATGAGACCAGCTACATACCTCTCTTAGCGCCGAGGGCCCCCTGAACCTCTACCCAGCGGCGACACTCGCCGCGTCACGGGACCGCGGGACCATGATCGCCCCCTAAGCGATCGAATCGGAAGCGCTTTCTATACTACGAAGAAAGATGGATAAAGAGCAGACAGAGGTTGCGCAGGTTTGCTCGGAAGGTATAAGCTAGGAAAGGTTATCCGCGTTCCAATTCTGCGATTCTACTTTATCCGTATCCGACTGATTAATTTCGATCAGAGCTTAGTCCTAGTCGGATTGGTGAATTACAGGCAAGGATTAGGTTACCAATTATTCACGTGACAGTAAGATCCGTGCGTAACTAGCGCGAAAGCTACTTTCTCCCCCCCACTTCCCCACTATTTGAAGGCTACCTAGTATTCTGCACTTCTTCTGCTTATATATATTATAACTTCGAAGAACCTCAGTTTGTATGAATACTAGCGTCTAGCCATTCGGCGTAGAGCTCCAGATACTTACGCGTGCTCCTCCGCCGTCTCAGCGCACACTTACAGTGACTCGTGCGCGCTAGACCTATCCGGGAAGGCTTCTTCCATTCAGCTGGAGCCTTGCTGCGCCCGCACTGATTGGCCAAGTCAGCGAGCTGGTCTGAGCTCCTAAGACTACACTTCAATTGCAAACACGATAGCAGGCAACCGCCAACGTATTACCCCGCGCAAGATGTTGGCCAATGTTGGGGGAGTCACAACCAGTAGTAAGTTACGATGCAAAACACACGGAACGCAGTCAGTTGTTAATTGCTACCACAGACGATGAAGTCACCGACCAAAAGGCCTCGATCGCGGACCTACCTGTCGAGCTGCTGACTGATGTTCTGCGCTACGTTCTTGTCGATAGCAAAACCCAACTCATCATGCGTACAAACCAGGAACGCAAACAGCACAACGAGTCACTGGAACTGCACCTCTGCGATCAGGCCTTGGAATATCCAAAGAGGCTACAGAGGGGCAAGAAGCACAACGTCCTCAGCGTGTGCAAGAAATTCTACTTCGCCAGCCTCGAGGTCCTGTATAGCGAGCACGAATTCTGCTTCCTCTCCTTCGCCGACCTCCACGAGTACCTTGGCCTGATCCAATCTGACCGTAAGAAGTACATTGCAAAGATCCAGGTGGACATCGATTATGACTTGCATCGCATCCGAGGCTTTTGGGGCTGGATGACCGGCAGATATCTGACTGGCGCGTTCCCGACGGACGTCTGCGAAGAGCTGAACGTGGTTGATGAGGCGATGTTGACTCTGGCCGGTCTACCAAGGCTTAAGACGGTGACTGTCGATCGAGTTCGCAAGGACTATGGAGTCAAGGGAGTGCGCCAAGCGCGTCCTGATCTCGTGAAGCTGAAGGTCATTCATCTCATTGCCGAAGAATACAACAAGGAATCTAAGGCCGAAAAGTCTGAGCAGAAGCGGCAGTGGCGGATCTCGACGGATCACAAACTCTGCTTCCTCTAGCGACTTGTGGTGAGTTGATTCCTGCATTCTCGAAAGAGTGCCGCCCATTGACATTCTGATAGGAGAGCGCTGGTTTCATAAGTTTGACGGCTGCACAACCAGGCTTCACATCATCACCACCCGGTCGTCGTCTCTCCACGCAGCATTGACACGACTTTTCTATTTGACTTCTACACGAGCATTAATAGAGTGCATGGTAGACCTGAACAGGGCTAGGACTCGGCTGGAGCATCACAGCATTCTGATTAGGAAGATGCTGTGCTTGCATCTCCTGGACATAACCCTCGGCGTATTTGACTGCGATGGCCTATCAGAATAGCTCTTCCTTCCACTGCGTCGATCACTCGAGTCTGTGCACCTCTCACATTTCATCCCTACCCTACAATCTCTTCTGCTTCTGCAATCTAACAACACCCCGTAAACAAGTCATTCTCCTCCCATCTTTACCCGTCAGATCGAATGTCACAGAAGCATTAACCCCACCAGGCGACAGCTATGTCAGGACTGTAGTTGCAATCAACAGTGTCGCTCCTATATCCAGCGGACACTTCCCTTCGGCTTCTCCGTCAACAGTAAACATATCGCAAACGTCAAACTTCTCAGGATTCCTTACAAACTACGACCTAACATGCGAGTCTCCAACAACAGTAGCAATAGTTCCGTTTTTTCCCTCTATCGTGCCGTTGGTCACAAATTGGATTCGATCGCCGCTGTGCCAAGCTGTCAGTGTCTCAAAGCTTGTTTCCTCGTTGTTCTTACATTTTCCTTTTTCTAAAGTCGGGTTGCGTTGTCTCAGGAGCTTGGCTCTGTCGTCGAACGTCTCGCTTTGCGTGCCACATGCACTATTGCGGTCGAAAAGCTGTGCTTCGCCTCTCTCGTCTGCAGCTTTTGGCGTGACCGTCAAGCCAGTCTCAATTGCTATCCGCCAGTCACGAGGACCAACCGCAAGATCTTCAGGCAGCTTCGACATCTCGCACAACACTTTGCGTACTGAGTCGAGTTTTAATCAAGTAGAATAGTAAGTGTAGTACTGTGTTGAAGCTGAGAAATAGACAACGCGAGCGTAAGCACGTAGAGCTCGACAGCTGCAATGTACCGAGAGGCAGATCTCTTTTCGCACGCAGGGCACTTCCATGGACTGTATGGAGCGAATCCGGCAATTCTCGATAATTTGGACCCAAGTGGTGCTTGTCGCCTTCTCCGACGCCGACGTTGAGGTCACGTTGTGGACGCAATCGTAAACTTGCGTTCAGAGGGCCATTGTGTCCGTTGGTGACGGCCAGGAGTCTTGTCATGGAAGCACCTAGTCTCTGTACGTCCGGAATCTCTCGCGAGCGAGGGTCAGTTCTTCGATTTTTGTTGTTTGCGTGGTGGTATATCCTGTTGTGTTCTCGCTATGCTTCTCTCCCTTGTTCTGTTGCGATTGTTCTTGCTAAGCCACGTCCTTTTCTGCCACTGTCCATGCAACGTGTTGGGTCAGTGTAAAGTCGAGAGCTTCCAGCCATAGCGCTCTCAGTCGTTCCCTATTTGCGCTGCTTCGGAGATCTGTCAATTAGAGGTATTTCAGAGCGCTCTGGGTTATTGCGGCGGAAAATTCGCTTGCCAGTGATGATGCATGTGCAAGTCATCCATGTCATGAGCTGATGCCATTGCTGCGAGGATTTGGAGGTACACCTGCCGAACAGAACATCGGTTTAGCCGTATCGTACTTGGCCGCCCCCGTCTCTAAACCAGTCATCTGTAGCCGAAGCCTCTTCTGTCGACGCATAGTTGATGATCGTGCTCTTGGTCGTGGTGTACGCATGGTACGCATCTGATTTACTCCGTTAGCCCCGAGAAGGATCACAATCTTCTCACATCGCACGCTAGCTTACCAATGCCGTTCTCACTACCCACTCCCGAGCTACCTACACCACCCCAAGGGCTACTCGGGTCATTGCGATGATGTGTATTCACTATAACAGTCAGTATGGCTCCTCTCAAACTTGCATGGTGGAAGCGCCTACCCCAGCATATACCGGACTCAATGCCATCAGAGAGTCTGTACGCCTGTGATAGATCATTTGTCCACACAGCGGCACCGAGGCCGAATTCGCTATCGTTTGCCAGTCGCAGCGCTTCTTCCTCTCCGTCGAATCCAACGACCACGATCACCGGACCAAAGGCTTCTTCCCTCCAAATTCGAGTATCGACAATCTTAGCGGCGCCGTCGGTAAGCACTGTAGGCGGATAGAAGTACCCTTTAGAGAGGTCACTCCCATCTAGATCCGAGCTACCCGAAGATCGTTTGCCACCAGTTACAACATTTACTCCACTTTTTATTGCGTTTTCCACCAATGTGATGACATTGTCAAGTTGTTTCCTGGATATCAACGGACCCATCATCGAATGTGGATTGGTCGGTGCTCCCATTCTGCGCTCGATTGATAGTACTTTTGCTTTCAGTTTCTCCAGAAATCCAGGAAGAACAGAGCGCTCGACGATGATTCTGGTTGCTGCGATGCACGTCTGGCCGCTGGCGATGAAGGACCCGAAACAAACCCCATTCACGGCGAGGTCCAGATCTGCGTTCTTGGTCACGACAACCGGCGCTTTGCCTCCCAGCTCGGCCGTGTAGCTGGCCAGGTTCTGTCCAGCAATGGCACCAATGGCTCGACCAGAGGGCGTTCCACCAGTGACATCCACCTTCTTGATCAAAGGGTGCGACACCAGTGTTTTGCCAGTCGTAGGGCCATCTCCCGCCAGCACATTGAATACTCCATCAGGCAGCCCAGCTTGCTGAAATATTGGACCAAGAAGCAAAGACGTAAGAGGAGTCAGCTCAGAAGGCTTCAATACGACAGAATTACCAGCCGCTAAGGCTGGAGCGATCTTCTTCACGGCAATCAGTAGAGGATGGTTAAAAGGGGTGATTTGAGCTGCAACTCCGAGCGGCTTCCGATCGATCCAATTATGCAGCTTCCCCGTCGTAGGTAGTACAGACCTCTCTTCTGTACGGATCAGAGCAGCGTAGTATTTGAACCATCTCGTAAGCGAAGGCACCTGGGCGTTCATTTCTCGGATGGCTCGTCCTGTCTGCTCGACTTCAAGCGCTATGAGATCGGGTAACTTGGCCGCCAGTAAGTCTGCAATCTTCTCCAGTACATCCGCGCGGCGATGACGATCCAATTTGGACCAGATGCCTGACTTGAAGGCCTTGTGGGCCAATTCCACCGTGCGGTTGACATCGTTTTCTGTGGCGACGGAGCAGCTGAAGTAATTGTCAATTGTAGATCTTTGAAGGACTCCCAGCAGTACGAGAGAGTTACTGTATGCACTTACTAGGCGAATATCTGACCGGTTGCCGGGTTCTCAATGGGCATACTCCCCAAGTCAGTAACCGGGTCGTACAGAGATAGGGCTGTTCACATACGTACGCTCCGGACTCGCCGTGCTCTCCCGGCTCCTCTTTTCCGCCGATCCAAAGCCGATACATCTTGACAGCCATGTTGAGCTTTTCGTTTGTGGAAACGTAGATGACAAGTCGCGATGTCGAATGCAAAGTGGAAGAGATGGAAGAGATAGTCGGGCAAGATTAGGCGAAATGTTAATGCCTGAGGCACAAATACCGGGATGGTACAAACTTCACCTCTTGCATTAAGTCGTATCCTCGGACTCTTTCACCTACTTTCTGCCAGAGACTGCTCTCTCGTGTAATTCCCAATTTTTGAGTCTTCAGTATGATTACGGCACTGCTAGGCAGCATCGGCCGGGCCTGTCGAGTATCCAATTCTCCCCTCACTGCTCAGCCGATCCGATCACGCTAACGGCACAATAGACCGGCACCCTTCTCTGACTGCTTCAAGCGCTTGGTGGTGACTATACGGGACTTTTAAATCGCTCTTAAGGCGATTTACAAGGTCTTACTTCATCAATAGCTCGTCGTCTCCTTCAAAGGCGCAAAGTGCTGCGTTAGTGGAGAAAGAAAATACTATCTTGACGTTATCCAAACACTACCGATGATTTTGTGGACTTCTCTAGGCCCTATTTGATCCCGCTCTCACGACAATGATACATGGCTTGGAAACCGAGCTCCACAATGTCGATACTGGACACGTGGATCCACAACATGACCGCCGCGTAGGGATCCCAGAAGACGAAAGTAGTGCACAGCCAATGTTGAAGCATGACAGAAAAGGATGCCAGTGAACAGTAGTCACATTCCTGATCTCTGTTGCCCACTGAGCTCAAACATCTCGAAGCTTTCTTGCAAATTCTCTGAATATCTCCGCGCTCTCCGGCCATTTCTGCACGACTCGTTAGCCAACCAACATATAGTTTATACGAGAATCGCAGCGACATTCTTCCCTCTCGGCAGCATCACTTCCGCTGACCTCAAAACCACGACATGCAATGCCATCGAGGGAACGCCGTCATGTTCGACTTAGACCCGGCAAATATTGCTCTCGATCGGGCACTGCGTTGGAAGGACCAGAATGCTTCTGTAGAAGCTACATACCGTCAACGATACTTGGGTAACCCGACAGAGGAAGATGGTTACTATGTTACAGGTACTCCCGATCCTGATGCTGCCGCCGTCATTGCTGATAGCCTGTAGATGTCCCGAACAAGATTCACCGCACTGGTAGTCTGTGCAATCCTCCTGCATCCATGGAGTCGGCATTTGGAATCTTCTATGCGCAGTCACTAGCGCTGTGGCTGCTCTGGACCTCTTCAAGCATGGACGAATAATTCACTATCCTGGTGCGATGCATTCTTGAGCGGATTTCAAGGGATTCTTATCCACGGAATCGCGCATACGAGCACCGTTGACTTTCCCCACGAAAGTATGTTCGAGAAACGTCAAAGACAATTTGATATATCCGACCCTTTGCTAAACTTCGTATACCGTCCTTGTAGTTAGAATGTCCTGGTGAGCTCTTGTACCCTGGAAAAGAAGATTTTACGCACCCGGAGAGAAAGCTACACAGGAACTTTGCTGTGCGCTCTTCTAGTGCTGCTGTTCTCAACGCCGACAATTACGCTCTGCATTTCCGGGCGCTCGCTTTTCATAGCAACGAGACCAACCTCGAGCCCATCGCTCTTCTGAATGATGATGGACTGCATCCTGCTCTCGATTTATGGGCACCTGATACTTGAACACTGAGGAACTGCAAGTAAGATTCCCTCTGTGCGTCTGTTGGATCGTTCTGCTGCTTGATTCATGTTGCCCTACTGCCTTTCTCGGCCGGTTATGCGTTCGACCGTTTGACAGGGTGGATGGAACCATGATCGGTAAGCTTGCATTACCATGTTTGCTTCGATCAGAGGGCAGTCTGGCGATCATCAGAAGGGGCAGGCCTTTTCTTTCCAATTCCTCTCTTCGTTTTGTGCCGTTGAAAGAAGATGGTGTCCAGCGCTACTTCTCCGTTCTGCGAGCGAGCAAAAATCGACACGAGCGAATATCGACGCTGAAAGCCGTAGCTTTCCACTCGGAATCCTCAGGAGATCATTCCAAATCTCACCACGTACGTTCTGGAGGTCTTGTGCTTCGATGCTACTACTGTGATGGCAAGGTGCGTGTCTACCTATGGCCCTATCCTTGCAGAGAAGCTTGGAACGCCGCGGTCCCCCACATCGATGCAGCTGCAGTAGCTCGAGTAGTGGACGAGTCGTAGTACAAGCGTCTTTTCAAGATGCTGGTGAGCTTTGTGAGGCCTCTACGAAGCAAGCTTGGATAGTATTATCGCTTCTCGCATAGCTTGTTGCCGCGTTGAGAAAGCGGTAATAAGCCTGCATTGAAAAAGAGTCAACCGGAGTGGGTCGCTCTTGCTGTATGGCTTTCGTCTGACCGATTCAAATCTTCTGGGGTAGAGTTTGAACCGCGAAGCTCGTCGCTTGCCGCGTTGCGAAGCTCAATCATTCGCCGGAGATATGCAGAGCTCCTCAATGCAAGTTTCCAGTGACGTCTGTAGCACTGATAAGGGCAAACCCAACAGAGGATATTATCTTGAGAGTAGCCTCTCACCCTCAGTCCGTCCTCAGAAAGAACCCGCATTGCGTGGCAGGAAATACTCAGAGGATAGCATAGGATGCCTGGTATTACGATGATCAGCGCGACGCCCAGTCCATTCGCGCGCATGAATAGGATTGCATTGATCGAAAAGGGCGTTCCATTCGAGCTGCGCAATGAGATTCCCTGGTGAGGCTTCTGTTAGATCTCCGAAGCGACGCTGGCTCATGTAGCGACAGGCACAAGGACACGGAAACACCCAAGTACAATCCACTCGAGAAGCTTCCTATCCTCTTGTTCGACGACGGTCGCGAGCCAGTGTACGACAGCTCTCACATCCAGGAATATATCGTGCAAAAGTATGCAGACAAAGCGCCTAGACTCATCACTGGAGACGTGGATACCGACTTGAAGGCACGTCAGATCCAGACCCTTGCGCAAGGGATTCTGGATGCCTATGTCCTGGTGTTCTTCGAATCCAGCCGGCCGCAAGACAAGCAGAGCTCGGAATGGATGGCACGGCAGAATCGCAAGATTGACGGAGGCCTGAAAGCGTTCGAAGAGCTGGTCAAGAAGCGAGAGAGTGGTTCTGAATACCTGCTTGCAAATCAATTCACGATTGCGGATATTGCTTTGAGTTGCTGCATTGCACAGATAGATTTTGGCAAGATGCGACCGCAGTGGCAAGAGGAGTATCCCGAATTGAAGAAATACTGGGAGAAGATGGAGACCAAAGAGTCGTTCAAACAGACGACGCCTGTTATGTTTGACATCAGGCGGGATACAGTGGTTTAGAGCGGGTTGTGCCTAGAGTGAACATACAGAGAGGCCGTTCAAGAATTGCTCCAATGTAACCCGCTCGCCGTGCGTTTCCGACCTGGTTCGTCAGGGTACATGTAGGGCATGTGGAAGGGTGCTTCCTACTCAGCATTTTGATGTGTGAACAGCCTGTTGCATTCGAGATGTCGCAGACGAAGCCAGCCGCAAGGCAAGACCAGACAGCTTGTCTGCAACGAATATGCAAAGTCTCACGTGTGTGATCCATTGGCGTTATTGGTGCCCGTGATATCCAACAGGTCACGCGAGCTTTCGTGCATGAGCATGCAGGAGCGAGTGCACGCAGTCACGCTTGACGTGTCGAGGACATGCCGAGGACATGTCGAGGTACACGGCGCCTGCTGACAAGTGGATGCTCACAGGTGGATGCTCACGTGTGGATGCTCACAAGTGGATGCTCGCAAGTGGCTCGCAAGTGGCCGGGAGAGCCGGACGACGGTGGATGAGTCGAATGCAGACGCAGAAGCTCTTGATGCTAACGAGTCGGTCAGTCGTGTGTGCGGCGTTGAGCGAAGGAGAGTGAGATGGAAGTGAAGTGGTTGAGTTGGGAGCGGGCGAGATTAATTATTGATGAAGAGAGACGCCGAGGCGGACGGGAGCGGACCTGCGCAAGCTTTGGGCCTAGCTTCCTTTCGGCGGGCGCATTGACCACCGCCGACGCCAGGCCAAGTGTGAAGTGTGTCTGAGAAAAGGAGCGCTCGACTGCAGCGCAGCGCCGCGCATCCTTCTCTACACCGACTACTCCCCCCCGCCATCCCATCCACCACCACCACCACCACCACCTCCGCCGGCTCTGCCTTCCCTCCGACCGCCAGCGTGCTGCACACGCCCTCCACCTGCGCCCCCCATCTCCATGTGTCTGCGCACGACGGCGGGCCAGTCTCTAGCATAGACGAGCGTAGAGGCTCCAATCGCGACGAGCATTGCTGGCGACATCCGACGCACGCCCTCCATCTCCCACCCCGTCGTATCCATACCAGAGCCCGAGTCAGCCATACCCTATCCCAGCAGTCGTGCGAGTCCTCGGGACGACAAGAGCTTCGTGCAGAGAAACACGCGCGCACTCGAACCATTGAGCTCGCGTAAACATCGGACGAGACAGCTGCCACCACGGCGGGCGTCGTCGACAACACACCCGACAACAGAATCAACACCACACTCCCTGGCCGCATAGAGACCATCCACCATGGCCGCCAGTGCATCCAGCTCTAGCAACGTCGTCGGCGTGCACTACCGTGTTGGCAAGAAGATCGGGTAGGTGCACAGCTTTTGCTAGGAACAGTCAGCCTGACTAGCTAACACCGAGCAGGGAGGGGAGCTTTGGCGTTATCTTCGAGGGCACCAACCTCCTCAACAACACGCAGGTCGCCATCAAGTTTGAGCCGCGCAAGAGTGATGCTCCTCAGCTCCGCGACGAGTACCGCACGTATAAGATCCTGGTAGGATGCCGTAAGTGAAGCCCAACCAATCACGTGACATGGTGCCGGACCGTTCCGTGCGTACAACCCAGGTGATGCAGCTCACTGACATGCAGCAGCTGGTATTCCCAATGTCTACTATTTCGGTCAGGAAGGCCTGCACAACATTCTGGTCATTGACCTGTTGGGCCCAAGCTTGGAGGACCTGTTCGACCACTGCGGCAGGCGCTTCTCCATCAAGACCGTCGTCATGGTCGCCAAGCAGATGCTCTCGCGCGTGCAGACCATTCACGAGAAGAACCTCATTTACCGCGACATCAAGCCAGACAACTTCCTCATAGGACGTCCCAACACAAAGCAACAAAACGTCATCCATGTCGTGGACTTCGGTATGGCCAAGCAGTACCGCGATCCGAAGACGAAGCAACACATTCCATATCGGGAGCGCAAGTCGCTGTCAGGAACAGCAAGATATATGAGTATCAACACGCATCTGGGACGCGAACAGTCTCGACGTGACGATTTGGAGGCGCTCGGTCACGTCTTCATGTACTTCCTTCGTGGCGGGTTGCCCTGGCAGGGACTGAAAGCAGCTACGAACAAGCAGAAGTACGAAAAGATTGGCGAGAAGAAACAGACCACGGCAATAAAGGACCTCTGCGACGGCTTCCCGGAAGAATTCAACAAGTACCTCTCGTACGTCCGGAACTTGGGCTTCGAGGATACACCCGACTATGACTACTTGAGAGACCTCTTCACGAAGGCGCTGCAGAACAACGGCGAGGTCGAGGACGGAGAGTACGACTGGATGAAGCTGAACAATGGTAAAGGGTGGGATGTACCACAGCGCCCTTCCGGCGGACATCGGGAACAAGCGAATCCATCCAACGCCGACTTGCACCGTAGCAACCTCAACCGAGCGTCCAACACACCCCAGATTGACAAGGAGAAGCCTCTACCGAGCAAGCCCGGAGCAGTGAGGCAGCCGAATGCGCAAAGAACACAGCCCGGGCGGCGACCACAAAACAGCGCAGACTTGGGCAAACGCGGCAGTGGAATGCAACTTGAAACTCCTGACCACCGCAGTACGGCGGCACAGTTTCAGAACAGCCGAGCTGACTTGACGCGAGGGGTGAGCTCCTCCGGAGTCAATGCTAACACCACTGCCCAGACCGGAACCCAGTCGGCTTCAAGACCGGCTCAACAGCAACAAGCACCGGAACAGAAGGATGGCTTTGTGCAAAAGATGCTGAAGGTCCTGTGTTGCGGTTAGCGGCCCGCTTATCTGCTGGAGCGCAGAGCACGGCTTGCGGCTGAGAGCATCTCGTATCCTTCTGGCGTGTCTGTGCGGCCGGTACGCCAGCATCACCGCGCACCCACCCACCAAATCATCAACAGCGTTGCAGTCATCAGGACAGCAGTTGCCGAGAGTACAGCATTAGCGCGAACATTTCGAAGTAGACATCACACAGCACAGTCAGCACAAAAAGAAGAAGAAGACAAAACACGGAGATTCGACACCTATTTGTGGTTCGGGGAAGCATGCAACATTTCACTTCCGCCCCAGGACGGACGACGGATGCCTGGGAGAATCGTTGGGCATGATTGCGTGTGCAGCGAGGCGTTCAGTTGGGCAATGCGCGGGAAATTCGGGGAAGCATCATCGCACGGCGTTCGTCCGGAGCGGAATGCAATCAGCAGGCACGGGAGTTGCAGGAGCATTTTTTCGTTTCCAGAGACGGCTGGTATTGCAGTGGAGCGTTCAAGCGAGCATTGTACGTGCGATTGGAGAGATTTGGAGGAAAATTCGCGTTTCGTTAATGTCAATGTGGGTTGGTTGATAGGGGCAAGGGAGGGAGTTCCAAAGGGAACATATTTGTTGCTAATGTCCGATGGGAACCCCAAAAACAAAACATGAGCACTGTGCAGACCCTCCTCTTCTTTCTTACCTTCTTACTCACTTTCCGTAGCGTACGCCCTTCTGCTGACTTGTCTTATGACACCTCATCGATGTGGCGGTCACTTCACCTGTCTTGACAGTTCTGCAAAGGGCTAGACGTACAACTCAAGGATGGGCAAACGTACGAAAGGACATTATGTTGCAGCCTTTAACAACCGAGACGATCTTAACTCTTAAACCGCGGAATTTGGCCCAAGCATCCAACCATCGACGGACTTTCCAATTTCTCAACGCTGGTGCGAAGTGCTTCATTCAGATGCGGACTCTTCTGAATACCCACCTGCCTTGGCTGAGAGATATAATGAATTGCGCTGTGTACAAAAATCCGGGTTTCTGAAGGATTCGACGCACAAGAAATGGGTCTTCGAGAAGAAGAAATTTTGCTGGACAAGTTGGTTACATGTCAAGGTCGAGAGCTACTGTTGGAGTGGTGTGTAGATATCATCCACCCATCCATCTGGAGGGGAGACGGGGGAGCAGAAAAGCACCGAACAACAACATAACATGGAATCGAATCGAGAACAACAACAATCTGGATTCATTCTGGCACACATTATTGACGACGGTGTATTATTCTGCTGTTGATACGAAAGTTCTCGTATTATTGGCGATGATGATGAGCGGTTCGATCGCAGCCTGGAGTCCTCCTCCTGCTTGCGGACCAACTTCCTCGTTTGGAGATCACATACATGATTATTGCCCACGAGGAACGCAATGGAACAGCGGCGGCACCAGGATCGGATTTCTCACCTTCACGGGATGGATGGATATGGGTATATCTAGGTAGGCAGGCAAGCAAGCTTCATCCCTCCCCCGAGCATGTGAAGAATCCCTGGCAAACTGGGCCGATTCCCTCATCATCTCAAGGCAAGGCCAAGAAAGGTCGCCCATGGATAGATAGATCCCCACGAAGACGCTGAAACGACTGTGTCGTGTGTGTGTGTGTGCTGATAAGAAGCAAGCCCTAACAAGGACTACCTCCCGCTCCCAGTAGAAGATGGCGCAGTCAGTCGAGCGGTTTGATCGACTACAGGCTTCTTTCTTCTTCTTCTTGTTCTTCTTCTTCTTGCCAGGCAAAATGTCTCGACGGTGGGAATTTGTCATACCTTCCCTGCTTTTGCCACGTTTTTCTGGGGGGAGGTCTGAGATGCCTGCTTGCTTGGTTGCTTGCTTGCTTCGTATCGTAGAGCAGAAACGCGAGATACGACTTTCCGCCGACGGACGGACGGACGGACGGGATGAGCAGGTGAAGATACCGCCAATACGCTTCATCACTAGCACACCATGTGTTTTTGTCGCTCAAGCACAATTAAAGGCAAGACATTGTCTACGTACACCTTTCCCCACAGCCAGATCCTACAAACCACAAATAACCCGATCCCGAAGAACCCTCTATCACACACATCATATATATAATAACCGCCGAAGAAAGAACAAAAGCGGACAAAGTCGGCCGCGAAAAAAAACAGACCAGGACTGTACTTCCCCTTCCCCGTTCCCCTAACATGCCCGCACGCCTAGGCATTGGCATCCGCCAAGGGGGTCTCGACCTCCTTGGTAGTCCGTCCTTCTTTTCTGTTTTCCTTGGCCTACAGCCAGCCGTGCGTGTCGCGACAGAGAGATCTTCCTCAAGCAAGCATCAAGCATGAAACTCCTTCGCACGTGGCCTATTCTGGGTCTCTGTCTGAAGACGCTGCAGGACCTTGACCGATACCTCGCATCTATATCATCATGACAATACCTAGTTCCTTGTCTGCGTTGCGTTGCCGTGATTCGCCGCGCCGCCGTCGCGTTCGTTGTTGGATGCAAGTCACAGACGTGTTGCTTGCTTGATGAGGTGGAAGATGAGAAAGGCAAGACCAGCAGAAAGCGTGTAGAAACTCTAGAAATGATAAAAAGGCGGAGCCCCGATACCCTTTGCCTTTCTAGATCCAGAAGAAGAAGAAGAAGAAGAAGAAGAAGAAGAAGAAGAAGAAGAAGAAGAAGAAAAGCGCATCTGCGACCGACACTTTTCCCACATGGCCAAGTCAAGCCAAGCCAGATATCACCCACCATAGACCACAGACCAGACCAGACACGGCGGTGCGGTACGATAACAGGCAGGGAGGGAGAGCATCTTCGCACAGTTCGTATTCATCATCCATCATCTTCGTATCCCTCCCCCCCTCCCCGGTCGGTCGACGAGACGAAGCCCGATGGACACACTAGGCCCCCCCAAGTCCCTCCGCCGAACGTGGCTACCATGCCCAAACCCCCCTCTCCCCTCACCCCTCCCCCCTACCCAGGTGCCGTGTGGCGACTGCATGGTGCAACGAGGGAAGATCCCTGAACAACAAACAAGCGTGGGAGCCCTGTTCTTTAGCAACTCTGCAAAAGACAAACACTGCGACTTTTGGCAAAGGGCGAGATTGCTTTATGCTTGTTGCTGTTGCAGGAGGAGGTTCTTTGGTTGGTTTGGTTGGTTGGTTGGTTGGTTGGTGGTTTTGATCAGGCTTCTTCAGGTTGTGTAATTAAGGTAAGGTATGAATCGATTTTTCGGGGGGAGAGGGTCGAGGATCTCGGAATCCCTTCTATGATGATGATGATGATGATGATGATGAGTGGGCTCCTCACTACTACTATTTGTCATAGCTATGCTACGTTTTTTTGAGTTGGATGAGGATAAGGTAGTCGAGGTGCCGGGGTGAGGAGCGAGGAGCGAGGGAGATCTGCTTTCCCCGCATTGTATAATGTATTGTGTACCAACCAGTGAAGCTTGAAAATCACAGCATACCATGCAATGTTGTATCGTATCGTGTCCTGTCCTGTCCTGTAACGTCCGTTCTGTATGCAACCGTTTAAGGGTAACGTGATCCCAATCATACAAATCCGACCGCCGTGGAATCCGTCCATCATCGCTCATGCTCATAAACAAAAGAGAAATCATTCTCAGCAATCTCAACCCTCCTTGATCATACCCTCCTGACAATGCGCCGCGATTTCCTTGAAAAATCTCCTCCAGCTGAGGGGATCGCCTTTGGCTTTCATGAAGCGCACTTCCAGGACCTCCAGATTGTGTTGTCCCGGCACGGCCACGCTTTCGACCATGATGTGTCCTGACATGGGTTGTCGACGGTTGTCCGGTGCTTTGATGCGGATGGTGACGCATTGCTCCTTGCCTTCGAAGGCGGCAGTGGAAGGGGTCGCGACGGGGATGCTGAGGTGGTGCAGTGCGCCCAAGAGCTTCGGTAGCAACATGGAGAACGGGAGGATGGAGATGAAGCGAGCAAGACTGTGCGAGGGCACGATGTCCTTGAAGTTGCGCGCTTGTTGGGTAAGGGTTAGAGGCACAGAGGGAGTCGCCGAGAATTGGGACATGGACGGATCTTCGGCGAAGAGGCCATGTATTTGGCGTGCTTCTTTTTCGATCTGTGCGGCTGAGAGGGAGTGGTGGATGGAGACCGAGGTGTTCACAATATCGTTCTTGGTCTGAGGCTGGGAGGAGGCGATGCCGTTCCCAGCTCCGAGACGTGGCGGTGCTTCCCAATCGAAGAGAACATCTCCCATCGGAGTCTGCGGTTGTGTCGCGCTCGGGGTCTTTTCGTCTGACGACTTGTGCTTGCCGCTGTCGATATCCATCAACTCCGGCTGAGACGCCGGCTTCCGCTGGCGCTGCGACTGTGACGACTGGGAAGCGCGCGCGAAATCGATGTGTAGGCTCTCAAGCATCTGCGTTGCGAGTGCCGTCGGATCCTTCACCCTACCCTTCTCGTTGATGTGTCGATTCTGTCGCGTAAACCACGGATGTTTGCGGACACTGTCCAGGGACATCCGCTCGGCAGAGTCGATATTCAGCATGCCTCGTACCAAGCTGAGTGCCGTGGAGGGGATGTTCGTCCAAAGCTCGTCGCTGGGTCGGCCCTTGGAGGTCACGTAGTCGTGATATTCGTAGCTCTCTGCTATGACGGGTGCATCCCATGGCGTGTTGCCGACAAGCAGCACGAATAGCACGATGGCGCAAGACCACACGTCCGCGATCAGCGGGTCGTAGCCAACCTTGTCATCGCCAGCTTTCTTGCGCTTCTGATTCTCATGTCCCACCGCGATGATTTCGGGGGCAATGTACGGCGGACTGCCGCAGACCATCCCGCAAATCTTCTTCTCGCCTGTCCGTGGGGAGACGTATTGTGTCGCGAGGCCAAAGTCCGCCAGCTTCAAGTTTCCCTCTCCGCTCAGTAGCATGTTCTCAGGCTTGATATCCCGATGTGCAACGCCCTTGCCATGACACCAGTCGATCGCGCTCACAAGCTGCTTGAAGTAGAAGTGTGCCACGTCTTCGCCCACGCCCTCGTCGGCCTCGATCTTGTCAAACAGGTCGCCGCCTTCCGCCAGCTCCAGGGCCATCCAGACCCACGACGCATCTTCTCCATGCGAGAGGTACTTGATGATGTTGTCGTGCGGACATACCGAGGCGTGGATTCCCAGCTCGATCTGCAGCTGCTTCGGTCGTAGTCGTCCCGCGCTGAAAGCGTGTTCCTTGTTGATGAATTTCACCGCGATCACCGGGCCTGGCTTGTTGTGCGGTATCGCTTTTCGAATCCTGTCGGGATGGTCAGCATGTTGACACGGCTGTGCTCGTATTAGCTCAGGCTTACGAGGCGTATGCGCCGGATCCAATGGTCTTGGACACCACGCGGAAGGGCAGATTGCTGGGCAGAGGTGCAACCTGCGACTGTTGTCATCGCGCGTCAGCTCATTCCCATTGTGGGATCCGTCAGATGCCGATTGAACTCACGCCAGGCGGGCCACCCATCTGTCTTACTCGAGACAAGGGAGAATGCGAGATGCGAACGTGTAGGTAGTGAACAGGTTGAGAAGTAGGCTGCAGGTGGAACGAATTGGAGTGGCGTCCATAAATGCGCTGACGCGCGCGTAATTACGCGCATAATCACGCGCATAATCATCGCCATGGCAACGGTCATGTGAGTTTCAATTCGGAGGGCAGAACGAACTACCTATCTGCCTTATGTCTAAAAGCCATTGGCATGCGTTCCTGTCTGCGTTGCTTACTTCGCCATGTCTGAGACATCAACAAACCTTCCGTGCTTCTGCATGGTGGTCGATGGAGAACCTCCTCGGAAGATCTGTTGATGAGGCATGTAGGTTTTCTGACATTTCCTGTCTGTGACTACTGTACAAGCCCGATCCATCAGAGCGTCCCAGTCGTAGCAGTGCGTGGTAGTACACACGCGCTCCCATCGTCCACCCAATACCCGCCCGGCCCGAGGTGAACTAGTCGCCTTCCATAAAGAATTACTTTCCGCGTCTAAAGCATCGCTGAGAAATGAGCAGCTCGTTCGCCATGGCAAGAGAGGCGGAATCCGTAGGCATACTCCGCCCGCAGCCCACAGTGCACACTTTATTCCATCCAAAAACAAGCGAGAAACACCCTAAAAATGCATAAATCCGTAGAAACCATGAGGGGTACCGAAGAGCCTCCGCGACGCCTTTCGCTGATTCAAAAATCCAAAACAGAAACCAGCTGTTCCCATGCGAGGGGTATTGGGGAAAGCTGGCGGTCCTGAGATATTCCAGTCATTTCGGGCAACAAACTTTTCGAAAATGGGAGGCCGGCTGTCCGATGTTGACTAGGTCAGGTAGACTTGTAAATGCAACGTGCAACTTGCCACGCGACGGTGCGTGTCAGATGGCCTTGAGCCAAGTCCGAGATGCCGGCAGGCAAAGCCCAGGGACTAGATCCGACGCAGCTTGTGCGATGGCTGCGCCACTGTTCTTCATTGACCACGTGGGGTTCCCAACGTCCTGTCGCTGGCCGCGGAAAGACTAGATGCAGACTGATTCGACGGCAGTCCCTAGCTGATCGACGACTGCGCGAGTAGAGACTCGAGATTGCGCTCTCGAATCGAGGCCGCATATTTCGGCTCGCGGAAGAACTTTGGCACGGAGTCCTGGTGACAAGTCAGTACTGAGTCATTTACACATGATTAATCTCCGAAACTTACACTAGCCATGAGCTTGAAGACGCTGTTCTGCGCCTGGTCGAACAGCACGGCAACTTCGTCCAAACTCTTGATCATTTGCTCGTCCTCCCCGACCGCTCGAGTCATGCGCCCAGCGAGGGCATTGCGCAGGTTGTGATCAATGTTGAGTTCGCAAGGCGAGCCTGGTGCAAGGAAGGCGTTGTAAAGGCTGTACGCGGATGCGAGGGTCTCCCTGATGATATCCGGCTTGATGGGTGAACCGCGCTTGGCCCGTCCATATTCGGCGAGGAAGGCTTTCACCTCCAAGAAGAATGCCAGATTCTCCTCGCAATGAGTCTCGCGGAGATATTCCCTGAAGAGTAGCCTGAGCGCGGCGTCTTGGATGATGAGCGTCATGCGGTTGGTGTTTGAGTCGCGCATCATGCCTGGCGGTGCTCGTGATGCGACCGTCGCCTCACCATTCACGGAGCCATTCGCTGTCATTGCCCAGCCGGCTACCCGTAGGCCTTTGTGAGTGATTCCGTAGTACACGGACTTCGATGCGGAGAAACGCGATCCTGCAACCTGGCCATTCTGGCTTCCGCCATGGTGGCGATCTTCGTACGTCTCGATCAGACCACTTGAAATGAACAAGTTCGCAAGCTCGTAAGCTTCTCGTCTGTCCACTGTGGTGCAGCAGTCCATGAGCCAGTTGAACGCATGCATCCCGGTGAAGATATATGGAGCGTCCTTATCACCCCTCTTGCCTGCACGCTGCATCTTGACACCAACGAGCCCGGTGACGTAGTCGCTCATGGAATCAGATTCAGACGTTGACGAGTTGGTCTTCATGTTCGGGCCTGTTTCGCCTGCGAATCGGCGGAAAAGAACCTCAATCGTGGCTGAATCATGGCTGATCTGGTCGGTGTTGTTGTCTCTTTCCAGAATGACCAACTGCATCATGTTCTTGGGAGAGTCCAGGAGTTCGTTAATGTGTCGCTGGTGGATTCCATTTCTTTGGCAGAAGCGTGCCAAGATGTGCATACCCTTGGGTGTGAGCTGCCAGACTGCGCTCCTAGAGCTGAAATCCGACTTGCCGTCCACCGACTCAATGAACCTCGCCTCAACGTATCGCATGCAGATTTGCCGCGCCATTTCCTTAGCCATCGAGAATGTTGTAGTTGTGGTCGTCGTTACTATTCTCGTCACGTCCTTGGGATCCGGCATTCGATTTGATTGCGAAAACTTTAGAGAGCCCAGATTGGTTATTGCTTCCTCAGACGTGAATGTATGATCAACCCGTGAGAACCGGACGCGATGGGGTGTGAGCGGTAAGCTGACGACGAGCGTCGCGAACAAGTCTTTGAAGTCCTGCAAACAGTCAGTTTCGAATCCATTCTGTGCGTGAGAGTTCATGGCGACAAAGTCTGTGCCGTGTGTAGGGAGAAAACGTATTTTCGCATTCGAAGATAGCAATACATCGTAGGCGATGATCATGCGGCGATTGCCTGTGTGTTTAGACGTGTCATGGGCAACAGAGCAGGCGTGACGACCGCGTGCCAGGAAGAGCAATGCAACGTACCTTGTCATAGGGTCGGTCATCGTCGGTTAGACGGAGCAGCTTCGAGGATGTCTGATGCATCTTGCGTGGACTTCTCCTCAACAGTCTCTCGTATTCGTCAAGGTCGCGGGCCGAGTCAAATTCCTTCTCCTGATCGAGCCAGCCAGCGGTGTGGTGAACGCTGGGCCGTGGATCTTCGTGCAAGGATTTTATATCCGACTTTGAGTCGTCGGAAAGCGCCGTCTCAGACGATGTGTTAGACCTCGTCGAGGCGTCGGACGGCTTGTGGGAGCTGGAGTCCGAAGGCGAGACAGGTGCCCGTGGCTGTGTCTCGCCTTGGGGAAGTGCGTCGTGCTTGAGCGAAGGCACGATCCCGCGGAGGCGTTGGCGACCAAAGGATGCCAGGCGGGAGTGGACCTTGGGATTGCTCGGGGCCGGGGGTCTCTGTTGGCGCTCCACCTTGTCGACGTGTGCGGGAGGAGTAGCAATGGCGGAGGGCGACAGCGGAGAGCGAGGCGGATAGCAGTAGGTGGTGGCAGTCGGGACGGAGGCGGGAGGTGGAGGTGGAGGTGGAGTGGACCTGAGTCGACGTGAGGTGCGGCGGTAGAAATGGGCAGCGCTGATGGCAGCCAAGTGCAGCGGTGCAGCAGTGTTTACGTCAGGACTAGTAGTGGTGGATGGTGCCGGCGAGTGGTAGATCGAGCTGCCGCGTGGGACGCATGAGGTGGTGGTGGTGGTGGTGGAATGCTGGTGGTATGGAATGTGGGCGTGGGCGTGGGCGTCGCCCGAGACAGACGCAGGCGCAGGCGCAGGCGCAGACAGGTGCTGTGGGTGCTTCGGATTCGAGGTCGGAGCGGCAGCAAGGTGAGTGTGAGCGTGAGGGTGAGCGTGAGGGTGAGCGTGAGCGTGGACGTGGACGTGGGCGTGGGCGTGGGCGTGAAGGTGAGCGTAAGCGGAAGTGGATGTCATGGCAGTCTTGAAGTACCTTAACAGAGTGAGTGGGCCGGCACACGCTTGCAGGGAGGCGGGCCCAAGCTAAAGGAGCACGACTCTCCCTCACACCCCGAACCTGAACGGCGCTGCTGGCTGCTGGCTGTCGCGCTGTGTGCTGCCGCTGCTGCTGATCTAACGTCTGATCTAACATGACCTTGCCATCCGTGCGCCCTCGCGGCAAGGATGAGCGCTAGAGACTCGTGGCTGCACCAGGCAAGCACGCCGGGCAGGGGGCTCCACTCCTGCACCTGCACCTGCACCTGCTCCTGGACCCGCTCCTGCACCTGCCTGCTCCTGCTGCACGCCCGCACCGCGCCTGCCTGCACGAAGCGGATGCGCTCTCCCGTCCCACCACTTCCGGAAGCGCTTCTGTGGTCTGCTGCAAACAGGGTAGGCACGACGGGGGGACGGGACGGGGTGCGAGAGGAAGGCACGGCACGGCACAGCACAGCACACCGGATGGAGCGAAGAGAAGGAGAGGGGAGGGAGGCAGTAGCGACGCGGACGACTCACTTGACGAAGCGTCGCTCTTTCACTCTACCCACCCGCAGACACCTCAGGCACACTACTGGGCTACGGCCACGAGCTTCCTCGAGCCCCCCGGCCGCTTGTCATCGGTTGGCCTTCCACGAACTATATAGGATATAGTATGGGCACTGTACGGTACCGGTATGCCATCCTTCACTATCGCAACCTCAATCAATTGTGCAGTCAGAGGCTCCTGTTTCACACCACCCAAGCGATACCAGGCCATGGATCCCACTGTCTCCCACCTCACCACCCTCCCTTTCCCATCGCAGCAACCACAGGCATTCCTCACTGCCCAGCTCTGTCACGCATCTGGAGCTGACCTGCTGGCATTCCCTCGCGAAGGCCATGCTGCCGTCGCATGCATGACCACGACCTCCGGCACGCCGCGCTCACCTTCTCTTGCTTTCGTCTCCTCACCCGTCCGCTGCGTCGGCGCCGTGCTGCCAATCCTTCCCCTCCGGCGCGACGCAAACAGGCAGCCGCTCCCAACGCACCGCGTGGCAGCGTGCATGGAGGCCACGCGCGACAGACAGGATTCCTTCCTTCCTTCCTTCCTGACGACCACTCTTCCTCGCTGCGCTGAGTCTGCGTGCTGACCATGTCACTGTGAAGACCGGTGACGGTTCTTTCCAATGCCATTGGATGTTATGCCATCTCCGTCGTAACCATCACGTTGGCCATCCTGAGGCTCGCACGGAGATGAGAGTGCGATCAGCCTTTCCAGGCTCATGACTACAATATATCTATTTTCGCTGGAGAAACGTCTGATGGCCCTGGCTGCTACTACTCCGGGGGCGAATTGCTCTCTCAGTCCGGACCATCTCCAACGAGAACCGCTTACCGCTCATGGCGTGCTGTGACTGACTGCCTTACCGCGACGGCCAGATGAGAGCCTCGGCGATGGACGTGTCGGATGTCCAAAGTCGCAGCGGCAGAGGAAGCTTTCCACTTGATGTAACCTCACCTATGTGGGCAGCAACGGCTCTGGCTGTCCCAAGCCGTCGCACAGCGCGGTACAGGTCGGGAAGGACGATGCGGTCTGCAAGCAAGATTCTTTCTGGTCGAGGAAGAATGCGCGTTTGCACGCCTTGGGCGAGAGTGCTTTGTCCAGCGTGCGGCCAGCCATCGCAACGGCGGCATCTCACTGTGCGACAGACGCGATCGCCCGCCGCCTCGTGACACAAGAGCGGTCGGCAATATCTTTTACTCTGGCCAGAAGTCGGAGCTGCGCTTGGTACCTGCTTGGTCTGCCTCGTGCGGCTTGCCACGCTTTCCACGTGTTGTGGCGCTTTTGAAACCTCTCAGAACCGGATGCGCAGCATGGCCCACCGCTGGGCACCCGCTTTTCCAAGCACTTGTTGGTCCTCGTCGCTCGCCGCCCGGCGGCGTTGGAAGGATTCGGTGCCATCTTTAGCATCTCGCATGCATCGGCTGGTTGCTCGTTATAGCAGCTGCGTCCTCCTCCACCGCCCGACAAGTCTATCACCCCGTCATAGCCGTGAAAGGCGCAAGATCGACGGCTAGAAGCTGCATCGAACGGCTTGGCTAATCATTGGTGTGCTTGTTAGATTGCTCTCCCTCTCTTCTCTCGTTCACGCACACAAACACTTACACACATACACACAAACACACCCATACACACAAATATACACACACACTCACACACCTACACACACACACACACACACACACACACA